AATCTTGCATGGAGTGCATACGTCCCATCAACAATCACCTACAATAAACCAAAGCCAAAAAAAAATACATAACAGCCATACCAAAACCACAGCCTTAAATCACATTTCAGACTTACCACTCCAGATGATGTCTTGACCATCTTCGTATCGACACGCCTCTTTTGCTGGAAATCAAAAACCGGAACAAGAGTGTCTTTTCCTTTAATCAAATCCTATTTTTAGAAAGAGACGAGTTAGTCAACCTGAGTCATTCTTCTTCAGACCATTCACAAGTTAAACACTTCAAATAGGAAATTTCAAATCAATCTTACAAATGCAAAAATCATGTCTCAGAAAAACATCAGAATACCTCCAGGTTCTGGACTAATGCATCAAAATCTAAAGTTTCCAATTCATTTCCGTCGTCCAAGCTGTCTCTGTAATCCTCCATGGCAATCACAGTACAGCCAATCACAGATGCCACTTTCTCTGCCAAGCTTCGTGCACCCAAAAAAGAAAACAGCAACGAAAACATGAAATCGAGCTTTCCCTTTCATAACATCTTTCAACCTAAACTTTAAAAGATCTGTTTACCTTGTTTTACCGGAGCCGCTAGGTCCACCTATACCAACCGTAACAATGCCGTCCTTCTTCTCTCTGAGCTCTTGAATAGACTTCACCAACAGGTAATAGCCATGATCGAAAGCCTACAAAACAGTTAATCAACCCTATGATCATGTTCTCCCTAGTTTTGATTTTTTCCGGAAATTTTTTAAAAAGTTAGGAAAACGGAAAATTTCGAACCGAGAGAAGCGTACCACGTGAAGAGGGAGAGATTGAAGAATCGAAGGAGACGATGAAGAAGTAGAAGGTTGTTGCTGGAAGAAATCTCGTCCTCCCTCTTGGAAAACTCGCTGGACAACCTCGTCGTCCATGGCTGCTACGCGATGATCTCGGAGCAATCGAGGAAGAGAGTCAAGTCGGAAAGACGATTCGAAACTGTGCCCGACGATTCCGAGGGTCCACAGGGAAAGATCGAGAAGAGAGGTTTTCGTTCTGAAGATCGAGGACACGAAAAAAAAAAAAATCTGGAATCAAAATGATGAAACTCGGGAGAACAAATTAAATTAAAGAAAAACAAAATCAGAAATCAACTTTTCTTTTGCTTTTATTTATTTAATTTTGTTGTTTTATCCTTCGCCTTTTATGTTTTTCAGGAACACTTTGCTTGCAAGCATGAAGTCTCCCGCTTGTTCTTCCCCGTCCGGTTCAACTTTCCGAGAACTCAAATGCCCCAAAACAAAAAATTATAAACTAAGTTAACTTATTAGTATTTTTACACTTACATTGTAAAATACAAAATTAATTCACTACATATTATTTGAGAAGTAACATTATTGAAAATTGCTTATTTGTCAACACTACAATTAAAGTTAGTGCTTTTAATTGATAACAAGTAAATGTGACATGTCAAACTTCCTAAAATAAACGAAATGTTTTGATTGGTAGAATTAAAATTATATAAATTATAAAATTAAAATATAAATAAACTAAATTATATTTATAACTCTAAAATTAACAAATCTAAATTAACAGAAAATAAAAGCTATTATAATTTTAATTTTTTGCATATATTCATAATTTCATAAAAAATAATTACGAATTTTTTTCAACAATATATATATATATATATATTATAATTTTATATAACAATAAAAAATAATATTAAATTATCCAATAGAATAGTAAAAATTCTATTTATTAATAATAATTTAAGTATGATATATTTTTATTTCGGAAAGTTATTAATTAAATCTAAAAAAGTTTTAAATAAACAATTATTAAATAATACAATTTTAAATAAAATACAATCATGATAAAAATAATTTAAAGAATAAAATGTTAAAAATATAAAAATAAATAACTTTTATTGATTTTTTTTTAAAAAAAAACGTAATTTAAAAAATTATTTTCAAACCAATATTTACTAAATGAATAAAGTATATACTAATTATTATTTTATAATATTAATAGGACCATATAATTTTTTATAACTTTTATCATCTTTTTATTGTTGTTTTCTAAAATACCATCTCATCTTATCTTTTATCATATTTTAAATAAAAATAAAATTTTATATCATATTAATATATATGCATAATTTTGTTTACATTGTATATCAAAATTTTGAGATCATAAATGAACTGAAAAATAACCGAACGAAAGAATAAATTATAATAAGAAGAAACAATATGAATAAGAGATAAAAATAGAAGTATATAAAAAACAAAATCTCTCGCCCTTTGTTTTACAAAGTCACTTAAAAAAATTTTAACACGTAAGAGCAACCCCAATGGAGAACTTTGAGTGTCTAAAACAAAAGATCTTAATAATAAAATGAATAAAAAATAGTAAAAGGGTCTTAAAAAATAAACACAATGTCTAAAATATGATATTTTTGCTGAGTTAAGACACCCAGTATAAAATATTTTTAAGACCTTCTTAATAAGTTCTCTATTAGGATTAGTCGCCATATTTCAATTTTTTTACAAATACGCGTATATATATAAATATTAGTTGTACATTAGTTAAAGTCACATGCGAACTTTTTCGTGCATGTATTTTGTTAAGATTGATTACAAACTAATTTTTATTTTAATTATTATCCAATTTATATTTTTTTTAAAAATCTTTATGATTCTAAGTGTAGTGAAGTGATTGGTATGCACGCACATGCGTGCCAACCATCTATCCGCTCTTAGGAATAAGTAAAAATAGTAAAAACTATTTTAGTTTAATTTGCAATAAATCAAGAAAAATATATACTTAAAATATATTATATATGTATTTACAAACTCATATTATATAAGACGCAAAAAACATATTGTAGATTGTATAAAGAGAAATAAAGCATACTAATATTATAAGAATTTAATTATTATTTAACATAACTTTTATATTTGTGATTATATACTATTACAAGCATTATAAAAATAAAAGTAATACAATACATTGATTTCAGAAAGAAGTTTGTGAAATATTAAAACAATATATATATATATACAAACATACAAATATTTAAAATTTAAATATTACAATTAACTATGTATATCAAAAAAATTATATATGTACATATGTGCGGGCCAACCACCTAATATATATTTAATTAGTGAGTTTGGCTGGTTTTCAATGGTTTGACCAAATAAAAACTCGATTTCAAAATTTCAAGGATTTCATTCCATGAATCTATGTTAAACGGATAGGTGAATAGATGACATAAATTTAGTTATCTTCTTCAAAAACTTTGTTAATAAAAATTTAAATATTGCTAGTAGCAAAAAAAGTTAAATTTGTAACATTTTTTATCTATGATAAAATTGTTGTGAAAGACCAAATATACAAACTGAAAAAGATTGGTCAGTAGTTAAACTAGCTGAATCGATTCTATTGATAGTTGACTGGTTAGTAAGTAATTGGTCGAGTTAGACAATTTTGATCGACAGTTGGTCAAGAGATGTGTGCCAAATGTGTGAAGCAATTGTTTAAAAATGGATCAGATGATATAATCTAATGTTTTAATCCATATAAAGATTTGATGTAAGAATCAATATGTACCCAAAGCTCCAAATTATGGTCTAATGCATCACACTCAATCGTTTCCAATTCACGAGGTATTTTAAATTGAATTATCATTTCTTCCGTTTAAATTAACAAGCTAAGTATCTAATGGTTGATGTACTTTTTCAATCAAAGATTATAAAAAATAAAACATGTCAGTAATAATGTTATTAGAATCATCCTTTGGATAGTGAACGAACAAATCTGCATATATAGAAAATATTGAATAAATTGGCCCATATATGGCTTCCATGGGCCAATATCGTAGGCCCATTAGCTTACTCTGTAATGATGCAAATTGAATTCTCGAAATTAATGGAGACTTTCGGTGGAAAAATAAATGGTTACGACGACTTGAACATTAATTATTGGTTTATTAGTAACCGTATCATGATCACTAATAGTATAATTTTTTTATAATAAAAGTTTTATTCGGAGTAAATGTTGCCTAAACATACATGGTCGACGAATCCCACTTGTGACACAGTTGGGAAAGACGAGAACAAGTATGACACTTGTATTATTTATAATTTGTCTTGAAAAGTATATGAATGAATAAAATTATGTCCTTATCGTATTCCGTACAATTTATTCCGTCAAATTAGGAAGTTTTGAAAGACAGCAACTTTTTATAAATTGTCATTTTCAAGTTAGGTCAACTGATTTATGTAACTTGATTTTGTAATTAGATTTTGTGATGTAACAAAAAAGAACATAAGGGTTTTCATTTAGCTAAACTTAAATGATTATGGGAGCCTGCCACTTGCAAAATAATACTACTACAATAATGGATGTTTTGGTACATTATTAAATAAACTCAATGTATACGTGATGTGGTGATATAAAAATACACCGAAATTATAAATATACTAACAAAGTAGAACAACGAGCATATGTGTAAATTTGTACTCTAGTCAACGCAAGTTTTATTATTATATGGCTGGAAAAAATCATACTGAATGTGTATGTTAATACAGTCAACGGTAAAAAACTTATTCTATCCGATTTCGAGTTTTTTATTTTCATCAGGAAAATGTTGATTCTACCCTTTAACGAGTTTTTAATACATTTTCCGTGGGGATGTTACTTCTTTTTAATAAAAACCAGTTGACGACGGACTAAACAAACCAAATTTATCCAAGCCTACGTAGCAGCGACGTGGCAGTTGACCGTGAAAATAAAAGCCTAAAACGCCCACTATTGGTATACAACGGCCCATTAGAGTATCCAAGAGTCAAAGCCAGCATTACAAAAACGATACCGTTTAAGCACCGTCCCTGAAACAACGTCGTTTTACGAAGATGGTCAACAATGGTGGGAGAAATTGGACTTTATTTTATACGCTGTAAACGATGTCGTTTTGGGTTAGATGAAAAAGACAGATCCGCGGCTACGAGCCGTGTCTTCCATTATCTTCTCTCTCTCACATTATGTTTCTCCGTCTAAATTGAAATTATTCCGTGAAATTTGGGAATAAAAAAGATAAGATAAGGTATGGCTCGCACTTTAAGGAATATATGTTAATCGGCGTGCGGCTTTCTCTTTGCCTCCTATTTTTATTCCATTTCTTGTTTTTACAGTGATTTCAGCTGATTTCTGAGTTTTTAATCCTCCATCGATTCTCTGTCAGCAAAAAGTCATTTTCAGGATTGTTTTTCTTTGTTTTGTCTTATCCAACTTTTATGATTTTTTTTTGTTGGGGGAATTTGGGCAAGTTGTTTCTTTCTTTTTATAATAAAAACGCGTTCAGAAAAACTGATATAATTAATTAAAGGTATTTTGTCATTATTTAAAATGTGTGTTAAATTTTGAGTAATCGCGAAAGCTGAAATGAGCTGTTTGTCTCTACCCGATTCATATACTTATATAATTGCGTGTGCCCGTGCTTTTGAGTTGCCAGACATCCATTGATCTTCATTGCAGCTTCGTGGATTTACTTTCTCTTTCTCTTTGTTCCAAAGATTAATCGAAAGGTCTGTCTTTTTCTCTCTCTCTCTCTCTCTCTCTCTCTCTCTCTTAATTTGATGTTCATTTCTTTTTATCGTTGTATATTTATTTAGGGTTCTTCATCGTGGATAATATGTTAATTTTTTCGCTGAAATCTAGCAATCGATCTAGGGATTACTCAGGGATCGGGTGTTTCTGGGTTTGTTGTCTTTCAATTTTTTTTCTCGAATGGTTAAGTTTGTAAATTAGATCTGACAAATTTGATGAACATCTGTAGAGATTTAGCTGAAACAAAGTTCTGGGTTTTCTATTTGAATCACAAATCATTTCTGGGTTTTTGTTTCTTTGTTCATCAATTAACATGTTGATATAATGGAATGTTGTTAAAACAGTGAGAAAAACAAAAATCATGTTGGAGAAAGAGTTTTTCACGGAGTATGGTGAAGCAAGCCAATATCAGATCCAGGAAGTGGTTGGGAAAGGAAGCTATGGAGTTGTTGCTTCAGCGGAATGTCCACACACGGGAGGGAAAGTAGCGATCAAGAAGATGACCAATGTCTTTGAACACGTCTCAGATGCGATCCGGATCCTCAGAGAGATAAAGCTCCTCAGGCTTCTTCGACATCCGGACATCGTAGAGATTAAGCATATAATGCTGCCTCCTTGTCGCAAGGAGTTCAAAGATATATATGTAGTTTTTGAGTTGATGGAGTCAGATCTTCACCATGTCTTAAAGGTAAATGACGACCTCACTCCTCAGCATCATCAATTCTTCTTGTACCAACTTCTTCGTGGCTTAAAATTCATGCACTCAGGTAAGGTTTCTTGGTTCCCTCTCAAACTGTGTTTAGCTCTTCGAATTTCATCTTAATCTTTTGTTTTTTTAATACCGTCTGCTCTAAATGATACTGTTCTGATCATCTTTTGGCTCCTTGTTTGCTATGTGTTTGTCTCTACAGCGCATGTTTTCCATAGAGATCTGAAGCCTAAGAACATCCTCGCTAATGCTGATTGCAAGATCAAGATCTGTGATCTAGGACTTGCTCGTGTCTCCTTCACTGATGCCCCTTCTGCCGTTTTCTGGACTGTATGTAATCTATCCATCTCTTTTACACTTGTCAGATTCATTAAGAAATATTCTAATATGCAGAGAGTTATGTATGAATGCGTAGTTAATTAGTTTATTGTTTCTTTTACAAAAGAGGTATGTGTCTTAATGCATTTGACTTCAAATGATGATTAAGTAAATATATTATTACTTCTGCAAAGTAACCAATCTTGTCATCTTCTTTTTGCAAGGACTACGTTGCTACAAGATGGTACCGTGCTCCAGAGCTCTGTGGTTCCTTCTACTCCAACGTAAATTCTTGTTCCGTTTCCATTTAAAAGCCTTTATGCATATTGATCATTTGGTGTTTGAGCTTATGGGATGTTTGTGCAGTACACGCCGGCGATTGACATGTGGAGCGTTGGCTGCATATTTGCCGAGATGCTAACGGGAAAACCTTTGTTTCCGGGCAAAAACGTTGTGCACCAGCTAGAACTCGTGACGGATCTGCTGGGGACTCCGTCGCCGATAACTCTATCCAGGGTTTGTTTTGTTTTTATTTTTCCCGGAAGCTAACTCGCAAATACAGAGGCTTCTCTCTCTCCAAAATAAACTTGCTTTGGATGCGAGTTTTTTTTAGTTTTGTGTGTCATGAGGCTGTTTATAATGGAACTGTAGATACGGAATGAGAAGGCTAGAAAGTATTTGAGTAACATGAGGCGAAAGGATCCTGTTCCTTTCACCCATAAATTCCCCAATATCGATCCTGTGGCGCTGAAGTTGCTTCAGCGTTTGATTGCTTTTGACCCTAAGGACCGTCCCTCTGCAGAAGAGGTAATAGGGAGAGAAACTGAGTTTCCCATCTTATGATTATTGATGCTTTTGTTTATGATTATTGATGCTTTTGTTTGCTTCCTTCTTCAGGCATTAGCTGATCCATATTTTCAAGGATTGGCGAATGTGGACTATGAACCTTCGAGGCAACCTATCTCGAAGCTCGAGTTTGAGTTTGAAAGGAGGAAACTGACTCGGGATGATGTGAGGGAGCTCATGTATAGAGAGGTAAATAAAGACATGCTCAGAGAGATTAAATGGGAATTTGAGTTTTTAGGAATCTCATGAACTGATTTGGTCTCTTTCTGGATATGTAAACAGATTTTAGAGTACCATCCACAGATGTTGCAAGAGTATCTACAAGGAGAAGAGAACGTCAACTCCCATTTTCTATACCCGAGGTTTGACCCAATCTCTCAGTAAAACTAAACTTGGTTATTCGGAGAAAAATAAAACTTTGGTCTGATTTTTGTGAATCGATCTTGACAATCCAGCGGAGTTGATCAGTTCAAACAAGAGTTTGCCAGGCTCGAAGAACACAACGACGATGAAGAGGAACGTAACTCCCCACCAATGCAGAGAAAGTACACTTCACTCCCAAGGTGAGTTACTTCTTGAAACTGAAGCATGATGATGAGTTTATTAGTACGAATCAGGCTATAACCCGCTATGGTTTGTTGCAGAGAACGGGTGTGCTCATCAGAGGACGAAGGTGCAGATTCGGTTCACGCACAATCGTCTTCCTCTTCGGTGGTGTTTACACCTCCACAGACTCCAAATGCAGCGAGTGTATCATCACAGAAGACAACACAAGTAGACAAAACAGCAGCAACTCCGGTTAAACGGTCAGCTTGTCTAGTGAGGAGTGATAGTATCTGTGCTTCAAGATGTGTCGGCGTCTCCTCTGCAGTCTCATAGTCTCAAACAAACAAAAAAATGATTCTCAAGTTGTTTAGCAGCAAACCATTGATTGTTCTGCGTATTGTATCATGTCTCCCTTGAGTTTTTTTCACTCAACTCTCTTCTTCACTGCTCTTGCTCTGGTCATGTTGTGTGTATTGTGTAATGGTTTCTCTTGGAACTTGAATTCATATATATTTATCTCTTTAGAACCATATTTACAATCTATCTTTTTCGTCTGCGTCTGATTCTGAATACAATCTGAATTTTCTGAATCAATTTACAAATGAAGCACCAATACAAAGTGTTTATTTTATTTTTTGTTGTATAAATTTCTTATTACATATGTTACATAAATATTCTATCAAATCTATATAAATCATTATGAAGACATAATCTTTGATATCTTGCATGTTTTACAAGCTGACCATAAATATGTTCTATTGAAAACTCGGAAGTTAATTTTTATTGTTAAATAAGTAAATTAATTGAAGATTAAAAAACAAAATAGGAACCCTCTCAAGTGCTTCTTCTCTCTCGAAAGTCTCCTCCTACACTCGAACTTCTACTCAATTCATGTTCAGGAACTTGGAATTAGAGTGGTTTCTTTCAGCGAAATCCTCTTAAGAGACTTGCCCAATTATATTCCATTGTTCGGTTGATCGATTATCGCGCGATTCTGGTCAATTTGATTTGTCTGCAAGTGTTTCTGATTAGCGTCAATAACGCCTGTATGTGAGATTTCTTCAGGCAAGCCATGCTGTGAACTCTAATGGCGGCAGTGACTCTATCCTTTGTGCAACCCTGTGGCATGGTACTCGCCTGTTTATTTTTTTTTGTTTATGTGATTGTGCTTCTTCGGACAACGTATTCATGTGGTTTTTTCGATCTTTGATGTCTTCTTCTGAAAAATTTCTCAGTGTTTTGCTGGTAGACGATTGAGAAGTGTGATTGTAATCGAAGCTCACAGAGGAAGCTGGAATAGGATGAGGTTAGGTTTCTTGTAATACTACTATTCATCATTTTCTCTGAATTTTTTTTGTTGTTGTTTGTGTAAATTAGGTTGGTGTTAATCAATCAAATGTTGGTTTCTGTAGGTTGAGTAGTTTCCTCTTCTCCAAAGTGTGGAAGGTATCTTATCGGTCAAAGCATAAATTTCCTGAAAATTATCTGGAACAAGTTGAGAAGTCTGCTTCTGCTAGGCTTGAAAATCAGTCCAAGTTGATAAACAAGGTAAATGCAGTTTTTTCTTTTTGCTTTTTGTATATTGGTTTGATTTTTGAGCTTTTGGTATATGAATTTTGAATTCATGTTCCTCTATGCGTTTCAAATAACTGTGGTTCCCTTACACTATAACACAGGTTGCAGCTTTGATGGAGTATGATGATGTGTTTAATAAGAAATCTGATGAGCAAGTCAAGGAAGAACTCGAATCGGCGTGCAAGAGGTTCCCTGCGATCACTCTTGGCTATTCTCCTCCGGTGGAATTATACAGCAAGACCAAATCTTCAGAGGAAACAAAGAGCATTCTTCAAACTCCATCTGAAAACAGTTTCCTTCCCACTCCTATACATGTAGGATGGCTTGATCCGGACAATCTTTCCGGAACACTGTCCTCCTTCTGTCCGGAGGCTGTGAATGTTGTTGATTCTTCCGATCTCAGAGAAGAAGAAGTTTCAGATGGTTCTTCTTTTACGGTCCAGGCTGCAACATCTGAAGTTGTTGAGACAACCTCTGATGATTCTGCCGCTCAGCTTTTTCTTAGCTGTACTATAGGATGTATGCCTGGGTTAAGTAAGAGGCACAGTTATCAGCTAGACAGCTGTGGCTTCCACACGGTAGGCATTTAGATACAGGGAAACAAGAACTTTTTTTCTTGAGGAAAAGGCTTTAAACCCATTTTTCGAAACGCTCTTTCAATGCAGATGAGGAAGCTATTGCATCATTTTCCTCGAACCTATGTAGATTTGCAGAATGCACATGTTGATATTGAGGATGGACAGTACTTGATATTTGTTGGGAAAATCTTGTCTTCCAAGTGAGTATTTTTTTTTTGGTCCCAACTTGTGTTTTTTTTCTTTCTGAAATCATTCTAAACCTCATTTCTACTCTTACTATTTGTCTGTTGATAACTTCTCTACTGTTACGTATCGGTAACCTTCATGTATTGGTTATGCCTTATGTGTTAAGCCGCATCTACACGTTTTGGAATTTAAATTTGAACTCTGTGCACTTTAATGTGCAGGGCAGTAAGAGCTAGCTCTTCATTTTCATTTCTTGAGGTTATTGTCAGCTGTGAAGTTACAGGCAAAGACAGAACTCTGGAGAATCTGACTCATAATGCCAATGCTAATGGAGGAAAAACATTTTTTTTGCATCTGAAGAGATTTTTCCGTGGTGCTCGCTTTACGTGGCAACCATTTCTTTATAGTATTCAAGAGAAACATAGACCTGGGGACCTTGTATGTGTTAGCGGAAAGGTTAGTCATTTGGTTCCCCTAAACTTGTCTTTGTGTGTTCTTTTTATGCCGTGCTTGGGTAGTGTACTTGTTTGTCGTACTGCCGCATTAGTCTTTAGCTCTCTTCCTGAGGTAAACTGTAGAAGCTTGGTTTTGTTTTAAGACAATTAAAAAAAAAATCAGATTTACGTGGATGAAAGTTTTTGGCAACCGTGGTGATTCAAAAATATGTTGATATTCTCTTCTAAATCTAGGTGAAGGCGTTGCCTGCAGAAAATCATTTTGAAATGAAGGAATACAATATTGATGTACTCAGAGATGAAGATGAGTCATCTCTTCGAGTTCAAGGGAGACCATATCCTATTTACCCGTCAAAAGGAGGGTTGGCCCCAAAGTTCCTTAGCGATGTTATCTCCAGGTTTTGTTTCTCTTTCTAATCCATGATACTCTGTGGTGGTGGCTGAAAATTGCATTTTCTTTTGAGTAAAAGCCTCACCTCGAACATGATCATTGATGCTTCAAGATTGGCCTCAGTATAATAATTGTTCTTCACATGTAATAAAAACACTTGAACTGCCCCAGAACAAAGCATTACATATATCGATCTTGTTTATCACACCTCACCCACTATGTCTCTTAGGGTTCTGCGCGTTCTCCCTACCAATATGGATCCGCTTCCTAAGGAAATCACTACAGTTTTTGGCCTACCATCTCTCCATGATGTAAGTCTTGTTTCTCTGTTGAAGCATGCTCTTTGATTAACTTCTTCTTTAATCCACAACGAATCTTTTCGTCTTCAATTGCTTTGCATTTTCACTTTTGTCCTCGCTGTAAATGTAGGCCTATATTGGTATGCACGAGCCCAAGAATTTAGATGAGGCTGATTTAGCTCGCAAAAGGCTTATATTCGACGAGTTCTTTTACCTACAGGTAGCTAGCTAATTGTCTTCTCAGAAATAACATTCTTAATCATAATTTGATAGTAAAAAGAGGCACTTCATTTGCTGAATTTTCTTTTCATCCAGTTGGCACGCTTGTACCAAATGCTTCAAGGTCTTGGCACAAAATTAGAGAAAGATGTACTGCTGGAAAAGTTTAAAAATCCAGTGCTCAATTCCGTTTATATAGAAGAATGGTCCACTCTCACCAAGAGTTTTCTGAAGGCTCTACCATATTCCCTTACTCCTAGCCAGCTAAGTGCTGTCTCAGAAATTATATGGGATCTAAAGCGTCCGATTCCAATGAATCGGCTTTTGCAGGTAGTTTTGTCGATGGAGCTGGCTGATTATTCTTTTCTTTTTTTTGGGTTATAGTTGTGTTCTTCTCTTGTTGTCGTTAGCCAGTTTACTCGACTAAATTTTACAGTGATTGTAAACTTGTTTGTTGTTAACAAAGGAAAGTTTCTTAATAGATGGGTTTCCTTTTTAGGGTGATGTTGGATGTGGAAAAACAGTGGTTGCTTTCTTGGCGTGCATGGAGGTCGTAGCATCTGGTTACCAGGTTGGTCAATGAAATCTCTCCACAGCCTTTATAAATATCATCGTGTGAAGTTAATTTCTTATTCAAATCCTCTTTTTATACGTCATTGACTCATTATTGACATGTTACCACCCTCTTCCCATATGTAGGCAGCTTTCATGGCTCCCACAGAATTACTTGCGATCCAGCACTACGAACAGTTGCGTGATCTGCTGGAGAAGATGGAGGGAGTAGCATCCAAGCCAACCATTGGGTTGCTCACAGGCTCAACCCCGGCAAAACAGTCACGATTGATTCGCCAGGTAAGTCATGCAGCTAATAAGTCGCTTCGAATTATACAATGCAATACGTTTGCCTTCCTTATCGCTGGATATTGATGACAGGATCTTCAAAGTGGAGCTATATCGATTATAATTGGAACTCACAGTCTCATTGCTGAAAAGATAGAGTACTCTGCATTACGTATTGCCGTGGTTGACGAGCAGCAACGGTTTGGTGTAATCCAAAGAGGCAAATTTAACAGCAAGGTCAGGCCCCAGAATGTTTTGTTTCTATCAGATAATTGCTTAAATGACTAGTTGAAATATCCTATGATCGAAACAAGCATATAATTCGTTAACTGAAGTAAGTTTATTGCTGCGTGGCTGCTGCAGTTATATGGGACATCTATGATATCAAAAACTGGCTCAGCTGACTCTGATGATACTTCCAAAGCTGATCTCAATATGGCTCCTCATGTTCTTGCAATGTCAGCCACTCCAATCCCAAGATCACTTGCCCTAGCGTTATACGGAGATATTTCTTTGACTCAAGTATGTAAACTGTTTCCATTTTTAATTCATCAGGAACAAACTTACTTGTTCCGTGTGTTTAAACGTCTATAAGTATTGTTAATGACTTGCGATTCTTTTTATTCCTTCAGATTACTGGCATGCCACTTGGGAGAATTCCAGTTGAGACGCACATTTTCGAGGGAAATGAGACTGGCATCAAGGAAGTCTACTCGGTATTGCCTAAGACAATAACTACATCTCATTTCTTGACTCCCAGCATACAAACATTTATTCAAGACCTTGTTTTTGATTTTTAAAATTTCAACAGTGTGTTGTATCTAAACCTATCATATTTCAATTGTCAGATGATGCTGGAAGACCTGAAGTCTGGAGGGAGAGTATACCTTGTGTATCCTGTTATTGAACAATCAGAGCAACTGCCACAGCTCCGTGCTGCTTCTGCTGAGCTCGAAGTAATATCCAAAAAGTTTCCAAAGTACAGCTGCGGACTATTACACGGAAGGATGAAGAGTGACGAGAAAGAAGAGGCTCTAAGAAAATTCAGAAGCGGAGAGACACAGATACTTCTCTCCACCCAGGTGATAGAGATTGGTGTTGATGTTCCAGACGCTTCAATGATGGTTGTCATGAACGCTGAAAGATTCGGGATCGCTCAGTTACACCAACTCCGAGGACGTGTTGGCCGTGGAACCAGAAAATCGAAATGCTTATTAGTTGGATCAAATACCAATAGCCTGAAACGGCTGAATATGTTGGGGAAATCATCAGATGGGTTTTACTTGGCAAACATAGACCTTCTTCTACGTGGACCTGGTGATTTGCTTGGGAAGAAACAGTCCGGGCACTTACCAGAGTTCCCGGTCGCTAGGCTAGAGGTAGACGGCAATATGTTGCAGGAAGCCCACATAGCCGCTTTGGTAAAAACATTCATTCTCTCGTTACAGTCAAATAATAAACTTCAATGTTCTCTGGAATCATTCTTTGCCTTTGATGCTATGTTTCCACAGACAGTCCTTGGAGATTCTCATGACCTTGAGAAGTTTCCAGCGCTTAAAGCAGAGCTTAGCATGAGACAGCCACTTTGTCTACTAGGGGACTAAAAGGTTGCACAGGCCACAATGTACATACCATTTTCCTAGTAGTACATACTCGGTATGTCGCATTCCCTATTTAGTATTTTCGGTTTTATGACATGACACACAACATGTTGTTAGTAGCATAATCTTTTGGGGTCAATCTCGGAGTATCCATGTGTGTACATAGTAGCTTTAAGTTTTGTGTTCATGTGAAAAAAGGGAAGAATATTTGGAGTTGATGCATTGTAGAGTTGTGTGGTCTCGTTTGAATAGGACTTGAACTAATGGGATCAATAAAAAGTTAGTATATAAATTAGTGGTTGCTTTATACTACTAAACCCTAGTTTATAGGAGAGTTTTACTTTTTGTGGAGTGTGTGAATTAATGTAGAAAGTGGTAATAGGAATGGGGATGGTGAGTGGACCCACAGGAGTTTTATGGGGTAGCAGCAACCAATGAGGAGATTCACGGGGAGGGACAAAGAGACAAATGGTGGCCCACAAAATGTTTCCTACCCAATCATCAAAGAATGGGACCCACTAACCTCCTTGTCTCCTCCATGTCTTTTGCCCCCAACAAAAAAAAAACCTTCTCTTCGATATTGAAACTTGAAGTGTTGGTAAGTTGTTTCACATCTCATGGACACTTCTTGTGCGCGAATCGGTGTCCTTCATCATTCTGCGTCTCCTTTGTCACTAACAAATCAGTCCATCGTATAAACCACTTAGCTTTCTCTACTATACAATACAAGATCTAGATTGAATCGATCATTATTAAAGTATATCAGACATGTTTTGAGGAATCGAAACATAATCAAGAGATCATCGTTTGAGATACAACCCTGTTTGAGAGCTATAATTGGTGCGAGTCGACAATATTTTGATGATGATTATGGGATTCTACATTATTTTATATGATGAATTAGCATGGGAGGTGGGGTTGATAAAGGCAATCATGATAAGACAATTCTCTTGTTTATTTTGAACACTACAAGACCAAAAGCTTTCACGCATAACTATGCCGGCTTTTGAACCCCCTTGTTTTATTTACAATATTCTGTATAATGTAGTTGCATTAATGTTATTGATGATTGTCTTTTGAGCGATTTTGTTGGAACTGAAATTGAAACCTTATGAGTAGCAAAAGTAAAAAAAAATGAAATATAAATAGAATGTGTATGGATCCAAAGAGTAGAAGAAAATGATTAAGAGACAAGACAAAAACTTTTTTTTTTTTTTTTGACTTTAGAAGATAGTGATGTCGGAAGATAAATCTGTGTACGTCCCGAGACGAATGATTTGCTCATCGGAAGCTACAAAAGCTGTTTGTACAAATTGGGGATCCTCTTTACATTTTCTATAATATCTTCTCTCCCACCCTCAGATTATATATATGCTCCTTCCATGACAGTAATAATTGAAGCTTTAAAATCCACACAAAATTTATATTAGCAACCGTTGATATCTTCAAAAACAGTGGTCACTTACTGCAATAATTAAAAGGAACGAAAATGAAATACAATACCAAGTTTTAACTATTGTGATTAAAGCCGTTAACCATTTTCAATTTTACAGATATATAAATTCAATGAATAAAAAAGGGTAGACAATGATTGTAGTTGTGTGCTATCAAGCGCACAAAGAATATGGTGGTGGTGACTAGTGACTACACAAATCTGGTCTGTTTTATGAACTGCCTTAAATGCTTTTATTTATTTTTGAAATTAACGTAATGAACGCAAATCATCATGCACCAACAAAGATAATCAGTCTTTTACAACAACAACAACAAAAACTACGATAATCGTTACCATTTTATTTCTGTTGTTTCTTTAAGGCAATCCCAATGCTTGAGCGAGACAAACAGTTGTTGTATACTTATAAGATATATTGTTTGAGAATCTCTGTTTCGAATCTAATTGATATAGATATAGGTACGTTTTTGTAATAAGAGATATAACTTTCCCATATGTTTTTGCGTCTCGGTCACTTTTATTCTGTCGATATGCAGCTTATAATTATAGCAGCTGTTAGAGCCGGAGCAACATTGTTTAACAGAAGAAAAGGAAATAGACAAATTAAAGACGCACGTAAAGGTCCAAACAATCGATCTTGAGATGATATAAGACGAAGAAAAAAAAAGGAAAAGTTCATCTTGATATCATAAACTCGTTCAATATGATGGAGAAAGCTACCTAGCTAGTCTTCGGGCTTGGACGTTATTGCAATCAACTTCTTACAGCTTGTCTCGAAGGAGTCACCATTACCTTTAAAATACATAACTTTTGTTTGATGTCGCTATTGATCAATAAAAATGTTGTACTTCCATGCGTTGAGCTAACAAGAAATATATTGGATTCATGGTGTTTCTAAAAGAATAAAAGAGAAATGATTACTGTTTTTTCTTTCAATTATTACCTTTCTTCTTTACAAACTTCTACAAATTTATTTTTAGAATATGAGATACAGTATATAAGAAACAAATACTATATGATTGTCATAATCACGAAATCGTGGACACAAACCAAATAATTAAGCAGTCAGTTGAAGGAATGTCTGTGATTAAAATTCATCTTATTAGTTTTTTTTTTGTCAACACATCTTATTAGTTTTATGCAAAAATAAGTATATGACTCATGCAAATGACCAAGAATGCACTATAAAAAGTCTAGACCGGTCCAGTCTGTTATCTTATAATATTTATTTTTCTATTATACTATTAATGATTAAAGTGATACACGTACGTAGTATATAAGTTCAACAAACTTAACGTATAAAATAAACATACTCACATTATTATAAATCTACATGCATTACACATATACACAAAAAAACTGATCAAATTTGTAATAAAAATGCATCGCAATATCAATAATCAATATTTAAATATAGCAAAATGCATATATGCATGTGAATTGTTGAAAAATACATACATGAAAAAGAAAAAAAATCCGAAATAGTTTGGTCTAACATAAATAACTACCATTGTACTTAATGAGTAAATAAATAAAAACTGTTAAATAATTAGTGTAACGTTACAATGTTTCATGGTTAGCCGATCGGTGGACACTGACCCACGGTTATAGTATAAACTATTATTGAGCCAGGTGGTAACACATATCTCATATTCTTATCTTGTATTAAATGCCTCCTTAGGCCTCGTCTATAAACCGCACGAAGATTCAACAAATCCATAGAAAACGTGTATTAATTATGATTAGTGAATATGCGTTTCTACCTCAATAATTTTCACCAGTTATATTTTCACCCTCCCATTAATAACATACCATGCACATCATCTCCATTCCATACTGTATATGGCTGCATATATTTATATAAAAATGTAATTAAAGTGAATAAATAATAAAGTAATGCGAGATATGTGGATTGTGGAGAAGCGTATAGAGTAAGAAGAGTTCAGGGTCTCAATCATTTTCACAAGCTTAGTATTTGGACCGACTCAGGTTTCCTCAGGAAAAATTTAAAGAGAATCGAGCAAAGGTTTGATTTTCAAAAATTAATAGTATAAATTGAAATTGATCGAATAGTAAATGTTAATTAATTACATAAACAAACAGAAAACCTGCTGGTTAGTCTCCCACACGGAGTCAGCATTTACTCCGCATTGATCCTACTGTATGGCACGTGTCACTTATTCGACGACTCTTCTCAGATTCCTTTGACCGGCGGACTTCGGTCAAAAGGCCCGCGCTCTTGTATTTATTAATCGATGACTAGATTTTGCTATTAATTTAAAACTAGTACAGTATATTTTATTTTCAAATTTAAATTCGACACTTTAAAAAAAATTCATATATAGATGAGTTGATAGAGTTAAATAATTGTATAAAATTTATTAAGATGGACCTATACAATAGCCATCTTAATGTTTTCCTCTAACATTACATTGGCTTATCCTTTATGATAAAACTACTATTTACGTACATATGACAATAATATAAGTACACATACTACATTTACATATAGTACTATATATGGATTACGCATGCGTGCGTGTATATATATATATATGTGATTTATATGTATGTGTAAATATAAATATAAAGGCATCGCCACGCTTCAAGTTTTGTCTCTTTATTATTAGTCTTCCTCCCTAACTTTACCTTTTCTTCTTCTTCTTGTTCTTCTTCTTCTTCTTCTTGAAGAACCCTAAAATAAATAACTAATGGCGATTTTACCAGAAAACTCTTCAAATTTGGATCTTACTATCTCTGTTCCCGGTTTCTCTTCTTCTCCTCCCTCCGGTAAGCTAAACATACACTAATATACCATATTTGTGGGGCTTGTGTTCGGATTCTATGTTTCTTTTGGTTGATGGTCTTTACTATTTCATTTTACAAGGAAATATCATAATTGATAAAAACAAGATATCATGTATACATAATGATTTTTTTCATTGCCATATTTCACAAACTGAAACTGAATAAATAAATAAATATAAATTTTTTTTTTTTTTTACATATCGTCTTATTTTCTTTGATCACAATATTCCGTTTGTTCGTCGCTGTTCATATATATAATGTAGACCCAATAAGTTTCAGATGAAGGAAGTGGCGGAGGAAGAGAACAGCTAAAGCTAGACATGAATCGATTGCCCTCGTCTGAAGACGATGAAGAACTCAGCCACGGTGGCTCTGCTCCTACGCGCAAGAAACTCCGTCTTACTAGAGAACAGTCTCGTCTTCTTGAAGATAGTTTCAGACAGAATCATACTCTTAATCCCGTAAATCATTTTACACTTTAAACAGAATCAATACTTTTAATATAAAAAAATTACTGTAATTTATGTTACTCTATTTTCTCGTAAAAAATGCAGAAACAAAAGGAGGCACTTGCAAAGCATTTGATGCTACGGCCAAGACAAATTGAAGTTTGGTTCCAAAACCGTAGAGCAAGGTACGATTTCTTTTTCATTTATTAGTTTTTACCTACTTTTTATTTTTACATCATTGGTGGGTAAAATATCTGACTATATTTTAAAATATTAAACAATAATCGGGTGGTTTATGATTGATTTGGGAGTTCACATAAGCGTTAAACGTTGACGGAATATAAAATAAAGCAACAAAAAAATGAAATCTGAATCGGATTCGACCCACCCCGTTAACATATAAGTCGTACCCTTAAATAATAAAAAGCTAATGTTGTCCTTTTCATACATTATATCTCATTCCTCCATCAAATATCTATTTTTTTAATGCTTTCCTTCTAGGTCCTTCTTAAATTCTCGAAGAGTTATAATATATATGAATCACACCACTTGCTACACATATGAAAGGAGAATTTCAATTGTCCTAAACTTCTCATGTCAAATAATTTACAAAAAGAAAGTAACAGCCACTCAATTAAACGCACATATTGATAAAAGTAATATATTAATGTCGAAGTAGTTATATGTGTCACATCAAGTATATATGTGTTGTTGCATGGTTATTTTCACAAGTGACAACAGCATTTTGAAGCCGCCAATTATGATATCCATTAACACGTTTTTTTAATGTGTAACCTAGCTAGAGTAAGTTTTGTTTTAAAAAAAAAGAACACTTTGGCTCGTGTACGTCGCCAATACATACGTGTATACATAAATACATAAACCTAAATTTTCATCACGTGTCAAGGTCTCAACGTTTTATACACTCATCACTAGTCTTTTTACATTTTTTGGGGGGGTAACGTATAGTTCTTCAATTTCTGCATGAATCTAATTTATTCATGTGTCTAAAATATACTAATCAATATATGGATCGTCGTTAGTCATTGTTGAAAAGGAAATTGCTACTCATTTGAAATATAAAATAAAATATTTAATATAGATCCCTCAATAGTTAATGAACGGATGGGAAATGTAGGGTGCAATAAATAAGAAGAGTTTGAACATTGGTCGTATAATATTATTATGACGGTTTCCCAAAATATAACTATAATCATAACCACGCCCTTTTTATAATAGAAGCATAGTTCTATTTTATAGCCTCTTATGTCTTTCAAAGTTTTCAGTACTATATGTCGTCGTTTTTAATTTTATTTATTGATAAACGGTCCAAGTAAATCAATCGATGTGTTTCTCTCTTCTGCCTCGTGTACTTGCTTTCTCATCAATGCCCTTTGACTCATAATTCATTGGGCCGTTCATGCGTTTTATTTTCCATGATTTCCCTATATATATATATATATATATTAATATATTTATTTGCATCGTCGACAAGCATTTGATATATACTCCTACTTGTTAGTATGTTTATATCACATAAAAAAATAATTCGTACCCTTCCATTTTGGATTGGTTTGACTTAGGAGCAAACTGAAGCAAACTGAGATGGAATGCGAGTATCTTAAAAGGTGGTTTGGCTCATTAACCGAACAAAACCACAGGCTCCACAGAGAAGTAGAAGAGCTTAGAGCCATGAAGGTGGCCCCACTCACGATGACCTCAGCCTCGAGCCTCACCATGTGTCCTCGCTGCGAGCGAGTCACCACTGCAGCGAGCCCCTCGATGGCGACGGTGGCGGCTCCGGCCAAGAAAAAGCTTCGGCCGCAAGAGTGTGAGCATTGATCCATATATGTTATTTTAATTATTGGATATGGTTTAGAAGTCAACGAAGGTGATACCATGAATGAGAGAAAAAAAAAGATATTATGATCACATGATTTCGTGTAAATAGTACTTAGGGATTATATGCGCGCACAACAAATCTTTGTAAATATTTTTATTTAAATCAGAAATCCAATCTCCCTATTTTGTTTGGAAAATATGAATAATGTGATTGTTAAAATAACGTTTTTAAAACGTATACCTGAACATTCAACTATAAAACAGTTATCAGTAAAATACGATTACAGATGAATCATTTAAAGACGAAAAAATAATCAACGGTTTTTATTTGTAGAAATTTATCTTCCTCCTTCGACCAATTTGGGTTTGATAAAAAACTAAAGAGCCCATATAGGTATTACAGTATGTGGGCCGCAATGAAATGCCCCAGTTCGAATATCTCTACATCGTTGAATACGTGCATTAATGCTCGGATATAGATCACAAAAACGCGAAACAATGTGGCTGTTTGAAGTTAATGGCCCATAATACAGTATGGGTCGTAAATATTTGAAATCGAACAGCTAAATTAACTTTTTATCTCGTTGGAAATTTTCTAGACTTAAGGCCAGAAAAGTAAAGAACTGTGTGTCAATTTTTATTTTGAAGCCGCAGTTAAAATGACTATTTTACAATCACATTGCAACGCTAGGCCCCGTAAATTAAGTACTAGTAGAAGATTTTACCCAAAATCTACAATCTTCTAAAAATTGGGACCTGAATACAAAAACTTTTTGAGCCCCTTGGTTTGGTAGCGACGGGGACGACCCGGCGCGAGCTAGGAAAAGGCATGCATGGGAATGGACCATGTGCGTGTCACGTGACGTTATTATTGGTGTCTTTATTATTTTGATCAAGACACGTGGACCACTATTCTTGGTTGTTAAAACCCATCAGCATCTGCTTAAGGAATAAGGACGCATTAGCTCTTTTGAGAAAATTACAGCTGTGATCTTTTTTGATGGGTCCATAGTCCAGATCATCATGTCTTACTATAACATTTGATAAAAAAAAAAGGGTGAGATATATAATATAACGAACATGTACGTATGTGTTTTATAAGCATATGAATCTCACAAACGAAAAGGTAATTGATCTTGTAGGTACGCCAAACTCGATACGTTTCTATCCAACGATCTATGATCTATTTTTATAATAGTAAATCGTGATATTATAAAATTTATAATTAGTAGTTTAATGGTAAGTTTATTTTTAATTTGAAATGTGGAGAACGAGAAACGAATATCGATTATCAATGGTGATGTGACTCGTGCTCTTGTTTCTTCGGTTATCTCCATGTGATTAGGTGTGTGTTAGAAAATATGTCGTTAACAAAATATGCCTCCACGAGTACTCTCTTAAACAATTTGTAGCTTCCCATGATTAGTGATTGGGCCGTATCAAGTAGTATTATTAGGTCAAGCTCTATTCGTCTAGAAACAAAAAAACAAGGAAAATTCAAATATATTTGTATCTAAATATGATTGGGTTGAATATGATTGAGGTGTCTTATGTGGGTTGAATAATAAGATTCTGATCTTCGGCCGAAAAAATGATATTATCAACTATAATTAATCATTGAGATCCTTTGAGTTTGAGCAACATTATCTAAGTCACAAGTTCAGGTATAGAGAGCTAACTAGGAGTGTTCTGCTTCAATGTATGCGACACATTTTTCTTACTCTAGTTGTGATAAAGGTAAAATTGCGAAGGATATTCATAAGGCTACTTTGGTTGCAAAGCAAAATATCAACACTATATAAACATTCTCATCATATCATATAGCTATAGGCCACACGAACTATTTTTTGCAAATTCCACCAAAAGATCTATTGTATAGTTTTTTGATAATCTGGAAGTTTGAAATCTAAACCTATATATATATATATCAACTACTGTAATTTGAGATTTAACGATTTATAATACCACAACACGGCTTAACCCTTCCAAGAAATTCTAATCTAGTCATGGGAAGTGAATTTTTGTTTGAAAAACAAATTATTGGTGTGTGTTTCTAATTCAACGGTTCAACAGTATTCCGACCTAACACTAATGACATTTGTTCTTCTTGTAATTTTTTGTCGCTTCTTTGTACACTAATGACACTTTTTACTTTATTTGGAATTGGAATTTATATTTTACATTAATAAAAAAACGATCTCTTTCATATACTGAGATACTCAGATACAGTATTATTCGCGATAGTTATGTGTCACGAAAAAATGAAATGTGTCACGAAAAAATGAAAGATAAAAAAAATATTCGCCAAGTTTTTCGCAAACTTTAAAAAGTTTGGAAACTTTCACCACTTTTGTTGCTTGTGTGATGATGGCTCGTAATCAAAATGGTAGCGAAAGCAGTTAGTCATAGCAACGACTATTCCATAAAAACTGTCCACGTCCCGCCAGAAACTCACCCACATGTGATTTGCCACGTGTCCCCACTCAACTACACACTCCTTTAATATTAATATTAATTCATTTAATTACACTTAACGTAATCGTGTGCTGATGAGTGAGAGAGATGATAACACTGTCACTGCCTCACAACCTCTATATAAGTATGACTCCCAAGTCATCCCCTTCTTCTAAAATTAGTACTTTCCTCTTTAACGGTTTAATTATTCTTCCCATTTTACCCTTCGACTCTCCTTTTAATTTCCCTTCAAATGCCACTATCTTCCTCTTCTCACTAAACCCCCCCAAAGTAACCCAACCGACTCACCGGGAAAATGATTACGTGGCACGACTTGTACACCGTTCTCACGGCGGTGGTGCCGCTTTACGTCGCCATGATTCTAGCTTACGGATCCGTCCGGTGGTGGAAGATATTTTCCCCAGACCAGTGCTCCGGCATCAACCGCTTCGTCGCCATTTTCGCAGTCCCTCTCCTCTCCTTCCACTTCATCTCCACCAATAACCCTTACGCCATGAATCTCCGGTTCATCGCCGCCGATACGCTTCAGAAGATCATCATGCTCGTCTTGCTCGGCCTCTGGGCGAATCTGGCGAAGAACGGAAGCTTGGAGTGGCTAATCACCATCTTCTCTCTCAGCACTCTCCCAAACACTCTGGTCATGGGGATCCCTTTGTTGATCGCTATGTACGGCATCGAGGCAGGCTCTCTCATGGTCCAGGTCGTTGTTCTTCAGTGTATCATTTGGTACACTCTCCTCCTCTTCCTGTTCGAGTACCGTGGCGCGAAGCTTCTGATTATGGAGCAGTTCCCGGAGACAGCGGCGTCGATTGTCTCGTTCAAGGTCGAGTCCGACGTCGTTTCGCTAGACGGCCATGATTTTCTCGAGACGGATGCTGAAATCGGAAACGACGGGAAGCTTCACGTCACGGTGAGGAAATCAAACGCCTCGAGGCGGTCGCTGATGATGACTCCTCGGCCTTCGAATCTGACCGGAGCCGAGATCTATAGCCTAAGCTCGAGCCCGAGAGGTTCGAATTTCAACCACTCCGACTTTTACTCGGTGATGGGGTTTCCCGGCGGGAGGCTATCCAATTTCGGTCCGGCGGATCTATACTCGGTTCAATCTTCCCGTGGTCCGACTCCACGGCCATCGAATTTCGAAGAGAACAACGCCGTGCGGTACGGATTTTACCCTAACGGTTCGGTTCCACCAGCAGCAGCCGGGTCGTACCCGGCTCCGAACCCGGAGTTCTCCACCGGTGGTTCAACTAAACCGAACAAACTCCCTAAAGAAAACCACCAGCTGGATAGCAAAGGTAGCCATGACGCCAAGGAGCTTCACATGTTTGTCTGGAGCTCGAGCGCTTCGCCGGTTTCCGACGTGTTTGGCGGAGGCGGAGGCGAACACGTGGCATCGGAGCAATCCGAACAAGGCGCCAAGGAGATTCGAATGGTTGTCTCTGATCAACCTCGAAAGAGTGATGTTAGAGGTTTGAATTAATAACTAAAATTAATTATAGTTTCTCAAATATTGTATTGAACTAAAATTAAATTCCAATTTCTGCATTTGATTCTGATTCTGGTTCTGACAGGTGGTGAGAATATGGGCGGGGGCGATGACGACGGTGGAGAGGGTGAAAGAGAGATAGAGAAAGCTTCGGCAGGGCTGAACAAGGTGGGATCCAGTTCCACGGCGGAGCTAGAGGCGGCCGGTGGAGATATCGGCGGCGGAGGTACTGGAACACACATGCCGCCGACGAGTGTGATGACGCGACTTATTCTGATAATGGTGTGGCGAAAACTCATCAGAAACCCAAACACTTACTCCAGTCTTATCGGTCTCATCTGGGCGCTTGTTGCTTACCGGTCAGTCCAATCATTTTTTTGTTTACTATGGATAAGGAAATAATATTTATTTATTTGAGAAATGGAATAATTGTAATATGGACTAATGGGTATGGTTTTTTTTGTTTGGAAGCAGGTGGCATGTGGCTATGCCCAAATTAATACAACAATCCATCTCCATACTCTCAGATGCTGGTCTCGGAATGGCTATGTTCAGCTTAGGTAATAAACACACAAACCTTTCTTCATCTTCCCCTTGTAATAAAAAGAGAGAATAATACAAAGCAAGATTCAATGCTCTCTAATCTTAAGATTATAAACATAATGTTGAGTTTTTAAAACATCTGATCTTATCTGTAAAGATTCATTAAATGCAAAGGTGGGTCTAGGTTATTTTAGCTAGTCGTAATAATCCAGCTTGTGATTAGTAAAAGTCATATTGGACTGTACAACGCACTTACCCAAAGAGAAGCCGGACCCTCTGACCTTGTGACCCAGACACGTTGGGTGGGTCCGGTCCCCACACCAAGCCAGTGGCTGTGTGTACTTATTTGGGTCTCACCAACTAGCTGACCTAACTCTTGCTGTCAATCTCTTAAACCCCTTTGATTGATTGATTGTTTTTTTTTTGTTTTTGGTGTAATTTTAAGGTTTGTTCATGGCACTTCAACCCAAAATCATTGCTTGTGGGAACTCAGTCGCCACGTTCGCTATGGCAGTCAGATTTATAACTGGTCCCGCCATCATGGCTGTTGCTTCGCTCGCCATTGGTTTACACGGCAATCTCCTCCGTATAGCCATCGTTCAGGTATTAAAATATTCGTCGATTTCACTCGTTAAAATCATTTTGGTCTTTAATAATACATTCAAAATGACGATGTTGAGTGTTCGTTATTATTATAGGCTGCGTTGCCTCAAGGAATAGTTCCGTTTGTGTTTGCAAAAGAGTACAATGTGCATCCCACGATTCTCAGCACTGGGTAAGTTCAAAAACTTAACATATTACAACAATGTTATTTCTGGTTAAAATTATGAAAATAACATATATGTTGTTGTTGGTGATGTTGATATTTGGAATTGTGAAAATGGATGCAGGGTAATATTTGGAATGTTAATAGCCTTACCAATAACTCTGGTCTACTATATTTTTCTTGGCCTGTGAGAAAATGGTTCCTACGCCTCCAACTTCAAGTGGCTTTTGAGTTTTGAGAACGCCGCCTCGGAGATTGGGTTATATATTTCTCGGTAATCAGGAAATAAACAAAAGGCTTTGAATTCGTGGGAAAGAGTGGAAGGTGAAGAAGAAGATATGCCTTTTGTTTTGGTTTTGGTTCCAATATTTCTGGAACACAACAAATGTACTTAGGATTTAGTGAACAAGATTGCATAGATTAAGGATCTTGTCCTCATTACTCGCCCCCCAAAAAAAAAGAAAAAAAAACCTCTCTTGTATCGATCTTTATATTTTGTTTTCTGTTTTTTTTGTTTGTTAAATTATTTGTAGATTTTTGCTAAGCAGCTGTAATGCATCGTTATACACCAGTGTGTGTGTATATGCACCATTTATTAACTGAGTGTGTGCACCTTATGGTCATATAATATCACTAGCTTACTACAGCTGCAAATTAAGTGGTCAATTCGTACTAACATATGGATTATTTTACAACAATCTTATTCACTAATTAAGTAATTTAATCATCATACGATGCATGTTTACGGTCCCGTTTTCTGAAAGCATCCTGAGTTTGTTCACCCGTGACTTATCGCGATCTCATTCCCAAAATGTGGATATCAGTTCACAGCACTTTCTCACGGACAATAAAGAAATAAATTGTTTGAAAAGTTGGACCCGATCGTCAAGTTACGTTGGCCGCTTTAGTTTTAAAACTTTAATTTTATGGGGCCACTTTTAGTTTTTAACTTTTTTTAAAAAACATTAGAAATATGCTCCATCCATATGGAGTTTTTGGTAAATGTTTGGAGATTAAAACTTTTTGTATAATGTCTCATCATAAGCTAATGGTATGTTTGTAGAGATGCTACTCGCGCCAACCTCATGTGGCTACTGCGAAAATTTGACAAGTGATCTACCCAACCCAAAGCCCAAAAAATATTATAAAAAATATAACTTTAAGCTATATGGGAGAATAGGAGATCCGAAAATGACTTTAAAAGTTAGCATAACTTTAAAACTTAGCATAGTAATCTTAAGCATACAAACTCATCAGAGTGTACTTATCACTCTGCATGCAGACTCATCTTAATCCTAAAATTTACCAATTCCATTCCTCCTCAAACTCAAGCAGATAGTTATGCAAAACTAATTGAGTGTGAGTGGATATATATGATGAAAATTAAATGAATGCAGATCTAAGATCGACCAACATGCAGTCTCCTTCCGAAAGCGACGATGCACTTCACTTAACGACAAAAGTAAACCTTTCTATTTTTTGCAACTAGATTTGTTTTTGGGGTTAAATGTTAAAACTTTATTACAATGAAATGAAGCATTTCTTTTGCAACTAATTAAACCTTTTTATTTTTGTCCTTTACACACATATATACCGAAAAAATCTTTTACATATATGGCCTTAATTAATTTCTTTTTTTTTATCTGAATTTTTTTTTAAAACATATATTTCAAAATTTCATGTAAAATAAAAGCGTCGTACCACGTGTGTGTTGGAACATCAAAATTCGAGCATCAAATACCATAATATTGTGGACCACACTTTTTATTCGCATTTCGATTGTATCACTTGACTAAGCTAATATATCTTCGTGGAACTAATCAATAGTCAAAATGTTAAATTTATCACATTCCCCACATAGTATCGGTAATATCACGAAAAGGATTTTTAATGGGTTCAAAACTGAATAAACTAGACAACTTCGATTTTGCATCCACTTTGAAAATAGCAGCATTTTTGTTTCTATCCTTTCTGAAAAAAAAAATATGTTTATTATTTCCCCTTCTCCTCTGTCTACTTTGTATGTATGAATATCTTGCCAATGGAATTTCTAATCAACGTAACTGGTTAGTGAGCCTCATCGACGAGTCCACGCAAATAACAATATGGTCCTCATTAAATCAAATAAATAGATTCGTTGTGCAACGACTGTATCCAAGTGGTAGTTTGGTTCTATTAAAATGTACTTTTGCTTGTTTTGGACCGACATTTTTGTTATATGCTATGCTCAAGTTTCCTACAATCTAATCGAGTACCAAAAGTTAATGTGAAAAATTATTCTTGCCCTTTTTCTACCAATCTTTTATAAATGACTTTTCAAGTATTTCATCATGATGCTAGTCTACTAGACTCAGTCCATTAGGATGCAATATTGAAGATTTTTTTTATCGTGCAAATGCAAATACAAAGAATAAAAGCCATATGTATATTGGATTGGGCGATTTTACCGATCGATATGATCCGTATGTATATAAATAATAACGGATATAATAATTGTCTATTCAGATATATCCGACTAACATACCAATCAAATTTGTAATATGTCGTTAAAGTATTTTTTGAGATTAAAATAGAGATAAACTTGAAGTATAGTCATTTTCTTAATTAGTAGTAGTTTATACTATTTTGTTCGTAACTGAAAACAGGGACTCTAATATCGGTTCGATGAAACAAACGACATAAAAGTCGACCATCGAAGCGAAGGCACTTTTGCATAGACAGCTTGGCCTTACTCTTGACGTTATCATAAGAGTTCGGTTTACACGTGTTTCAACGGATAAGAATAAGAATCATAAATATCAATAAATTTTCTTACATATATATTCTCCGGAGGGTTTGTATTGTATACTTTGTTGTATCTAATCTGACTTTTCACGAAAAGAAATGCTTGGAATTAAGGGATTATATAAAATGCAAACAAAATGGGATAAAACAGAAATTAATTAATTTAATGGGGTTAGTGAGAGAGAAAGGTGATGGGCAATGTTGGAGGAACCACGAACACTGGTCCGATTGTAGGGTCGTTCTCTCCTCACATTTAGATGCAACGGTCCAAATTACATAACATGCATAAGATTCACATCTCACGTATCTATCATTTCCACTTTAATTCCTCGTGGATAACAAATCCATGCGTGTGTATACAAACTACTAGAAACCAAACATTAAAAGCCTTTATGTGCTTGGTGGCCAAATCGTACAGTGTACAGAGAATACAGTATTTTGAATTTATATTTTCATTTTCATGTATCAAGAGTTCATATATGTTTGTCAAAACAAAAAAAAAGAGTTACGTATATTTGTAACTATGAATATTATATCGATGAAAGTTTGCAAGTCTCGATATAACCTTAAACTATCAATGTTGTCCAAAACAAAAACTGCATGCTGGGACAATTTTCTTCTCTGTTCACCATATACCGATCATTTGATCAAGTTCTAGCTTTTTTTTTTAACGTTTGATTAATATTGAAATGTTTTTTTATCTACAACTCTGACGGCTTCTATTGCCTCGGAGTTTTGCTTTTTCAGTGGTTTCTGCTTTTAAATTTGTTGGATTTTATCAAATTTTCTTCTCTGTTCACCATATAACGATCATTTGATCAAGTTCTAGATTTTTTTTGAACGTTTGATTAATATTGAAGTTTTTTTTATCTACAACTCCATCCGACGGCTTCTATTGTGTCGAAATTGTGCCTTTTCGTTTGTTTGTTTATATTTTTTTTTTATGGATCCTTTTGTTAGATTTTTTTTTTTGTGGTTTCTGTTTTTAGATTTTTGGGTTTTATCAAATCCAGGAAAATTAAAATAAATTTTTCGTTTAATTTTCTCTTTGGTTTTTGTCTAAACCTAGGTCATCCCGTTTTCACCCGAATTCACAACATCATCGGAATATCACATTTGAGAAGCCCATAACATTTGGGGAACGATCAAAAGTGTTTGGGGCCTATTGACCATAATTTCTGTAGAATCTCCAGAAAAATTGAAATATAGAAAAGTTTTAAGGCCTATTGACCCCCCCCAAGTTCTAAGGCCTATTGACTCCCAAAAAAAATTCTAAGGCCTAAAATACGACAGATGGGCCAATATTTACATATGATTTGGCCCAACTGTTAAACTGCAGACTAGTAGAGAGGTGTTCTTATTATAACTCTCACCTTATCTTCATCTTCCCCAAATCGATGGCGTCTCTAACCTCATCTCTGCAGGCTCTGAAGCTCTCGTCTTCCCCGTTTACCCATGGGTCCACTCCACTCTCTTCTCTCCCCAAGCCCACACTCTTTCCGATCCATAGGAGATCGGGTTTAGTTCCGGCGATCCGAGCAATGAAGACGATGCAAGGGCGCGTGGTGTGCGCAACGAGCGACAAGACAGTGGCGGTGGAGGTGGTGAGGCTGGCTCCACACCCGAAATACAAGAGGCGCGTGAGGAAGAAGAAGAAGTACCAAGCCCATGACCCTGATAATCAGTTCAAGGTTGGTGATGTTGTGAGGCTTGAGAAGAGCAGACCCATCAGTAAAACCAAATCATTCGTCGCTCTTCCTCTCCCCAAGAGGAACGATCTTGGAATTCCGATGGAATCTCAGCAAACTTGAGCTTAGTTCAATTTTTTCTACTCATGTTCTTGAAATGTATTTCGTTTTTCAATTTTAGAATTGGATTGCGATGTCTGCTTTGAATTGAAGAAAAACAGTGTATTTGCGTATTTGGAAGATTCTTGTCTGTGGGTGTGATGTGGAAGAAGAAGATATTCATGGGCTTAATCATATCATTTCATAACATAATATAAACTAAATATGGCCCATTTGACACATAAATGGGCCCGGTTTATATATGTTTCAAAACATTAGTTGACTTTTGAAAAGTTTACTCAGAGCATATTTCTGAAATCGAAAGCAGATGAAAGCAAAGATGTCTTCCACTGGATGCAGATCGTCTTTCGTCCTCTCAATCCTTTTCGCCGTCGTGCTTGCCGGACTTCTTATTCCTTCCTCCACCGCGAATCGCCACGTAATCAACTTCCGATCGCCTGGACTCTACCCGGAGGGACTTACATGGGATCCACCGGGCCAGCACTTCATAGTCGGCTCCCTCCACAGCCGCACAATTCATTCCGTCTCCGACGCCGGCGTCGTACAGACCCTAATTTCCGATCCCTTTCTACCAGAAAACGCTACAATCCTCGGCCTCGCCATTGACTCCTCTAATCGACGTCTGCTTGCAACAATCCACTCCTTGCCGCCTCTCCCTCCCTTCAGTGCCCTAGCCGCTTACGATCTCCGCAGCGGCGGCGGTCGTATCTTCCTCGCTCCTCTCCCTTCTCTCCCCGGAGACGATGAAGACATCGCCCGTGATATAGCCAATGACGTGGCGGTTGATTACAATGGCAACGCTTACGTCACCAACTCAGCGAAAAACTTCATCTGGAAAGTCGATCGTGACGGCGTAGCCTCGATCTTCTCGAGATCGCCGTTGTTCAATTCCCAGCCGGTGGCGGCGGAAGCAGACGAAACTTTCCGCGATTGCGGCCTCAACGGGATCGTGTACAACAGCAAAGGCTACCTCCTGGTGGTGCAGAGCAACACAGGGAAGATGTTCAAGGTCGACGAAGAGACCGGAACGGCGAGGCTAGTGCTGCTTAACAGAGATCTGATAGCGGCGGACGGGATGGCGAGGAGACGGAGAGACGGGACGGTGATGGTGGTGTCGCAGAAGAAGCTTTGGTTTCTCAAGAGCCAAGACAGCTGGAGCGAAGGAGTGATTTATGACGAAGTTGACCTCGACGTGGAGGGATTCCCGACGGCGGTGACGGTGGCGGGACAGGATAGGGTGTATGTGTTGTACGGGAGGGTGATGGAGGGTATAACGGGAAGTCACAAAGAAGGAGAAGCGAGGGAATGGTTTGGTATAGAAGAGGTTTCGTCGGAGAAGGAGAGTGGGGAAGATAAGATTTGGGTTTATGTGTTGATCGGACTTGGTTTCGCTTACTTTTGTTTCTGGAGGTTTCAGATGAAGAGGCTCATTACAAACATGGACAAGAAAACCACTTAGCTCCTTTTATTCGAATTTTCAACTCTTTTTGGTTACAGATTTGTTCTCACATTGTGTAGTTTTAAACTTACTAGAAATAAAAGCTTTCAAAAAGAGATAGTCTTACTATGGCAGCAAGTTTGCTTCGACCACAGGTCCAAGGGCTTGTTGTTGAAGAGGTGGAGGAAGAAGAGGAAACAGTTCAGTGTCTAACTCTTTCTCTTTCGTTTTGTCTCCTGACTTGGGCTCAGACTCTTTCGCTTTCCCTCTCAGCTTCTCTAAAGCTTTTCTCCTGTTCTCCTTTCTTCCTACTCGAGCTTCTGCTGCTTCGCCATGGAGAAAGTTGAGCCCTCCCAGAACTCCAGCCGTTAGATACAGCATCGTGTTTCTTCTGGAGATGTCTTTGGAATCAAGAACTTGAAGCTTCTGGGGTTCCTTAATGTTTGCTTCAAGCAAAGTCTGGCAAAGAAAGGTAAAAAAAGCATTCAGAGATCTGCACAAACTAAGAAAGATGATGCTTGCAATGCAGACTCAATACCAATATTCTTCTATTGCCCATGAGAACAGCAGAAGAAATGAGACTAATCATAACTCTTATCAGATGTGAAGGTGAAGAACAAATGTGAAAAGCTTATTGGCTTGATGATATTCATATATGCAAAAATCCTTTTGTGGCCCAAAATTCTTATGCACACACGATATATAGTCAATTCGAAGAAACTACAGAAAATAAAAACTCAACAAATGTTTGATGTTTCCGTTAAATTTTGGGATTCTTCACTAGTTGGGAAGCATATGAGAGCTGAATTTCTGGGATTCACAGTCGTACCAAATCAAACAATCCCTACTAGCAAAATCTAAGCTCAACGGCCTCGGATTCATTCACGCAGAGAGTACAACATATTTCTCCAGGAAAAAAACTAACTCGATCAATTAGATGGTACGAACCTGAGGAGAACCTACACTTGTGGCTAAAATCACACGTCGCCGGGAAATTTTAGCTGATTCTCCGGTTATCGGAGAAAGTGATAATAAAACAGGCGTCCAGACAGAGCAAGATCTCGCCATCTGTCTTCTCCGGGCAATCAGCAATACCTTCTCGAGTTCACCGGCGTTGATTATCAGTCAGTATCGCTCTACTCAATCGAAAATGTAAGAAATGAAATATTGAAACTAGAAAAGATTATTACAAGTGGTGAAAGTGGGCTTCAAACAGTAAGGGCCTCATAAATGGGCTTCCTTTAAACATGTTTGTTCTTCACCTGCAAAATCTAATTACAGAAGACTTCTAGCAAACAGAAGATCACAGAGTTTCTCTTCAACATCAACATTTTCTCGAAAACGGCCACTAGCAACAAGACTCTTCTTCTCCTTACTCAACGACGCTGCTTGTTTCTGGAACTCATTTGTTTTCTCAAGACCAGACAATAGAACATTGTATGTCCCCAACGAAGGCAAAGTCTCTCGTTCTCTCATCTCTTCCAATATCCTCATTGCTTTCTCTGGACTCCCTGCTGAGATATAAACATCCATCAGCGCAGTGTAAGCAGCTACGCCCTTTTGGTCATCGGGAAGTAAGTCGAAAACCTCTGCGGCTAAGCGAGGTCTTCTTCCAAACCCGAGCTTGTGGATCAACGTTGCTCCTTGGTACGCACCAAGCGTGTGTTGTGCTTTCAGCATCTCCTTGACCGATTCAATCACTTTAGTAAGCTCGTTTAGTCTCAGAAAGTTACCAATTAACGCAAGATACGCTGACTTCTCGAGATGAATTCCCATTTCCGAGCTGTAATCAAGGGCCAACGAAGCCCCCTCTGTTCTACAACGGTCGAAGTTTGCTTCTACGATTGCTGAAACAACAAAAGAATCCAACTTTATGTTTCTGTCTTTCATCTGGTTAAGAAGATGATCAACTGCAACCAGATTCTGCTTCATCAGGAGAACCGAGCTGATAATTCCACTATCATCTGAACATTTCTTGTCATCAACTTCGGTTGTGAGAGTCTCGTCGATGCCACTGGAGCAAAGAGATTCGGCGGAAATATGCGAGTTGACTTCTCTTAACAGTTCATCACTTTCTCCTGCGGCTTTAAGAGTCTCTAAAGCCTCGAAAAAGACAGGGTAACGAAGGACGATCCCGTTTTCTTTCATGTATAGAAGAATTCGAGCCATGAACGATGTTTCACCGAATTTACAGGCTTTCCCAATCAGAATATTGCAAGCTGCTTTATCTGGCTGCACCCCAATTTCTTGCATTTTAAAGAAAATGTCTAAGGCTTCCTCACATTTACCTGCAAAATCGAATGAAGAGACTTTAGACATCATCGTCATGGCTACCAAAACATTCCGAAACTACACATTCTAACACCAGGAAAATAGTTGCTCCATAGATTCATTTGGATTATTTAGATAACTGTAACTGCTCTTATCGATAGATTCAGAAGATCTCACACCTATTTTTAAATCATCTACACAAAGCAAAAGTTGTGGACTTTCACATGGGAATTTTAACAAACAGTTGGTGTGCATGGAATGAAGCTCACCTGTTTCGACGAGATACTCCATCAACACCGTATAAGTGTGACAATTCGGAGAAACTCTCGACCGTAACATCTCCTTATACACCTCCGTCGCTTCTTCCACCCTCCCATCGGCGAAAAGTATCTTCATGTAAGCCGTGTACGACACGACGGTAGGTTCGCACCCATTAGCTCTCATATCCTCCCACAACCTCACTGCTCCGTCAACATCGCCGGAGCTTGAAACCCAGTGGATCAGCGACGTATACGTCACCGTATCGATCACCACACCCTTCTCCTTCATAAGCTGAAACACGGAGTACATGGATTGGATCCGACCCGCTTCGCCGAAGATATCGAGCATGGTGGTGTAAGTGAAGTGGTCGTGTTTGAATCCCTTGATTTCGGCAGCCCAGTTGAAGAAGAGCCAAGCTTTCTGCATCGGAGGGTGGGCTTTCAAGACGCGGTTGATTATGTGAGAATCCCATCTGATTCCGAGATTCGGGAGCTGCTCTCGAGCAGATTCCCAGGTGGAGTGCTTGAGGATGTTATAGATATTGGATACAATGTCTCTTGTGTAAATCCGAGGGTCTGGAGTCTGTGTTTTCACAAGCTCCGGTTTCTGGAAGAATCGCTTGGTGGGGTTTCTGGGTCTTGGTCGAGGCAGAGAGTGAAGTAGCTTGACGGAGCTCCGGCAATGGCGGATTTGGATTGAGGCTTTGCGGAAAATGGTATAGAGGCGCATGAATTCGCGGATAAAATCATTCAAAATTCGATTTTATAATATTCAAACAAAGTCCCTAAACCACTCTCCTTCCGATCGTCTCGATGTAAAGACGCGGCTAAGTCCTTCTCCTTCGGCTCTGGTTTCCTGAATCCTTTTTGGAAGTTGGTTCTGTTTTTTTTATTAGTTTCTGTTCTTCTCTGTCTCCTTTGTGTACGACCTTTGTTCATTTGGGCTTGAATTGCTGGGTGGGCTTTATTTTCAAATCAATTGATAATTTTTTGTTTCTCGAGTGCTAAGCGAGTAAATAATTGCTGATGCAAAACCAAACAAACAAAATTTCATCTTATTTCACCGTTTGTTTTTCTTCTGTTATATAGTTCTTTAGTTTCATTCAAATGATACAGATTAAACAACCATATAATTACATGTAACTAATGTGTATTTTTTTCTGTCTTAAAGCATCATTCATTGTCTAGCTAAAACCAATTCAACAAATGATAAAACAACAAATTATATAATAATAATTAATCCCTTGTTCCAAAAAAAAAACAGATTGTATAATACAAATGGTTATCAAAAAACAGTTTTTTTACGGCAAAAATACATGTATTATTGCTTTTTAAAGCGTCTACAATAATGGCCATCACAGAAGTTACTAAATGATTTAGTGTTAAAGAGGAGTGAGATAGAGTAAGATAGTTTGAGACTCCATTTCAGAGAAGATATTTTTACGTTAATCTAAATATTGAAGAAACACGAGAGAGACAACAATTGTTTTAACGAAATTAAGTAAGGTGCGTACAAACATTTAAACCAAAAAAAAAAAAAAGGTAAGGTGCGTACCACACATATCATGTTTTGATGAAAATGATTTTTTACGGTATGATGTACATACTAATTAATCCCCTGGCCTTGCTAAATTCAGAAACTAAAACATGCAAAATTTCCATTATATGAGCAATAAATAATGATCGACGCAATCCACAACGATACAGTGAGATAATAATATTAGCAACAACAAAATGACTAACTTTATCAATGATGGAATACCGATGTCGTTTTTGTCATAACGATGTACTAGATATTTTCATTTGCGAAGGAAATGTACATGGCTGTACAAATCATCATCCAAAGTGTTTCTAGAGTCAAATTTCTTTGATATTTTCAATGCCACGTTATCTTCTGATGACAAAACACATGTTACGTTTTATATCATCGCATCTCTATTCATTAGTTAGTTGATGATCAAGTTACCAATTCTATAACACAAAATATTAAACTAATTATGTCCAAGACGTTTTTTACATAGGACTCTTTCGATTTTGATTGAGTCCGATCAAATTTCAACGGATGTACAATATTACAAGTATATATATATAAGATAGAAAGAATAAAAATATGGCTGATCATGGTTAATGAAGGAGGCATGATCGATCAAGGACAAGCAACATAACTCTGGGAAGAATAAACACCCGAGTCCGAATGAGAAAGAGGGCTTAGTCTATGGTGGCATTGAGAAGGTTGTGAAGGAGGAACTGGACCTCGTTGGAGTTTGTTCTGCAAAGCAAATGCTCTTCCCATGTTTTCTTTATTCATGCTCCATATGGTCAGCCTCGTCGCCGAGGTTCCTCTTGATCCGACCAATGCTATTAAAAACATCACTATAATGAACTTCCACATGATCCTCAAGAGATGATGCAAAACCTCAGTCATGTGGGTCAGATATATAGATACTAACGAGGGATTGTATTTAAATCGAACGGTTGGGTTAGTGGTTGATTATGAGGAAACGTGGGCTTAACTAATAAATAATTTGAGTTAGAATGAAGGGAAGTTTTGGAAATGAAAGAAGAAAGCTTTGATGGAATATATATAAGATATATGGAGAGGGAGAGAGGCAATGGTTTAATTTGAATGCTGTTTGATACATTTGTGAAGATTTCAAATTGTAACGAAGTAGAGAGGTTGCTTCTTCTAATGTTTGACTTATTCCTTACTTGTTACTAGTTGTTTTATGTTTTATGTTGAACATTGTTGAGTGTCTTCTTCACTTTAGCAGCCTATGTAGAACAAATTATTTATTTTTATTAAAAATTCACTCACATATATACCTAGACCAGTATTTTATATACCATAAATTAATTGTTCTTTTTTTCTCGTTATCATAATCGTTGGAGATATTTGTATATAATAGGAATCAACTACTAGCAGTCAATTGAAAAGCAATACAGTTAGAATTGTTCATGAAAAAAATCGAATTAGAAAAGAGGTATAGAAATGGTTACATGGATTAATCTACTATTACGTTGGTTGATTTGGAGATATCTAATTACTAAGAGATATAACTGTTTAGAAGAAAAAAACCACTAATTGAATTTATAGCATAAACTAAGGCCAAGAAAACATGTTTTCGACCAAAAAATATAGACTAGTCTTTCTCTTCTATTTTATTTCCTTGCAAGAGAGTGGTCTACCTTAGACTTTTATAGGAGAAATGAGATAATAATCCTATTTTGACCATTTAATTTGCTTAAATAACCCCTTTTTTTATTGTATAGAGTACCTCTGACTTGACAGAATTATGAGCCAAAGCCAGGGCTGTGTTTTTTAACATGTGCAAATAGAGCAACCAAACATATTCGGATAATACCTAACTTTTTTCAAAAAACACTTCGATCATATTAAAAATACCCTTAGTAAAAAATTGAACAGAGTTAAAAACAAGTTTGAGAATGCTCTGCTTAAGTCAGATAGCTCAGTTTTACAAAAACTTTTGTGCTAGCACAATTTTTACAGTATGAGTTGACGAAAATTTACTTTTGTCGGAGCAGCACATGAGCTTGATCTACAATCAAAACAACGGATGAACTTCTTCTGCCATGTCACAATCTGATCTGAACTTTCACAAAGAGATAGGGAAGGAACGATGAAACAGAAATGACATAGAAGAAACAGAAAATATCATTTGAAGGTTATAATTATAAAGGTAATTTGTGATTCAGGAGAGGTTAGTTAGTAAAAACTTAAAACAACGGAAGCCTAATACTAATGGGCTTGGCTTGAGCTCGATAAAAAAAGCCCAGTTCGTTTTTTTGTTGTCAAACCAACTATTCTAAATATCATCATCCCCCTGAGACCAATTGTAATAACAGAATTGCCCACCAGGACAAAGAAACAGACTTGAGTCAGTCTTACAATGATCTCTGTCTCTCGGTTGCTGTCGCCTCATTTCTACGCAATTCAAAGGTTTATCCGCGACAAAACCCGATCCCAGTCACTCTGTATTGGGCTGATTCACTTCTCTAATTTTTTGCCTATCCGAATCTCAAATTCTCGTTGATCTTTGTTTCAGAAGCTCCGTGAAAATGTCTGCTTCTGCGGCGACTCAACGTGCGGGAGGAGTTTCACACGGGTCCATGGCAATAAAGCCTCCTTCACATCCTACTTACGATTTGAAAGCAGTTATCAAACTAGCCCTAGCTGAAGATGCTGGTGACACAGGTTCTCTCTCATTAATTTACTTCCTAAGTCTCAACAGTTGCGACTTTTATTTGATTGGGTCTATAAATTGAGCTCCTGAATTGATTCGAGTGTAGGAGATGTAACGTGTATGGCTACGATACCGCTTGATATGGAAGTGGAAGCTTATTTCTTGGCTAAGGAAGATGGAATTGTTGCTGGGATTGCTCTCGCTGAGATGATTTTTGAACAAGTTGATCCATCATTGAAGGTTTTGATTCTATTTTAAGTCTGTATATTGGAAGTCGCAAAGCCTTGGAGGGATTTGTGTTGTTCAAATGATTTTTTAGTGATGTGTTGAATATCTCAGGTTGAATGGATGCGAAAGGATGGAGATTATGTTCATAAAGGATTGAAATTTGGAAAAGTATCAGGGAATGCACATAAGATTGTTGTTGCTGAAAGAGTTGTGCTCAACTTTATGCAGAGGATGAGCGGAATTGCGACCCTTACCAAGGTTTTGTTTTTAACCGCTAAAGTTTCTCAAAGTAATTTCCAAGTGATTGGTGTGGTTACATTTCCACAAACTTAGTGATGACCAAAATCTTATATCTTACTGTTAGTAGTGAATCGTGTTCTTCTGATTGGTTTGAGGCTATTTGTTTCTTTGTAAAGTTTGAAGAGGTTCATGATTATCTTTGTTTATCTCAAATTGTGGTGGAGAGTTTAGCTGATGAGTTTGTTTTGTGCAGTTAATGGCAGATGCTGCATACCCTGCAAGGATACTGGAGACGAGAAAAACTGCTCCTGGTTTGAGATTGGTTGACAAATGGGCGGTACGTTCCATACCTGAAGTGGGCACATTTGATACAATTTTTAATCTTTTCTATTGAGTTTTGAACATTAAGATTCTGAGATTATAATGTCTTGATGCACCTGAAGTTTTCCTACTTAGCTTAGGTGCTGATTGGTGGAGGAAGGAATCATAGGATGGGATTATTTGACATGGTGATGATAAAAGACAACCACATCTCAGCTGCAGGAGGTATAGTAAACGCCATTAAATCTGTGGACGAATATCTAAAGCAAAAGAATCTCGAGATGGATGTGGAGGTAAATTTTAAAGCTTTCAAACTCTTAGGTGGTGCAAATTATAACGTGAAACAAGCTCTCATTCACGATCTATCTATTGTTGAAGGTGGAGACTCGGACGCTTGAGGAAGTGAAGGAAGTGTTAGAGTTTGTTAGTGGATCCAAGACTCGGTTGACGAGAATAATGCTGGATAATATGGTTGTACCGTTAGAGAATGGAGACGTTGATGTCACGATGCTTAAAGATGCGGTAGAGCTAATCAACGGGAGATTCGAGACAGAGGTGTGTGTGTGTGTGTGTGTGTGTGTGTGTTATAAAGAAAGAAAGAAAGATGGCACTTTTCTTTAGTGAAACTCTTGATGGAAGAATCTACTTTCATGATGCAGGCTTCAGGAAATGTTACGATTGAGACAGTACACAAGATCGGGCAGAGTGGAGTTACATTCATTAGCAGGTTACAACTCAAGAATTGTTTCAAATCTGTTTTTATACAAGTTTTGGTTTTTTGTTCGTGGGATGAAAACTGAAAGAAAGATTAATGCAGTGGAGCTCTGACGCATTCGGTCAAAGCGTTGGACATATCTCTGAAGATTGATACAGAGTTGGCTCTTGAGGTCGGAAGAAGGACAAAACGAGCCTAGACGTTAGAGAAACAGAGCATCGTCTTCCTCATATCTTTACTTTTTACTTCTCGGATAGATCAGAGAGTCAATAAGGTGAGATAAATGAGAAGCGACAGACATTTGATGAATCTGACTACAAATAACCGTTTTTTTCCCCTCTTAAGAAAATAATAAACTCTAGCTACATAGTGAGTGTAGACATGGATGAATATTCAATGGCTTTCTCTCAAACTTTCTGCGTTTTTATGTACAAAGAAATGCAGAAACGTTGGGAAGCAATCTATACATATACATATACATATGTTAAATATAAATTTGTTGTACTTCAAGCGACGGTGATCTCGCTCCCTCCTTCTCTTTCAGCCATGAAACTCACTCGTTTCTGCAAATCAATATCTCAAAATTGTCATTATCTCAGTAATATCAAGCGGTGTTTTTTGGAGTAAGTTTTATAAATTCATTAATCTAAAAAAATATTATTTTGCAAAGAGTGTAAAAGTGTGTATAAGTGTAAAAGCAGCATGCAAAATTTGACCGCAGCAAAGGTAATCTCACTATCTGCTCCGATTTTTCCGATAAAAAGTGAACTGTTTTCCACACATAATATTTATTAAACTCATAACTGTATGCCATTCTCTAAAAGTGACTATTTTAATTTATATACTAGGTGGTATTTTAATTTATATATTAGGTGGTTGGTCCGCATATATGTGCATGTATAATTTTTTTGATATACATAGTTAATTGTAATATTTAAATTTTAAATATTTGTATGTTTGTATATATATTATTTTAATATTTCACAAATTTTTTCTGAAATCAATGTATTTTATTACTTTTATTTTTATAATGTTTGTAATAGTATATAATCACAAATATAAAATTTATGTTAAATAATAATTAAATTCTTATAATATTAATATGCTTTATTTCTCCTTACACAATCTACAATATGCTTTTTTACGTCTTACATAATAATATGAATTTGTATATACATATATAATATATTTTAAGTATATATTTTTCTTTATTTATTGTAAATTAAATTGAAATAGTTTTTACCAGTTTTATTTATTCTTAAAAGCGGATATATGGTTGGCGCATGTGCGGACATACCAATCACTTCACTAGACTTAAAATAATAAAAATTTAAAAAAATTTAAATTAGACTATAACCAATCTTAACAAAATATATGCACAAAAAAGTTCACATGTGACTTTAACTAATGTATAACTAATATTTATATATGTACGCGTATTTGTAAAAAAATTGAAATATAGCGACCAACTCCAATGAAGAACTTATTAAGAAAGTCTTAAAAATATTTTATTATTTATTTTAGACAATGGATGTCTTAACTCAACAAAAATATCATATTTATCTATTTTTTAAAACTTTTTTACTATTTTTTATTCATTTTTATTATTAAGATCTTTTGTTTTAGACACCCAAAGTTCTCCATTATGGTTGCTCTTACATGTTAAAATTTTTTTAAGTGACTTTATAAAACAAAAGGCGAGAGATTTTTTTTTATATATATACTTTAATTTTTATCTCTTATTCATATTGTTTCTTCTTATTATAATTTATTCTTTCGTTCGGTTATTTTTTAATTCATTTATGATCTCAAAATTTTGATATACAATGAAAACAAAATTATGTATATATATTAATATGATATAAAATTTTATTTTTATTTAAAATATGATAAGAGATAAGATGAGATGGTAACATAAATTATGCACATTTTAGAAAACAACAATAAAAAGATGATAAAAGTTATAAAAAAATATATGGTCCTATTAATATTATAAAATAATAATTAGTATATACTTTATTCATTTAGTAAATATTGGTTTAAAAATATTTTTTTAAAAATTATATTTTTTTTTAAAAAAAAATCAATAAAAATTATTTTTTTTATTTTTTTTTAATATTTTATTCTTTAAATTATTTTATCATGATTATATTTTATTTAAAATTGTATTATTTAATAATTTGTTTATTTAAATTTTTTTTAGATTTAATTAATAACTTTCCGAAATAAAAATATATCATACTTAAAGTATTATTATAAATAGAATTTTTACTATTTTATTGGATAATTTAATATTATTTTTTTTATTTTTATATGAAATTATAATATATATATATATATTATTGATAAAATTTCGTAATTATTTTTTATGAAATTATGAATATATGTAAAAAATTAAAATTATAATAGCTTTTATTTTCTATTAATTTAGATTTGTTAATTTTAGTGTTATAAAAATAATTTAATTTATTTATGTTTTAATTTCACAATTTCTATAATTTTAATTTAACCAATCAAAACATTCGTTTATTTTAGGAAGTTTGACATGTCACATTTACATGTTATCAATTAAAAGTACTAACTTTGATTGTAGTATTGATAAGTAAGCAATTTTCAATAATGTTATTTCTCGAATAATATGTAGTGGATTTATTTGCGTATGCCGAAAAAACAAAAAACAAACCAAGAAAAAAACAACTCACCAGACGAGACTTGACACCTCTCGTGGCGGCGGGTGTGGTTATGGCGGTGGCGGTGGCGGCTGGTTCATCTTCTCCATCCCCACGTCGGAGCGTGTTCTGACGCGCTTCCTCGTGGCTCTGTTTGGCCATATAGAGAGCGGCGATCTTCTGAGTGGCCTCCGCCTCGGTGGCTCCTTCCTTAACGAGTCTTTCAAGCTCCGCCTTGGGAATCCTCAGCTTCACCCTCACGGCTCCTCCTTGTTCCTCCTCCTTCGTCCATCCTCCAGCGGGTTTGAGTATGGAGAGATCGGAGGAGGATCTCCGGGAAAGCATGAGGTTCTCAAGCCTCTCCTTCGCACTCATCTGAATTCCCGATCTTACCCTTCTCGGTGGACACTCCTTCACCGGCTCCACCACGAAGTACAGCCGCTTCGCCTCCAACCTCTGCTTCGCCTGCACCCAAACGAAATCAAACGCCTCATGAGTTTTCGTTTATATCCATCAAAACATACTCATCTCAAGAAGAAATGAAGATTAAATGATAAAATGTATAAAAAAGACTACCTCAAGTGGCTTGGCTCGGGCACCATAGTGCTTGACGGACTCGGAGTCTAACAAAACGTGGCCGGGAAAGTCTTTAAGAACCTCCTCCGCCGTCACCGGAGTTTTCAGTTTAAAACTCTCGCCGTCTATTTTCATGATTTTGGTCGCTTTCTTGCCGCCTAAACTGTTACCCATCTTTCTTTTTTTAATTAATTTCTCTGACAAGAAAAAGTTGGATCTTTGAGGGGGTTTAAATGAGATTGTTTCAGTTGAGGGCGGTGAGGGAGTTTGTCATTGGGGTTTTAAATGACCATGGATGGGGTTTGCAGACATGTGCTCATGGGATTACAGAGATACGTGGAAAAGGAGGTCTTTTTTAATTCATCAAATGGACAAATATTTGACTATATATATAGAGAGAATTTAAGGACTGATTGTTTCAATCATGGTAGCTTATTTTAATTCCAAGTTTTAAATCTGTTAATTTGTACTACTGTTTAGCTACAAATTTTTGTATTATTATATTCTACTTGTGTGAATCCACCTGTGACTACTACAGATTATATCTTATAAGTCGTAAACTACATGTTTATTGCAAGAGAAAATCATACATTTTCTTATTCGATTTTTCTTTGTGCGTAGACTGAGGTTGTTGAATTTTGTGGAAATTAAGTAATTGCTTCTGTCATCATTTCTCCTTCGTAGAGTGTCTTATAGAGAATATTGTGTTGAGCGCTAATCGTTTCTCATTTAACAATTGAAGCTTAACATCTTTGCTATATAACAAACCTTGAGGTTTTCTTTTTCTTTTTGCTAAAAATTATAACCTTGAGGCTTTGATATCTCGTTTTTGTGGTTTCGATCGGAACTGCTAAAATGCTAAGAAAGTTTTCTTCTTCGAAAACATTTTTACGAGTGTTTTGTAAGCGATTTAGTACTTGACAACATCATGCTGTCCCCACTCTCCAAAGTAATTCTCGTCGATATATCGTTGTATACTTGTCTTTTGTAATATTTTTCAATTAAACTGCAAATCTTAAAACAGCTTCTATATGATTATATAAGTTCACTAGGTAAAATTTGCCTCGCGATTCTTTATATAGTTAAAAGCAAAATTAAGTATATAATAATTGAAGTGACATTTTGGGAAATGGATTCTAGGTTGAAAAAAACAGGACTTTATAAGCAATTTTGAACTTGACAACATCATGCGGTCCAACTCTTCAACTCTTGTGGACCATATTATTGATTTGATTTTGGTAGATGTACGCATGCATATCGGTACTAAGGTTAATGGGTGGGTAATTAGCAATAATCATTGTCTATCGCTTTTAATTATTTACTCGATTGATAATACTTTACGTTGATCACGGAAACAAAAAGGTGAATGATTAAGGAAATGACTTATTTCCCCGCCCACTTTATCATTCATTTTTTTTCTACTTAGCCGTACCTTTTTACTGATGAGATCTGGGATTGTACTTGTTAGGTACATATATACTTCGGTCACTCCTGTCTAATTTCTTAATTATGGACCACTAACAAGGTATTTAAGAGATGAAAATTCATATAAATGCTATGGACCTAATTACAAGTGTCGACTAATACTTGCAGAGGTGTGAAATAAAAGTCCAAAATGATGGTCTCCTTTGCAACTTGGAAAGCTCATTAATGACATAACAGCTGACACAATGTTTCCAAGGTGTATATAATTCATAGTATATATATCCATAAATCATTAATCATGAAAATGTTTTTTTTTTCTGGGTCCCTAAATCAAGTTGCCAATCCCTATAGTACTATACCAAAACAAAAATTTAGCCGGCAACATGTAGCTTGAATTTTTATTTTATAATGTTTATAGGCTTCATTTTTGGCAAAATCAAAGGTTTATCTGAACTTGTGACTAATTACAATAATGTGAATATACATATACAATAAGCACAGTCTAACATACAAATAAACGTCTTTATTGATGAATCTTGATTACAATTCTAAAACAGGTCAAGAGATAAGAAATGTTCAAAGAACGTGGCGAGACCATGCAGGTAAGTTAACAACTACGTAACGTAATCACGTTTAAGGGTGATAGCTGCCTGCAAAACACGTGCACTTTGTAACTTGTAAAGTTGTAAGCTCACAATATCATTTTCCTGCGAAGTTGCCTACCTCGTCCACTTATAACGAATAATTTTTTGAATGTTGCTGGTCAATATTGGTCATCCTCGATTTATATGATATAAGAGTACTTTCATTTGTTGGCAAAAAAGAGAGAGAGAGTGCTTTCATTTTATTTATAAATAACAGTATTGTCACACAATTCATTCATTACTAGTATAAAGATTCTTTATTGGCTTCTGCAGTCTGTGTCAAATGCATCGTGGTTCAAATTAAGTAGCTAGATATAATACACATTATATCAACATGTGCTTTACCGATATTAAGAAAAATCAAATTTGTTTTTTAGCCGGAAAAAAAAGGTTATAGCATTGAATTTCCAAGTCCAACTGTTAATTTTTCAAATATTAGAAGAGATATTTCAAGAAGAAAACAAGAATATCATATGAATAGTAAAACCAGAAAATTAATGTCAATTGTGATGACAGTTTTTTTTACAGATAGATGGTTGAACCGGTTATGGTTGAGGGAGGCAAGCCGGGACAGCGAAACCGACTTCATAAATTTGTGACTGGTCATATTTTCGACGGCTGAAACTTGTCTGAAAAACATTATACGCCTAGTGAAAATATTGACCATTGAGAGAATTGTGTATATGTGGCTGAAAAGACCAAGTAACCATAGAAAGGAAACTAAAGTACAAATTATTCACACACACAAGAACAAAAGTCCCAAACTAATGAATAGTAATATTTCAGCTCCAGAAGAAACAAGATAGCTATTGGGCCATGGCCCAACAATATCCATGATCACCAGCACTGAGGTCCACGTAACTAAAAACTTTCGTTAGATGAAGAAATGTTTGGCCTTTCTGAATCGCCCAGAAGCTGATGATGATGTTACCGCCATTCCCAGAACCTTTCTAATTTTTTTGTGAAAATTTGGAAAAAAAAAAAATGTTTGGTAACACCGAAAGCCGAAAGGGGAAAGTCTCCAAAACTAAAATTGGAAAAAAAAAACTGTATTGGTCAGCTGAGTTAAAATTAGCAAATGTTGATGAAGACTCGTTCATAATCCTGATTTTCCGGCAATTTTCAGTCTAAACTCACCTCTGAAGAAGAAATGACGCACTCATTCTCTCTATCCCCCTCCGTTTCTGCACAGGAATTCGAAGATGGCGAAACTAGTCGAGACGTTTCCTTGCGTTCCGTCCACAGAGCGAGGCCGGGGCATTTTGATCGCCGGCGACCCCAAATCCGACTCCATTCTCTACTGCAACGGCAGATCCGTCTTGATTCGGAGCCTCCAGCGACCCCAAGACGTCGAAGTGTACGGAGAACACGGCTACGCTGCAACCGTGGCACGCTACTCTCCCAACGGCGAGTGGATCGCTTCCGCTGATGTCTCTGGCACGGTTCGGGTTTGGGGAACGCACAACGGGTTCGTGCTTAAGAACGAGTTCAGGGTCCTTGCTGGTCGGATCGATGATCTCCAATGGTCCTCCGACGGGCTTCGGATCGTCGCTTCCGGCGATGGAAAAGGGAAATCACTTGTTCGAGCCTTCGCGTGAGTTCTCCTCCCCTTCTTCTTCTTCTTCTTCTTCTTTACTGAACAGTCCTGATTACTTGCAATCAATTTCCTGATGATTTGCTGATTTTTAGATTATATTTCGAGTATTACGTCTTTCTTTTGTTTGTGATTTTGAGTTTCCTTGAAAATTTGGCTAACAAGTTAGGCCTTAGCTTTGCTCATCTTCATGACGAATTCCACATTGTATTCGTGTATATTATCTGGAATGATCTCTAAAAGTGCACATTTGCATGAAGAATTACACAATCTAGGCTCCATGAGATTGCGTTTGTGATCTGATACATCCGCGTCCATTGTAAATGTAGATGGGACTCTGGCAATACAATGGGAGATTTTGATGGACATTCTCGTAGAGCTCTGAGTTGTGCCTTCAAACCAACGAGACCTTTTCGAATCGCCACATGTGGGGAAGATTTCTTGGTCAACTTTTACGATGGGCCACCTTTCAAGTTTCACTCTTCTCACAGGCAAGTTACTTCTCTTGTCAATGATACTGATACGTCTCTGGATTTGCTGAGATATATATACAAACAGAATACACAGATTGTTATCTTGACTAATAGGATCTGTCTCTGAGGTTTTCTCATTCACAGGGAGCATTCCAACTTTGTCAACTGCATCAGATATTCACCTGATGGTAGTAAATTCATCACCGTGAGCTCAGATAAAAAGGGTACGATTTACGATGGCAAAACTGGAGATAAAATTGGAGAATTGGCCTCAGAAGATGGTCACAAAGGCAGCATCTACGCTGTTAGCTGGAGCCCCGACGGCCAACGGGTAAATGTTAGGATATTAGCATCTGCCAAACTTGCTGCGCGTTTTCTTGCAACGCGCGTCTCTTGCAATGTTAATGACATTGAAGGGTTTTTTTTTAGGTGCTCACTGTCTCTGCTGATAAGTCTGCCAAGGTTTGGGAGGTGTCTGAAGACGGAAGTGTTGGTTCTGTAATCAAGACTTTGACCTTTACGGAATCTGGTGGAGCAGAAGACATGCTTGTGGGATGTCTTTGGCAGAACGATCATCTCATCACAGTGTCTCTTGGCGGTACCATGTCCTTGTTCTCTGCAGATGATATGGATAAGCCTCCGTTGCTGTTATCTGGACATATAAAGAACGTGACTTCTTTGGCTGTTTTTGGGACAAACCAGAAGACGATTCTGTCTTGTAGCTATGACGGTCTTATAGTCAAATGGCTACAAGGTGTTGGGTATAGTTGCAAGCTACAGATGAAAGATAACACCAAAATCAAGAGATTAGCAGCTACTGAATCTGGCATTCTCTTATCTGGGTTTGATAACAAGGTAAAAAACTCTCTGATATCAAAACACTTTCCCAATGGGATTTGGATTGTGTTTACATCAATTTCTTGACAGGTCTGGAGAATTCCTTTTACGGATAACGAATTCGGAGCTGCAGAGCATATTGATATCGGCCATCAACCTCTGGACATAAGCATAGCTGTTGATTCACCAGAATACACTGCACTAGTCTCGTTTGATTCTGGAGTTGTGTTGCTCAATGGTCTGAACATTTTGAGCAAGATGGATCTCGGTTTTGCTGTGGCAGCTTCTGTGATCTCACCTGACGGAAAAGAAGCGATAGTAGGAGGACAAGACGGGAAGTTACACGTGTACTCGGTCTCAGATGACAACAGCCTCAAAGAAGAAGCCGTGCTTGAGAAACACAGAGGTGCTGTCACAGTGATACGCTACTCGCCTGATTTAACAATGTTTGCCTCTGGTGATGCCAATCGCGAAGCTGTTGTCTGGGATCGCGAGACCAAACAGGTGACAGCGATTAGAGGCGTTTTGCTTTTCGTGTCTTTTATCAAATTAATGGTTTAAGTTGTGAAAATCTAAGAGGGGCGGTTTTATGTTTTTGCAGGTGAAGCTAAACAACATGTTGTTCCACACGGCTCGTATAAACTCTTTGGCATGGTCACCGAACAACACGATGGTTGCCACTGGGTCCATTGACACATGCGTCATTGTATATGAAGTGGACAAGCCAGCTTCGAATCGCATAACCGTCAGGAACGCTCACCTTGGTGGAGTTAATGCAGTCGCCTTCGTCGATGAGTGCACCGTAGCTAGTTCCGGTGAAGACGCTTCGGTTCGTTTGTGGCTTATCGAACCTCAATGACCCAAACCGGACTTCCTATGAGCTTTTTTTATAGTACCATCCTTTAAAAGTTCTAGTTTCTAAATTTAACAGTGGCTTGTTTGTATGACTGTATTTAAGCTAAGTATCTTATCATGGAATTGCACACGTGTCCAAAATCTAGCGAATCTATAAGGTGAAACTCACATTACATACGGTGTGCTCCGTCGTGCTAAGTAGTGATTAGTCATCCTGATTAGTGTTTAGACTCTCACTAGTCCTAGGACTCTAAACGGCGACACTGGGCTTCAGAGAAAAGCATAAAACGACATCAAGTTGAAGGCAGAAGGCTAATGAAGTATTTAAGGGAAAATTTAAAACAATGGTTAATAAATAATTAGTGGGAAGAGATAATGTTTTTGGAGCCTTGGGTGGTTCTTACTTGTTACTTTGCTTCGTACGGGCTTTGAAGCTTTACCTCACCGGAGCTTCCAAGGAGAAGACGACACGCAGGGAAACAAATTATGGCTCCTTTTGGCGGGAAATCTTTAGTCGACGCTGTTTCTGGCATCGGAGGGAATGGAGTTGGCCGGGCTCTGGCCGCGGTGGCCGCCGCTATGTTGGTACGTCTGTTATCAGGACCCGGCATCGCCCTCTTACCTGAAAACGACGTTGATGATGATTTCTCTGAGACGGAAGGATCAGGAGAGGAAGATGGAGATTCGACTCCCGGGAAAGTTCGCCCAGTGACAATCCGGTGGAGGAACATCACGTGCTCGCTCTCCGATAAGTCCTCCAAATCGGTGAGGACATTTGTTTCCCTTGCATGTTTCGATTGCGCACAGAAAACGCGATCATCCGTTAAAACATAAGTAGATGATTTATCCATTTCGAGATTGTTTGCCCAGCCGTATCAGAATTGCTTGATTATGTGACTCTCAGGTGCGGTTTTTGCTGAAAAACGTCTCTGGAGAAGCAAAACCTGGGAGGTTGCTAGCGATAATGGGTCCTTCTGGATCTGGGAAAACAACGTTGCTCAATGTTCTAGCTGGGCAGCTTAGTTCATCACCACGTTTGCATTTGTCAGGTCTCTTGGAGGTCAATGGGAAACCGAGCTCGAGCAAAGCCTTTAAGTACGTCTTATGAGTTACACAAGTCTATAATTGGGTAAAATCTGATCATTGTTTGACGGAGCTTTTTTTTTTTTTGCAATGGCAGGCTTGCGTTTGTGAGACAAGAGGATCTGTTCTTCTCGCAATTGACTGTGAGGGAGACACTTTCTTTCGCTGCTGAACTTCAGCTTCCGCAGATCTCTTCTACTGAGGAGAGGGATGAGTATGTGAACAACCTCTTGTTCAAACTTGGACTGGTGAGGTTTTTCATTTGGTCTCTGAGTTTAGAGTAATGTGGTGGTAAATTGAAATCCTGGAAACTGTTTCTTGATCATCTTTTTGACTTTTGTGGCTCTCCAAAAGGTCAGCTGTGCAGATTCATGTGTTGGTGATGCAAAAGTTCGTGGGATCAGCGGTGGAGAAAAGAAGCGGCTGTCTCTTGCATGTGAATTGATCGCTAGTCCGTCTGTCATATTTGCTGATGAACCCACAACCGGTAGAAATGCCTACTCTGTCTAATTTTACACATTGATAGATTGGTTTTTAAGTCTTAACGCTGATGATACATATTCATGTGGTCTTTCAGGGCTTGACGCCTTCCAGGCTGAACAAGTGATGGAGACATTGCGAAAGCTTGCACAGGATGGACACACCGTGATCTGCTCCATACACCAGCCTAGAGGCTCGGTGTATTCTAAATTCGACGACGTTGTGTTACTTACAGAAGGAGTTTTAGTCTATGCCGGCCCTGCAGGGAAAGAGCCTCTGACATATTTCGGGAACTTCGGGTTGTTATTCTGAACATTCACCACTTATATATCACATGTCCCCATTCAAGTATGTGCTTTAGGATTTACCACTGACAACTGTTCTTCTTCTGATCCTTGAACAGGTTTCTTTGCCCAGAGCACGTAAATCCTGCTGAGTTTCTAGCTGATCTTATCTCAGTTGACTATAGCTCTTCGGACAGTGTCTACTCTTCGCAGAAGAGAGTACATGCTCTTGTTGATGCGTTCTCCCAGCGTTCGTCATCGATTCTTTATGCCACTCCCCTCGGCTTAAAAGAAGAAACAAAGAACAGCATGAGACCTCGCAGAAAAGCCATTGTGAAGAGAAAAGATGGTTGGTGGAGGCAGTTTTCATTGCTTCTTAAGCGTGCATGGATGCAGGTACACGCCTATTTTATGCACCATCTAAAGAACCCTTTCTATAACATGAAAACGATTGAAGTAGTAGCATGACGACATTAACGAATGGGAGAAATCTTTGATATTTCTCCTTCCTGTCATTTGACATTTTCTTGGAGAATTTTGTGTTTCTGAAAATTTCACCTGACTCCGTAGGCAACCAGGGATCATAGAAGGGTCCTTGAATCGTACATACTATTTTACACTTGGTTAACTTGAGCAATTTTTCTAATTGACTTCTTCACCTGACTCCATAGGCTTCTCGAGATGGGCCAACAAACAAAGTCCGTGCAAGAATGTCTGTTGCATCTGCTCTGATATTTGGATCCGTTTTCTGGAGAATGGGGAAGTCTCAGACGTCAATTCAGGACAGAATGGGTTTGCTTCAGGTATAACACGTTTTGCTTTTGCTATAGACATCTCTTCTTCTTTTTTGCGTTGTTTAAAGTACTACTTAGTATGGTTAGCTTGTATATATACTAAGCAATGATGTCTGTTATGCTTCAGGTTGCTGCAATAAACACGGCAATGGCAGCTCTCACGAAGACAGTTGGTGTTTTTCCTAAAGAACGTGCCATCGTCGATAGAGAACGGTCCAAAGGGTCTTATTCTTTAGGCCCTTACCTTCTCTCCAAAACAATAGCTGAAATTCCCATTGGAGCTGCATTTCCTTTGATGTTTGGTGCTGTGCTATACCCAATGGCTCGCCTCAATCCCACTTTGTCAAGGTAAGTCCTCAGCCTCATATCTTTTCATCATTTACTATTCATGTTGCCACGAGGTATATGTTATGCACAAGCCTTAACCTGCATCGCACTGATAAGCCATTATTGAGCTCTCTCTGTGTATTTGACCAACCAATGAACCCAAGTGAGAAATGCACATGACGTTAATGTCCCTAACAAAGAGATTTCTTGCCAGGTTTGGAAAGTTTTGTGGGATAGTGACTGTGGAGTCTTTTGCTGCTTCTGCGATGGGTCTAACTGTTGGAGCTATGGTCCCAAGCACAGAAGCTGCAATGGCCGTGGGACCATCTCTCATGACAGTTTTCATCGTGTTTGGAGGTTACTATGTCAATGCAGACAACACCCCAATCATCTTCCGCTGGATTCCTCGTGCTTCATTGATCCGATGGTGAATTTCACCTCATCCCAAATTACCATACAGCAACGGTGACCTCGAGTCTATATTTATTTCTACCCTCTTAACATCCACTCGTCTTTGTTCAGGGCCTTCCAAGGACTCTGCATCAACGAATTCAGGGGCCTCAAGTTTGATCATCAGAACTCATTTGACGTCCAAACTGGAGAACAGGTAACAACTAGTTTATAAATCAAACTCCATTGTTCCTGTCTTTGAGGTCAACAGAGGTTAAATTTTCTAGCATGTTATGGGTAATTTGCAGGCGCTGGAACGACTGTCGTTTGAAGGAAGGAGGATAAGGGAGACGATAGCAGCACAAAGCCGGATTCTCATGTTCTGGTATTGCACCACGTACCTTCTCCTGGAGAAGAACAAGCCAAAGTATCAAAAGCTTGAGCTTCTTCTTGACGATGAAGAGACTGAGAATCCAGGAGTGCAGCTGGAGCAGACTCTGGATGAAGCAGCGGATGATCAAAGGGAGGAGCCTGAAGATGATATCAAGCAGCCACTTGCCGATCAAAGTCAAACGTCATCGGAGGAGTTTGACGAAATCCGTCCCTTCGTCCTCGAAGGTTTGTAAAAATTGTAATTACTAATAGATAATAATCATCTGTTGGGGCATTTCCATGGCAAACAAAAACACTAAGAACAAAACTCTTAACTAAAAGGTGAAAGAAAGATGTATATACATACACACATTCATAATAAGTTTTTATAGTTGAATCGAGCTTTGTGGTGATTATGGATTCATCTCCACTCTCCAGCAGGTAGCGAGTGACAAATAAAGGAAGTTGAGTTGAGAATTGAATAAAAAGAGTGCTCCTCTTACCTCTCTGCCTTAAACCCAATGTAAGACCCATCTTTAATTTCATTAGACTTCTTCCACTCTTTGACGTAACCACTTCTGTAACCTCTTGCCTTATCCACAAATAATAATAGAAACAAGTTTTGTTTTGACTCAAATATTCAGAATTTTTTAAAGATCTAGGGTGAAGAAGGAGAAGAAGTCTATTGCGATGACTTTCAAATTAATATTGAAGAAGAAGGAAAATAACATATGTATGTATGTTGGGATTTATTGGGAACATTGAACATTGCTTAAAAACTGCAAAACTCAGGAGCGGTAACGTCACGATCGACGTCAGAAGATTCCGATCGAACCAAAATCAGATTAGATTACTTGATTATACTAGTAACGGAATCAGTTTCATAATTAAACAAGTTAATAAGATAATAACATATATTTGCTCAAAAAAGATAATAGCAGCCGCCCATTGCGAGAAAGTCAAAGACCCATCGGGAGGGAACGTGGCGTCTGGTCCAAACATCCTCGTATCTTGCGTTTACCTGCAGATCGAGATTTTTGTTTCTGTTAACACAAAAATATGTATCTCTTAAAAAACACCATACGAAAGTGCTGCATTGTATAATTTTGTTTATGAATTTTAAAATTTTGATTTAGTTTCTGATCTGCGAATGTGTGATGGTTTTGGACATTGTAAGACAAATGAAGCAAGATTTCAAAAAAAGAGAGAAACGAGGCATCGAAATGTCCTCTTAATTGTCTCATTAATTTGTTTAAACATTGATTTTTTTTTTATGTTAAAATATGATGAAGTAAGCGCATAATTAAAAAGGTCACCGACTTGTACGCTTTTTCAGGTGCAATTACATAAACAAATGAGAGAGGTCAATTCATCAATCATAATATATTGATGTTTTTTTAATGGTGATAGGAAAGACCCACCAAATATATGCATTGGCACATCATGTGCATTGTTAATGGAGGCTTCTCAATTTCACTTCACTTTCCAATGGCCGTGTATCCCAAACCAACAAGCTAACAAGTTAACGTACCGTAGGAAGTTTCACAATGCATCGATTGTACACCTCGTCAATACATTGTCATCAACTTTCTTTTATCATTAACACACACATCTTACTAAATTGTCGACCGAAACGAGTACTCTAAAAATTTCAAGCACGTCTCAATTTTGGTAGCCAGATCTCATAAACAAAACATAGGTACAAAAATGTGTATCTCTATCAATAGGAAACCGACGTTTTCAACCTCCGCATACAGGAGCGTTGCAACGAATACTAAAGAAAACATTATAAATATTTATCAGAAGTAAAGCCATAGGTATATTATACAAGTTGGTTGATTGATGATGAATAATAGTGAAAGACGTGTAAGAAGAGATTAAAATATAATAACCGAATCTTTGAGAGAATTAAGAAACCAGAGGTGGAATTGAAAATGACGTGGAAGAGAAGGAAAGAGGGGTCCCATTTAATCAATTTGAAAAGATTGGCAACGCGCTAATCAATAATCATACATCCCCCACTTTTTGAAAAAAAATAATCCAAATAATATGGCTTATAAATATATATCCACTTGTCCATCATCTTCTCCATCCCTGATTCCAAGTTCCAACAACATTCCCAAAATCATAAACATTTTGGTTACAAATCCGATCTCATAACAAAAATGGAAGCTACATTGATTTCTTCGATCTCACCACTCCGATTCCATCCATTGGTGCTTTCCCCGAATAAAACGATGACGTGGACACAGAAGAAGAAGACGATGAGCGTTTCTGCTGCTGCGTCTTCTGGGAAAGATCATTACTACGGAGGAGGAAGATTAGTGGACGAGAACATGATCGTTCTGAGGAAACGCATCCACGAGATGAAGATGGTTGAGCGAAACTACGAGCCTCCTTCTCATTGGATGGATTGGGAGAAGCGTTTCTACAGCACCTACGACTCCGTTATCTGCGATTACGTTGGTCTTCTCCAGAGTTTCCTCATGAACTCTCGCCCCACCGTCGCAATCGCGACGCTGCTTCTCCTCCTCGTCAGCGTCCCCGTTTCATCCTCCGTTTTCGCGTTTCGCATTCTTGACCTCCTTCATTGGGTTCTCGCCGCCGCAACATCGGGCCACGTGGGCTGATCTACTCGGCCCATTTTAAATTATTTCCTCCTTTTACTTGCCAACAAATTCTTTAATGTATATTGTATGACTACATATTCTTTTATTATATGATTTTTAACTTTAGCTTAAGATATGGTTAAATTCTCGTTATTAGTATATTCTTTCATGGGGTTTGTACTTTTTTCTTTACATGTCACTGAAGAAAAAACAATACATTCTACTTACATAAACATGTCTTGTTATATGTTAATGGAGTTTTACATTCGTTCTCGTTTTTGTTGATAATTTTGTTTTCTGGTTTGTTTTCCCTTTAAGAATCGAATGGACAATATAACGGCGTCTTTGGTTGCGCACTTGCTCTCGTTTGGGCCCAACAGCTTTTGCGCGACCACATTTTTTATTATTTCTATAATAGTTCATTTTTGCCCCAAAATTTATGCAGTGCTAAAATATAACCCATGCCACTGTCACGCTTTCGAATTTTGTAGTTTCATAACTTAGATGCCTACTCTAACATTAAGTAAAATAAAATAACAATTTAGGGAAGATGAGGAGAAATTTTGGGTGCGTCAAAATAGTATCAGAGGAGGGGTTTCGGAAAATATGAAGACAGCAGTACCAATTTTGGGTACTGTCGATAAAGTTGGGGGTTATTTTATGTAAATAAAGACGAAATATAGGACAGAAATCAAATCCGAAAGATTCGGGTTTGTCTATTCTCGAAAGTCGAAAGTGAAGAGTGTCTTTATTCGTTTGTTCTCTCTCACAAACCCTATCTTCAGTCTTCACTTTCATTTCTCCGCCACCACACAATCATATTCGTCTTCTTCTCTTCTTCTTCGCAATTTCATATTTCAAACGCTATTCTTCATCTATATATTCCAACATTTCATTCGACCTTCTCTATTCATTGCCTCCCAATCCCTAATTTCTCCCAAAATTATTGTCTTCCTTCCATTTCCACACGCAATTCTGCTTCTGGGTTCTTCGTCATTTCTCTCATTTCTCCCGTCGGAACCTATCTGGGTTCCTTCTCTATTCATTTTCTTCCTCCTGAGCCTTTATTAAATTTTGTATTTTCCCTCCGAACGTTTCAGGGATTATATATTTGCTTTCACCAAATTTGATTTGTTCCCTCGATTTTTCTGCAAATTTGAATTTGTTTTCACCAAATTCTTCTGCAATTTCTGATTGATTGTCTGTCGAATTTGGAAGAGAGGGCTTTCAATGGCGCTTGCGTATGATCCTCTCTTCATTACATCGGAGAAATCAGGCATGGAGGTAGCCTCGCCGCCGCCGCCGATGGTTTTAACCCAAGACGAGCTGAAAAGAATCGCCGCGTACAAAGCCGTCGAGTTCGTCGAATCCGGCATGGTCCTCGGACTCGGCACCGGCTCCACCGCCAAACACGCCGTCGACCGCATCGGCGAGCTTCTCCGGCAAGGAAAGCTGGAGAACATCGTGGGGATACCGACGTCGAAGAAGACGCAGGAGCAGGCTCTGTCTGTCGGGATCCCTCTCTCCGACCTCGACGCGCACCCCGTCATCGATCTCTCCATCGACGGCGCCGACGAGGTCGACCCTTATCTCAACCTCGTGAAAGGACGAGGAGGGTCCCTGCTGCGAGAGAAGATGATCGAAGGGGCTTCCAAGAAGTTCGTGGTGATCGTTGACGAGTCGAAGATGGTGAAGCACATCGGCGGAAGCAAGCTTGCTCTTCCGGTGGAGATCGTGCCGTTTTGCTGGAGGTTCACGGCGGAGAAGCTCCGGAAACTGCTGGAGGGATACGGCTGCGAGGCGAATCTGAGGTTGGGAGAGAAAGGGAAGCCCTTTGTGACGGATAATGGGAATTACATAGTGGATATGCATCTGGAGAAGGATATGGGAGATTTGGGAGCAGCGAGTGATGCGATCCTGAGGCTACCCGGAGTTGTGGAGCATGGTATGTTTCTGGATATGGCTTCCACTGTTATCATTGCAGGTGAGCTTGGTGTCAAGATCAAGAACAAACACACTTCTTGTTGATTTTTTTCTTGTTTTGGGATTTGAGGTACTATTATTAGGTGAAGGATGGTTTTGGTTTGTATGGAAGACGAAACTGATCTAGATAATAGATAGGTTTGGATGATTGTTATGATGTCACTGTGAGGAGATTTGACTTTTCACAGAGTTTTGGTTGCTCTTGATCATCTCAGTTCTTGATATATTATAAACGGTATTTTGCTTGATCGCCTTTGAATACTTTATTGGGCCTACCTATACATTCTCTTTCTAGCTATTGGGCCTATCTATACATTCTCATATGTTGTTGGGCTAAATACCTTCGGATATATTGATATTCTCCCAATCAAAAAACCCTTCATTTTTCTCAGAAAAATGGATAACTTTAAAGTGCATTCGTTGATGTGTATACGCGATTTCAATTTTTAGTTGGTTTTGGTAGTACGGTTGGCCTAAAAGAGCAAATTAAAAAAGCACTAATTAACAAAACCAGGCCATAAACAAAGATTAATACGTGGTTAGTTATCAACCCTATCAAAATGATCAGTGATCGCACACCTCATTCCACTAGCTTTTCACTGACACGCTTCACACACTCACACGTACAATAGACCACGTAGCACGTCTCGGTCTCAATTCAATAAAAGAAACTAAGAAAGCATGAAAGTTCTTTGGTGGTCAATGGTCATTTGTGAATCTTCTTCTTCTTCTTCTTAGCTTTGAAAATTATCCTCTTTTCATATATTTTGTTGAGTTGTTTTTCCTTGGTTAGCTACTTTGAGTCTTTGACCATATATTATACATTTATTACAATTAAAATGGCCACGTGTATGTGATGTATAGTCGTATAGCTACATAAATCATTCATGTACTCTATATATAATACGATACGTCTCCCTTGATACTGATATTTTTCTTTTTTTTTTGAGCTAAAGTAAACTAACAATCATAAGATTCGAGAATCTATACTCCATCTCTTTGCTTCACCTGTAAACACACATAACTTTTTGGGGTTATCTCCTGAATAATTCGGAAATCAGAGAGAAAGAAAGGAAGCTTTTATTAAACTTTAGCTTCAGGAAAAGACGATTCTCTTCTTCTAAGTCTCCTTTTTCTTCGCTTTTCCACTTCTTCTCCTTTCTTTCTTCTTTTCGACAAAAAACAGAAGAAAACGGTACAACCTTCTTTCTCTTCTCCTTGCTCCTGTCCTCAATTTTGGGTCTGCCTCTCGATTTTTCCTCTGTTTTCGGTTTTTTTTTTCCCCTCAAATTTTGCTTTTTTATTATGTTGTCTCGTTTGTATGTGACTATTGTCTCTATGATTTCGTCTTAAACGTACTTTTTATAAATCGTACAAAAGTTGTTTTTGGTTATCCTCATCTGGGTAAACTTTTTTTTAATTTTCTCTTCGGTATGTCATATATAATCTGAGCTTTGAACTTTTAAATTTCATTTTATCAAGCGGTTTTCTTTTTCCCGTAAAATTCGAATAAGCCGTTTCGATAATCTTGTGCAGTTAAATTCTTCTTCAAGAAAAAAGAAAGAAAGAACAAAAGAATAGTTTTACAGCTTTTTATGTTCTAGTAACCAACCAGCTTTGGTTAATCTTAACCTAAACCACAATGGCTCTCATAATCCAGAGAATTGTTTGATTATTTAAGTCGATCGATCTAAATGTTTATACAAATTTATAGATATTTTTTTTCATCTCTTTCATTAATGAGCAGCTTCTAACCTACATGTTCTTGTTGCGTATGGCATCTCCTTAGCATTGAATGCGATTGCCCCTTGAATGATTCTGACTGACCTTACTTAACCCATTATCATAAACTCGCAGCTAAAAAGGGGGGAAGAATATAATAAAAGAACGAGGATTTCTTCAGCTGCAAGTTTCCATCTATCTATCTTCAAGACATGGGAGATCACTTCGTGCTGCTGGTGGATCGGTTGATAACAGAATCGACGATCGAGGCAGCGATCCAGAGCAGGAACCGGATGCTGCAAGCCAATGCACCTGTCGAGGAGGAATGCAGAATCCTCGATGAGAAAACACTTGAGAAGCTTCGTAACGGAGATTTGTCAATGGTGCTGTGTAGAATCTGTCACGATGAGGACTTGGATTCAAACATGGAGACCCCTTGTTCTTGCAGCGGCAGCTTAAAGGTAACAAACAGAATTAGAAACATTTTGAGATTTTCCACAAACAGAGTCGTTGGTTTTACAATTAGATAATCGATATGTTGTTGTTGTTGTTGTTGTTGTTGGCAGTATGCGCATAGGAGGTGCGTGCAGAGATGGTGTAACGAGAAAGGTGACACAACCTGTGAGATTTGCCATCAGGTCCTTTTTCTATTTCTTTTTTTTTTCTCTGGATCTTGTTGAAAGATTGAGTGTTATCTGACTATGGATTAGATGTGGTTTGTGTTCAGGAATTCAAACCGGATTATACAGCGCCTGCTCCATTGTTAGAGTTAGGTCAGGTTCCTCTTCATTTCAGAGGGAACTGGGGAATATCTCAACGAGAGCATCGTTTCATCACAGTTGTACCAGCTGATTCAGCTTTCCACGACGAACAATACCCTCTTTCTTCTACCACAAGCTTCATCTGTTGCCGTTCCCTTGTTCTCATCGTACGCTACGAGTCCTCATTTTTCACACCAAACCTTTATGGAAAACACTACATTCGATTTACTCATGTTTCTGTTGTTGCAAATCTGCAGTTCATGGCTCTTTTGATTCTCCGACACACCCTTCCTTTAATCCTCACCGGCTCAAACCTCCAGGTCTTCCCTTTGTTCACGGTGAGAATATCATTCTTGTTCTCTCACAAATCACAATAGATTCAGGGAGTGTGATATGAATTGATGATGAACCCTGATTGTTGTTATCTTGGGGGTTTCAGTTGTTGTTTCTGAGAGTACTCGGAATCATGCTACCAATCTACGTCGTAACCAAAGCAGTCGCCACCTGCCGCCGCCATGCTCAGACCTTAGAAGCCTCTGACTCTGAAGATTCATCTGATGAAGAAACAGATTTATGGCGATTGCCTCAAACGCAATCGTACATTATAGGCGTGCCATGAGCACTGTTCCTTCCTTTTCACACACACACAGAAAGTCAATGACTCTGTAAATATATACTCTCTCACTTATACATGTAAAATGTTGAATTGGATTTAACAGATTGAACAACAAAAAAAAGTATCTCATTGGCTAAGCTCTCTTCTCATCGCACCACCAAGTGTTTTCCCAGATCTGCATTGCAGAGAGACAAAAGATTCATCTTGAATTCTTCCACAACAACTTTAATTCCATGTGGCTGGATAGAAAATTACATTAAATATCTTATATCAAAAGATCCCAACATTCACAAGTATCCGTGTGCGTATTCCAAAATCCAATCTGTACAATCTTTCAAAAACCAGAGACACTAGTAAAGAGGAAAAGACCTGAAGCAATCAACTTTGGGATCTCAACTTCAAAACAAGAGCCTCTATTTGTTGTGTGTAAGTTATGAAAACATCAAGAGCTTCTTCTAGTAGTTCAGTTCCAGCTTCTCCTCGGCCTGAAAAGAAAAGATGGACACAAGGGGGTAAGAAAACATACGAACGAGAGTTGGTAGCTATGATAAGATCTAAATAGATAGATATAGAAGTAATACTTGCGGTTCTTCTGCTGCGTCCTCCAGTAACACGCAAGTGCCCCAAATGCACAGCTGGCTACGGCTATTGCCAATGCAGCTCCAATCGGAACAACCAGAGCGTTGGTGGCAACTGTCAAGTCTTCAGTGGCTGAGATGGTCTCTTCCTTGCTTCCAATGACACTCTTTTCCTTGTAAAGGGAGACGAGCTTGGGACCATAGTAGTTCTTCAAGAACTTGTAGACTTGGTCGTAGTCCCACTCTATGCTTTTCTGGTCACTCGAGAGATAACATGATGGGCAAAGCTCCTTTGGTGGCCATAGGATCTTGGGGAACTTGGGGTCACCTGTACTGAGAGAAGCTTCGTCCTTCATGAGCCTCTCGTTGACCTTGTTGTGCGAGCTCCAGACCCACAAGACAAAATCACGTGCCTTCTTGAAAGGAGTTTTGACGCTGTCCATGAAACGCACGCATACATGGTTGGTTTACATGAACAACTAAAGTGATTATATCGAGATATGAGTTGTTTTTGTTTACCTCAAGCACATGTCGTTGAAATGCATGCGGCATTCATCACACATGAAGAAGTTGTTGATGAAATCGCATATCGCCGTGAATGCAAATTGACTTTCTCCATCCTCAATTCTTACGGAAAGTGAATGCATCAGAACCCATAATCCGCAGCTACAGTCAAAGCATTTAAGGAATAGTTCAGATACCAGTGAGGCAAATTAAATTGAAGGATCACATTATGAAATTTGACCCAAAAAAAAGGAATACAGTACCTGAATCCGCGAGTATCGTTCTTGCTGCCACGGCAAAACATCTGCCAAATAAGAAATCAAGACAATCAGATTTGTAATGTGGGTTGTACAGAAAAAAAAGAACAGTAAGAGAGTTGGTTGCAAACACTCACGTAATAACCACGAGGAACATCCTTTCCACAAATAGGGAAATTTCCGAGGGTATCTTTCCCTCCCGATTCTTCGTAGGAGCATTTTCCAGAAGGGCATAATTCATCATAGTTCACTAGAATTTCTGCAGCTCCCTTCCGACACCTGCAGAAGACATTATACAGTAAATTTGGAGAAAGAGTGACCATAAAAAATGTTCAAAGGAAGACATTAGGATGATGAGAGTTTAATTAACCTCCTGGATAGATGATGTGCTGCTAGAAGCTGGATAAATCTAATAAATGAAGCGCTTGTTTCAGATGACTTTATGGCCTGTACATATCATGAAACTACTTAGCACTTATTAACTAACAAAAATGAGTCACGAGAAGAATGTAATACAAATTTCTCTACCTTATGTACTAAAATGATATCAAAAGCTTCTGCGGTTGCTTCCTCGATGTCATACACAGCCTGAGAAATCTGTGACAAACCAACACGCGGTACTCTCTAAGCTGTTTGATCATTAAAAGAAACGCTACTAATATCATATTATTTTGGCAGAGAAGAGTCTCAGAAACCTGGTTGTAGTTGGTTACATTTGCTAGGACATGTTCGTTTTCGAATTTCTGATCATCTAAGTGAAAAGAACTGCAAAAATATTTAGACACAAAAGAGAGATAAGTAGGATGTATATACGGATGTGATATTGGCAAACTAACTCAGGGAATATATAGATACGCTTCAAAGATAGAACAAAGTTTTTAATTTGTTGGATATACTTGATACTTCGAGCCAATGTTGAAGATAAAAGTCCGATGGCACAAACCTTTCTGTCTGCTTGTTGATCCAGTTGAGCAGACGCTCAGCTGTGCGGCCATCGTCGACGACAAGTATCTCGCTTTTCTCCTTTTTAGGTTCCCAACTGCCAGAGACAAACTTTGCAGGAGGGCCCCAAAAGAGCATTGGATAGTGAGAAACAGAGAACTTGTCACAGAGCTTGGCATTCGTCTGCGCTGCCGGGGAAGTCAGATTTAGCATCAGAACAGTAAAATCAACATAATCCAACAGGATTCATAGGTAAATTAGGAACAATGAAGTAAGCACCTTCATCGCACAATCAACTCTCGTCATCAAAACGATTCCGGGATGTATTGCGTCTGGTCCATTGAAGAGCCTTGCGACCTTCTCGTAATGAGGCTGCAGAGTAACAGTTTATGCAATGAAAATCTGCCGATAAAGGCATAGAAGGAGGAGCCAAAAGATCAGGCTTTGAATAGTTATATTACCTTGTAGTTTCTGCAGGCAGGGCACCTAGAATCACGTAAAACAACACACGAATCAATATCCAAATTGATACTGTGTAAAATATAAACCCTTTGCAATCATCTTGTAGCAATGAGTTAAAACGTATCGAATAGGATGATAAAGGTTAAAATCTTTTCCAAAGAAATTCCACGCTAGATCCGGTACCAAACTTTAGGCGGAAAGAGGTGAAGACCCCACCAACCAAAACTAAAAATTTCCAAGAAATGTATTTCATTCTAAGCAATCGAATTCAATGCTCTGGGTTTTTTAAAAAAATGGGAGAACTGACCAGTGAGCGAAGAACTCGACGACGGCATACTTGGCGGGGGTGTCGTGAAGAACTGAATCGAAGTTGGTACTGTTCAATTCGACAGCTTTGTCTTTCTGATCGGCGTTACCGCTGCTGATATCCCGGAGAATCGAGCGCGAGCCCGGAGAGGAAGAAGACGCGGCAATTACAAGGCTCAGTAAACCGGCGCACAAAACCAGATGTACCAAAGACATCAAATCGAATCAAAATGAAAAATAATTCACCCTGCTGAATACGAAGGCTCGGATATTTCAAAGTTTCGCGTTAGGATTTAGCGAGAGAGAGAGAGAGAGAGAGAGAGAAAGAGAGAGAGAGAGAGGAAGCAAAGACCAAGACGAGCGAAGATCTATAGAAAGCTTCCCTCCTCTTCCATCGAGAAATGAAGCTTTGTGATATAGAAGCTCGGAACGACGTCGTACTTTTAACCACTCATTGAACTCGGTTACTTTTGTCTGAGTTATTACAATGGGCTTTGTTCGTATTACGCTTTACTCTTAAGCAACCAATCATCGTTTGGGCCGTATAGGGCTCATCTACCATAAATTACTATTTCTGCCCACGGAATTCTTTTTTCAACTCAATATTATTTTCGAAAATTAAACATTATCTACATATATAAAGTAAGTTTTTCTCTCTTCTGGTACTGTCACCTCATCAATCCATTCATTAATTATTTTTTATTTAAATTTTTTTAAAACACAAAATAACATTAACATTCAATATAAGAAAATAGTAAATATTCAAAGGTAATTATAATACACAAAATATTAATATTCAATATAAAATTACAAATATAAATAAACAATTATAATATGTTGTCAGAAAATTAAAATAAAATAAAACTAACAAATAATTACATACATTAGCTCTAAATATTTTAATATTCAAGGCTGATTTCTGCAAGTGTGTGATGGAATTTGTAATTAAAAAGACGGAAAAAATATAAATTAACATTAACATTTAATATAAAAAATAATAAACATAAAAACACAATTATAATGTATTGTCAGAAAATAAAAACCAACCAAATACAAAATAACAAAACAAAAAAATAATAATATACATTAGCTCTAAGTATTTTATGATTGAAAACGAAATTTTACGAGTGTGTGACGAGAATTGATAACTAGAAAAATAGAAAATAATATTAAAATTTAATATAAAAATAGCAAACATATGAAATAAGTTTTTCTCTCTTTTGGTGCTGCCACATCAACAACCACTTCATTAATTAATTTAATTTAATTTCTTTTAAGATGCAAAATAACTTAACATTCAATATAAAAAGAGCAAAATATTTACAATACACAAAATATTAGCATTCAATATAAAAAACAATTATAATATGTTGTCAGAAAATAAGAGAAAATAACACAAAAAAATAATTGTATACATTAGCTCTGAGTATTTCAAAATTTACTGTAGAAATTTACTAGTGTGAGATGAGAATTGGTAATAAGAAAAACGGAAAACAATAAAAGTTAACATTAATATAAAAAATAACAAACATATAATGACAATTGTAATGTGTTATCAGAAAATAAAAATCAATAAAATACAAAATAACAAAACAAAAATAAGGTATACAATAGCTCTGACTATTTCATGATTCAAAATGGGAATTTACAAGTGTGTGACGGGAATTGGTAATTAAAAAAAATTAATATTCAATATAAAAAATAGCAAACATAAAAGCACAAACAATGTGTTGTCAGAAAATAAAAGAAATCAACAAAGTACTATAAAAAAAATAATGATATACATTAGCTATGAGTAAAGCAAGATTCAAGGCGGAAATTTACGAGTATGTTACGGGAATTAGTTATTAGAAAGACGGAAAATATTTAAAAAAAAATAGTATTAACATTCAATATAAAAGTAGGAAACATAAAAAAGACAATTACAATATGTTGTCATAAAAAATACAATATAAAAAACTAATAAATAATAATATATATTAGTTCTGTTTATTTCAAGATTCAATGCGGAAATTTACGAGTGTCTAAAGAGCATTGACAATTAGAAAGGCAGAAAATAATAAAAATTAATATTAACGTTCAATATAAAAATAGCAAACATAAAAAGTTAAACTATACTGTGTTGTTAGAAAATAAAAAATCATCAAATTCCAAAATAAAATAGAAACTAAAAATAATGATATACATTAGCTTTGGATATTTCAAAATTCAAGGTGGAAATTTACGAGTGTGTGATAGAAATTAGTAATTAAAAAGACGGAAAATGATTTCCAAAGAAAATCCAATAAAAATGGAATAGATAATTCGGGTAACAAGACAGGTTCGAGAAATTTCATTATCTAAAATCTATTGACAAATTCTCAATAATTTGGATGAAAGTCAACTTCATAATAAATATTTTGGGAAAATTCAGAAAAGTCAAAGAAATTTTAGAACATTATATAATTTTAAGAATTTTAACACTTAAATAGATATTTCAGATATTTAATATCATATATGTTCTATTTTCTTATTTGTTTGAATTAACCAAATAATTTTGAATAGATAACAAACACAATATAAAAATAATAAACAAATCATAAAATCTTCAGAGCTATATGATACAATAAATATAATATAAAAATTACATAAAATGATTATCAAATTCGCTGTGTTGGGTAGATCACAAACTAGAGTTTCAAAAAAATGGAAAATTCGAGTCATGTACAGATGAGAAATAGAAATTCATCTTAAAATTTTCAAGAATATACGATACAGCAAGTATAATACCAAAAATATATAAAAATAATTCACATAGCCGCGCGTAGCACGGATCACCAACTAGTGTTATATATAATTCCCATTCCTAGTCCAGTATCAATATGGTTCCTTTTCATTATGCAAAAGTTGTACGGGAAAAACAACATTATAATGTGTCGGTCATGTGCACATGACATCCCCTACTAATAAAATATTTAACTGATAAATTAGCCGGTTATTGCAGAATGCAGATTCACGTGCGCATCATCAATATTAGAGATTGATTCACTTCACTTGTCTAAACCCCTGTTAATCTCCTGTAAACATCATAAACCATGCTTAATTCAACTACTCAAGTCCTAACTCATGAATAAGGTATAAGAATGATGCATATGTTATGTTATGTTATTTTTTTTTTGGTTGATGAATAGTGTAGTAGATTAATAGTGCATAGTACATTTTTACTGTAAAACTTTTACAGTTTGACTCATAACATTTTCCTTTTAATAACAAAGCTACATTGCCACCCCCCCAAAATTGTATATTCTTCAACATTTGAAGCTTATCTATGAGAAAAAAAGGAACAAAAGCTTACAGCCTTTCTTTTTTCTTTTGCTGATTTTAAAGAATTTATATATGCCAATTTGCCATTTTTGCATCTTGTCAGCATCAAGCTAGCACCCAGTATCCACCATTAATTAAAGAGCCTCTTAATATGGCCTCTTGCTTTTCTGCTATATGCAAAAATAACCACTCTCGTTTTGCTATATTCTAGATTTGTCCTTAGACTTTATAATGTTACATTCATAGCCCCAATTCATTGGATGTGTATTTGCCTTTAGGCTTTAACACGCCAATCAAAACCAGAGTTTCGGGCTAACTTGTAAATTAAATTTCAGTTGCTAAGGACGAAATGTATAAATATGAAACTATTAGGGGGTAATGTGTTATTCACTCTCTTTCTCTCTCTCTCCTCCAAATATGAACCAATCTTCTTTCTCCTCATTTCCTTCATTGACCCCTTTTTTTGAAACTCCTGAAATTCCCAATTTCCATTAGCCGAATCTCGACTCTCTCCTCATTGCAGCCTTCGGATACCCTCTTTCATTTATCTCCGCCTCTTTAATCGGAGCTTAGAAATCGTTTCGGGGGGTTTTTGTTCAATCAATTCGTCGTCTTACTTCCATCGATTTTCCCCTTCTTGGAATCTCCGATTCCACCCTTCTTTCAAGCTTATTCGTCGTCTCATCGGAGATACATATCGTGTTCATATTCAAGCATATCAACTTATAAGACCTATATTAGATAGGTCAATCAAACCACGAGTACAGGGAAGAGTGTTGCTGTTCAATCGTTCGACGAACTCTGAGGCTTTTGTGCATCCCTTGTTTCATCATTCCGTTTATCTGTTCCTTTGTCGTTATTTAATCGGGGGAAGAAGGAGATGTTGGGAGCTGGATTTCAGTTGACGAGAGGGCGACACGGCGAAGACCCTTTTTACAGTTCCGCCAAAGCTCGCAGGGCCAATCAGCGCATCGATCAGCTGCGGAGAGCTCAGAGCGACGTCTCTAATGGCCGATCAGCTGATTCCAAGGAAAGCGTCGTGGGTTCCATCAGCAGAGAATGCGAGAACGAGTCTGCTTCGCAAAAACTCGTTCCTGAGCTTGTTTCTGAGACGTCCCCATCGTCGTCGAGTAATCTGGAACGCTTCTTAGAGTCGGTCACACCTTCTGTGCCGGCCCAGTATTTATCTAAGGTTTGTTTGAACATGTCAAATGAATTTCTGTGTTTTGTTTATGTATTTTTAAAAATCTTTCTTTTATGACATTTGTCTTTCTCTGCAAAGAACTCAGTACCTTTCGTTTATGGATTTGCGTATCTCATTCTTATGGGTATCTCTGGTCTGTGCTCTAATGGTGATTGAAATATCTACAGACGTCGCTACGGGAAAGAAAGGCGGATGAAGATAAACGTGTGCCTTACTTTGTGCTTGGAGATATTTGGGAGTCATTTGCAGAGTGGAGCGCCTACGGCACAGGCGTGCCTCTAGTTTTGACTAACAAGGATCGTGTTATCCAATACTATGTGCCTTCCTTGTCAGGCATTCAAATATATGCTGATACTCATGCGTTGAGTTCATCTCTTAAAACTAGGTGAAATATTCTATGAATGTGTTAGTTCTCGCATCAGAAGTATAACGAGTTTCCGTTATGTTGGCTCTTATATCACTTTCCTATGGCAGGCGGCCAGGTGATGGTAGTGACAGCGATTTTCGGGATTCAAGTAGCGATGCCAGCACCGATAGTGACTCTGAACGGGTTACAGCTAGAGTGGACCAACTCTCGTTGAGAGATCAACATCAGGAAGATTCATCAAGTGATGATGGTGAACCTTTAAGCTCTCAAGGTCGTTTGATATTTGAGTATCTTGAAAGAGAGCTTCCGTACATCCGCGAACCTTTGGCTGATAAGGTTTGTGTGTTAGTTCCTCACATAAAATTAAGAAAGCAAACAGAAGATACTAGATAGTAAATACTCTCTGAAGAATTCTATAAAACTATAGATATTATTCATCATATCTGCTCTTTTATGCCTTTTTTTGATCAGGCAATTTGTATTTCATCAGTATATATTGCAATTAACTTCAATATATAACTAGTGCTCTAAGATTTCAATCAAACCAGCGTTCTTTTATACAAATGACTGTTACTTGATTTCAAACCGTTAATGTGGGTGGGGCAACTGTTGGACATCAACTAATCAGAAATGTTCAGTCCGGTCAGGAACTGGTCTTGTTCTCAACTTAAACTAGACCACATTCTTAGCTCACAAGACATGGCAACTTGCGTGAGTCTGTTGTTTATATCCGTATCCTCATGACTATTGCCTATGTTGCATTACAGGTCTCTGACCTGGCTGCTCGGTTTCCGGAGCTGAAGACGCTAAGAAGCTGTGACTTGCTTCCTTCAAGCTGGTTTTCTGTGGCATGGTACTATTGTTAGCACTTTGATTGCAGTTCCTTGCTGCCAATATGCCGTTCTTGTCTCTGAGAATCCATCATATGCTTTGCAGGTACCCGATTTACAAAATACCTACAGGACCCACACTTAAGGACCTGGATGCTTGTTTCTTAACGTATCACTCCCTTCACACACCGTTTGGAGGTAAAAAAAAAACTGTTTAATCTATTCTAGTAAGCCTTATATTTACACGGTTGCAATGGTCAAAGATAATACTTGTGGTGGCATGTGTCCAGAGTAGGATCTTGTTACTATTGACCACTTTGACAGCATAACTAGGTGTACACGTGATTGTTCACGAGAAGAGTTAGAAGAGACACTGCTGTGAAGTCACTTTTTTTTTTGGAAGGATAGGTAGATTTATTCACAGCGTATGGCTGTTGTAGGTCCAGGCAGTGCACAACCAATGAGCCTTGTGGAGCCAAAGGAGAGTGAGGAGATGTCATTGCCTGTATTTGGGCTCGCTTCATACAAGTTCAGAGGTTCTGTATGGACAGAAACCGGGGGATCTGAGAACCAGCTAGTGAACTCCCTCTTCCAAGCTGCTGACAAGTGGCTGCGTTCATGTCACGTGAGCCACCCTGATTTCCTCTTCTTCTGCCGCCGCTGATATATGACCTTTAGTACGTTTTTTAAAAAGGATGTTTTTTTCCGACTGTGACGCTCTTTGGAGTGGCTCACTAGAGTTTTAGCATTAAACTCAAAACTGTTGATGGTTGGTCTCAGACCTAAGTTGCTTTATCTGTAAGTGATATAGATAAATGAGTTTTGTTTTGGTCAGGTTATGTATGTGAAAGTGAAACCCTGGGCTAACCCTTTTGTTGTATACCAATACATACCATGTTGTCTGCAATAGAAACTCTTGGAGTAAATGTGAAATGTTTAAACTATCCCATACAAAGTTACTTTGAAACCTAGATATGGCTCCATCTCGAGCTTCCTTCATTTATACACATCAACAGATCAAACTAAACTTAGTATTTTCTTCGTTTGGCATTGAACTCGTCCACTTGGTTTCTGGATATAGATAACAATGAGTTCATAAAATGATCAAGAGCAGCTCTAATAATCCACCCAAAGTCTACTCCTGTTTCCTTTATATGTTCCTTGAAAACAGAAAAGCCCTCGAAATAATGCCGTAAATAGTCATGGGCTTTAGAGATTTATAATTCACTAAATTCCAATGGGCCTGAAGGAACAAAACGAATGGCCTTGAGAGGCCCAATGATTTCCTGCTTAACCCTAATTTGAGTGAGTGGCATATATATATAAACACTCATCGCCGCAGTGTATTTCGTCTCTTTGGAATTCCGTTTGATTCGAGCTCGACAGAGGTTAGTGATGATTTCTTCCTCACTCATCTTAGCCCTGTGAATTTAGTTTATTTGTCTTCAGGACCTAATTGATTTCTTGGGGTTTTGATTGATCTGCAGGAAGCAGAAATGGCCGAGTCGAAGGTTGTAGTTCCCGAGTCTGTCCTGAAGAAGAGGAAGAGAGAGGAAGAGTGGGCTTTGGAGAAGAAGCAGAATGCTGAAGCTGCCAAGAAGAAGAACGCCGAGAACAGGAAGCTTATCTTCAAAAGAGCCGAGCAGTACAGCAAGGAGTACGCCGACAAGGTTACTTTTTTTCTCTGGGTTTATGTTTTCTCGGTAGATCCAAATCGAAGCGGAAAATATGTATCCTTGAGTAGATCTAGCGTTTTTCAGTTTCTCTGGGTAAATGAGTAATGTTTACATTTGATTTTCAATAGGAGAAGGAGTTGATCTCTTTGAAGCGTGAGGCCAAGCTGAAGGGAGGTTTTTACGTTGACCCTGAAGCTAAGCTTTTGTTCATCATCCGTATCCGTGGGTATGTTTGCTGTTTGTGTGGATTTTTAGCATTTCCAAATAGATGATAAGTGGTGTACTTATCTCTCTGGAACCTTGAATTTGCAGTATCAATGCTATTGACCCGAAGACAAAGAAGATTCTCCAGCTCCTTCGTTTGAGACAGGTTTGTCTACAAATTTTCATTTTATTAGTATTTTGATGGATACCATTTACTGGTTTTAGTCTTAGGAGCAAAGAGTTAGTCATTGGCTATGGTTGATATCTTGACATTTGACAATCATATGCTTCTGGTTGGATGAATATAGTCAGCAGAACAATTTGATGATGTAGCTCCCCATGATGAGAGTTGAATTAGAATCGAATAATAATGCTTGAATTTGGCATGTCTGATGCAGATCTTTAACGGCGTTTTCCTTAAAGTCAACAAGGCTACAATGAACATGCTTCGTCGCGTTGAGCCCTATGTGACCTATGGGTATACATCTCAAACTAAACCTGCTATGTTTTAGGGAGTGTTCAGAACTCTTAGGTGACCTCTGTCTCTCTTTCTTTCAGATTCCCTAACTTGAAGAGTGTTAAGGAATTGATCTACAAGAGGGGTTACGGAAAGCTTAACCACCAGCGGATTGCTTTGACTGACAACTCTATCGTTGAGCAGGTTCGAAGATCTGTTTCTGTGGCCCTAGTTTCGTGAATGTTTTTTCTGATATGAAGCAAAGTAGTGATTGTTTTTTTCGTGTACAACATCAACAGGCTCTAGGCAAACATGGGATCATCTGCACTGAGGATTTGATCCACGAGATTCTTACAGTTGGACCTCATTTCAAAGAGGCCAACAACTTCCTGTGGCCATTCCAGCTCAAGGCACCACTCGGTGGCCTGAAGAAGAAGAGAAATCACTACGTGGAAGGTGGTGATGCGGGAAACCGTGAGAACTTCATCAACGAGCTTATCAGGAGGATGAATTAGATGTTTTCTTTTCCAATCTCTGTCTTATCTGTTTTGTCTTCACTAAGTGCTTCCTCCAGGATTTTGATTCTCTTCTTTATTAAGTTTAAAGACATTTTGAGCTTTCTACTTTGTTGTCTTTGGATCTCAATGTTGGATATGCACATCGCAGTTACTTCTTCTCTTTCGTTAATCTATGTTTTAAGAAAATAGGTTATTTTTAATTTTGTTATTTGTAGTATTTCCCAATCGAGATCTTCATTATGTTTTAGTGTATGGTGTGTGATATATCACACAAGGCTAAATAGGAAACAAAGTTTCAAACATTACAAGAATCGAAACGGAAGAATGTGTCCTATTCTTCTTGTTTTTGTTGAAATGACGAAAAGGAGATGGATCTAGATTCTTGACTCGGAAGGAATCTAACTATGAAACCAATTTGGGATGTCCCTTGCAACTCTTTCGTGACGCTCCTTTAACTATGAAGACCTATCTCCGTAACGAGAAGAATCTGTCAGGTACTTCATTGTATTTCACCAAATTTTAAGTCAAGCTTTATTCTTCTCTTCATTCAAAAAAAAAAAAAAAATCGATACAAAGTAGAATGTTTAAGAAGAGGAAGAAGATGAGCTACACGTTGATGAAAGGAATTATGTTATCTTTGGAGGTTTTTCAACCATTTGTTCTTTAAAGAAGTAACTTTAAAAAAGCTGAAGAAAATTTACCAGAGAATTATGAAAATAATATATATATATATATATTTTTTTTTTTTCTTGTCAATTTTTTTAAAAAATTGGAGGTTTTCAATCATTTGTTCTTTAAAGAAGTAACTTTAAAAAACCTGAAGAAATTTTACCAGAGAATTATGAAAATAATATATATATTTTTTGTCAACAAAAAAAATAATATAATTTTATATTTTAAATTTTAAATTATTTTACTTTTTTCATTTTCCTTTTAAATTATAAGTAACAATAGTGGAAAAATAAAAGTTATAGAATTTGCATTATAATATTTAATGGGATTAACTGAAAAAATAATTATTTAGAAACATACTAATTAATTAAAATTTGTAAGATTTTGTGTTGTCTTAGAATGTTACACATCACATAGATTACATGTTGACAGCCTTATAATTTAGCAAATTTCAACATGTGTCCAACGATTTAAATGATTCTTGCTTTGTGTATAGATGCCATTATACACATTCATTTGAAAAATATGTAAGAAATAAAGAAATGCAGATGCATATTTTAGTTTAAAAGGGAAAGAAATTGAAAAAGGTTAGATAGTGCTGTTTACAAACTAAATATAACAAAAGTAGAGAACCGGATATAGCTAAATATCAACAAAAGTGATAACATCATATTTTGGGATGCGTATGTTGTGTATATAATTCTCAGCAATTTGACGATTATAGTGTGTTCATCATATTTACATATGTGAGTGCGTAGGTCTATGATTGCTCTCACTTTTTCTTTTTTTTATGACGTTGCTTATGATTCTGTATAATTCTTGAATTGCTTGTGTTACTCATAGCTGTACTTATTGTGTGTATGTGTGCATGTGTAGATTATCATATTTTTTATTTAGGTTACTGACTTGAAAATTTCTCTTGTTTACAGATTTGAAGTATATATATATTTTGTTCAAAATTTTCAAGGCGACAATAATTCGTATGAGTAAGATGAATTTCACAAGTTATTTTTAACAAAAAAATATAGTTAAACGAAGGCTGCCAATTGCCAAATGCCAATGCTGTGTTCTAAAAAAGCAGATTAATTTTCTCACAACATGTATATATCCTATGTTAAATTAAAAGCACAAAGCATGCCAAAGAACGCTTAAGATTATTGTTAATGGTAATTTCTTTTATATAATCCTCCTGATTGGCTATGTTTTTATTGAGATTACAGATCTCCTTAAGATTTTTTACCAAGAAGCACCTGCGGATCAAAATGTCAATGGCCAAAGGAAATGTGAGATCATAATAATCTATTTTCTTATAATAATTCTTCTCTATCTGATTAGGGGAAATATAATTTAATTTTTTACAATAGGACTAACGCATTGGGGAATGTTGTTGCAGTGGTGGATTTATGTATGTGGAAAGACAAGAAAAAATCAGGCACAACGCTTGTAATGGCAACACTTTTCTGGTACACGTTTGAGATCAGTGAGACTCGCTCTGTACCTCTTCTCTGTTCAATGTTGCTATCCCTTATGCTCTCCCTCTTCCTCTGGGCCAACTTTGGACAAATCCTTTTTTTCAAATGGTACTTTATTCCAAACAATGCACACTTCAATGATCAACTAAGAACAAATAACACTATAAGATTTTGATTATATTTATATGTTGTGTTTGATATCAAACAGGAGACCACCCACTCCTGAAGAGATCAGATTAGCAGATTCTCCAGTTAGATCCTTATTTGCAATGATCGAGGGACTTCTCTTTATGCTGTATGAGATTGCATATGGGCAAGACATCATAAGATTTCTCCTGGTGAATCTTTGCTTACACTATATTATTTCTTGTTTCCATACAAAATTTTCAAGAATCATTTGTTCATTTATAGATCTTTCATGTACTGCAGACCATCCTTTATGTGGCCATCATAGACACCGTTGGGACCTACGTCGACCTCCTTTCACTTTTGTATATATGTAAGAAGAAGATCAAAATTAACCTGACCACTTGTCATCTCATTGTCTTTTTTTTTCTTTCTATCTAATAACTGTAATATCAAATCACACGCCTTTCAGGCTTACTCTGCTCGATGACCATTCCGGTTATGTACCAGCGACATAAAGAGGGCATTGACAATTTCTTTGGAGGGGTATCAAAAGATCTTGGAGAAATCATTCTCAAAAATATTCCTAGGGCTACCAAAGTGGACTAGTTCATGAGAGTTTACCGGATTTGAATGCAAAGCTACATGCTTTATTTTATCTTTAGTACTAAAACAATTCTTGTTTAAAAGACGGGATACATGCCAATTACAGCAACTCTAAGGGCCAAAAGTTTATATAACAGAAACAGAATAATTAATAAAACAAAACACTCTGGGAGCTCTTGAACAGAGCTACATCTATACAAGTATAAGGAGCAGTTTCTTTCTATGGACTGCTAATTTTCTTACTGTAGCTATCTCTTATATTTGATTAACGGAGTTTTATTCTTTTCCGGTTGCACCTTGAAGATTATTCTATGCCAATCCTCAAGAATGTATATGTGAAAATCCACTTTAATATAGTCTTGTTTTTTATATAAAATGAAAAAGTTAAGTATTCACAATGGAAAATGGAAAGATTAAACTCTGAAAATAAAGAACGAAAATGGAAAATGGAAAGATTAAAATTTGAAAATAAAGAACGAACTCAGTGTCGAGAGGACCAGAAAAAACAGAAGAAAAACATAGGGAAGTAGAATGAGGAAACAGTTGAAGGAGCTGGGAGGAAAACGACTTTGAGACAATAACCTTTTTATTGTTCTCGGAAGTGGCCACAAGTGTGGTGAACGGCCAAGAAGTTCAACTTTCATCATCATCATCAGAAACAAATCAAGGAGATATCAAACGCGAGTCTGTTGAGAAACATCTTCTCCAAGTTCTTCCCAGTTGGATTCAACGCGTTTTTGATCCTCCAAAAGTGCTGTCCCAAAGTTATAAATTACTAAGGTTTTAACTAGTGTCTAAAGAAATGAAAAGAAACACTAAATCCTTTATTATTTCTTATAAAATTACACCATTTAAAAGGAATATATTATACTTATGATTTTTTTTTATCCTTTGTATTTTAAAGAACTATAGTGTTAATATATTTCCTATCATAATTGAAAACGAAAAATAATTTTTATTATTTTGTTTTTTTAAATTCATTTTATTTTAATTTAATAGTTACCAATTAAAACTTAAAAAAATCGAGAATTTATAAGAGCACCTCCATCAACAATTTTATCATTTGGGATGTCTCATTTATTTTACATTAATATAATAACAAAATTACATTTAAATTTTAATATAAAAAGATTGAGCTAATGAAATGATAACACATAATCTTTAAAGTTGAAAAAGTTTTGAAAATCTTTTAAAAAGTTTTTTCTTTTCTCTCTCTTTTTATCGTTTTTTGTTTTTCTAAATATAGATTTTTTTTTGTTTAAACCCAACTTATAAAAGTGCTCTAATAGTCTAAATCACCAAAAACTAATTTTACTGTTTCTCTTTTTTTTTTTAAAAAAAAAAATTCAATATTCAAATACTTGCGGAAATACTATCAATGAGATTTTTTTATTTTCTTCTGCAAACACTTTTTCTCTTCTAAATTCAATAAAATCTCTTCTACACAAAGAACTTGAGCAAGATGCAATATCTGAGTACAGTTTCTCAAATACTTTCTCTTCTACTTTTTCACTACTAACATTATAATATTTACTTTTCTCGCAATAGGCTTTTCAAAAAACTCTTTTTAAAGAAGTTTTTGAGCAAATTGTACAAACTTAATTTCATTCTTATTTCTTTGTACGGTTCTTCATCGAATCTCAATACTTTTTTGTCTTAATTGGTTTCCTCATTAAGCGCAAAAAAACTCTATCCCACCTTATTATTAGCTAGAGAGAATACATGTTTTAACATACTAAATCAATATCATCAAACCACTGCAAGAACAATGTTATGTGCTTTGTGCCAACTTTGCAGGCATCAATTCATTCAAAGTTTATTTCTCGCTTTCCAAACCAATCACATTATCTAAATAAACACCTTTTTCGCATGCAAAGTTCCTTTAATCCATTTCTCCTTTTTCCCTTTGGTTTGCATTTAAAGTTCCTCTAATTCATTTCTCTTTCTCACTTTGGTACCGTTTTTCTTTTAGTTTATCTCGCTCTCAGTTTGTGTTATCTGCAATTGAATAACCACTTTCTCTGTTTTTCGTATCGATAAAAATGTGGCTTTCGTGAAAGACCTGGTGTGTTTCACCAAATATCATTTGAAACACGTTTTGTAGTTTTTCCTTTCATATAACTTTACCTTTAAAATTATTTTGGAACAAGTTTCTGTAGTTTTTATTAAAATATTGAAAAATGAACAGCACAAATAAGAAAAGGAATATATGATGAAGGCTTAATTCAGACGTCTTTCCTCCGGTGATCCCCATCAGCTTCTTTCCAGGGGACAAAGGTACCACGGCAACAAAGTGTTGGCAACTTATTTAGTAAGTTCACGTTTTTTTCTTATCTCTGTTGAGGATATATTCATCCGGAATTTTTCCTCTGGAATGGAGATAAACATGTCACTTATCTTCTCCGGAATATCAATATCTTTCAGAACCTGCAGAGGAGCAAAAGTTAAGGCACAATGCATACAAATCTCATAAACAACACCCTCGAGAGAGTATAATAATATAATAGTTTGTATTGGTTGAGACTCTAGTGCTTATTAGGTCAAACCTTAAATACACCATCTACTTCGCGACCACCAACAAGGAACCTGCAGCCTGTTCGCTTGCAATCACCAAGTACCTCCAACATCCTTTTCTTGCTTCCTTCGTAGTACTTTGGCTGCAACGACTCAAGATCCTTAATTAGCGTGTAGCATACAAATCTAATTGTAAGCTTGAGGAAATAAACAAAAAAATAATAATAATACTAATAATAATAATGGCAAAAGGTTCACTGATTATATTACATACATTAACAAGCCTTTCTGCAGTGTCAGCGCCAATTACAAAGCTGCTTCCTGGGAAGAGTTCAGCTTTCTTGTAGAAGTATGGCTGGTTTGAAACTATCACCGTCTTTCCTGCCAACCCAATATTAATATCAATATCAAAAGATGGCACGAGCCATCAACTTGCACTGGAAAACTATCTATAGCACCCCCCTTGTTGGGAAACAAAACTTGGATCATAAAGATTGTTGTAACTCAGAGATGCCAAATAGGATTGAAAACATGAATAAACATAGTAATTGTAAAAGTAGAGATCTCCACTTACCAGCATCTTCGAATTGCTTGACACGCTCTTTAATCTCCGCAACTGTAAGCGGTGGTTTGTCGGCATTTATTGCGGATATTTCAAAACATGGGTACCCGCCTCCATCGACACTGCATCAACAAATTCTGCTTTTGTGAGATTGTTTTTATTTTGTTTTACAGAGCAAAACAAGACAGTTTGATTTTGTTGTTTGGAGATAAACGTCATTAAAATGCCAGGGACGTGGTCAATTTTATATAGCACAACATATGTGGGGCACAAGAAAAAGAAACAATGATCAATTACTAAATTGCCTTGCTTTATACTATAGCATATCAGATTTAACTAGGTAATATAGAGTCAGCAAAGAGTCGAAAGGCACAGGTTAATGGTGTGCATTTTTAAAAAATGGTTATTCTTTTAATCGTCTTCACATAGAGAACAGAAGCAGGTACTCGTTAATCAGATAATAAAGACATAGCAGCAGCTTACCTCATAGCAACTTCCAACAGCTTGTGATGACCTTCATGTAATGGGTTAAAAGAACCAGGCAGTATAATCTTTCTATCTCTATCATCCCCGTACGCTTCTGCTTCTGCCATAAAGGTAGAACTCCATCGTTAAGGGCAAACAAATACAAGTTGATTCTAAAGTTTTATTGGGTCAGATGACCATAATCTTACCCCCAGAAAATGGATAAATCTTAGAGCTCAGTTTTCCATTTATAAGCTGCTCTAGTTCTTGTTCTTCAGTAAACTCGGTTAACGACTCATCAGGCACCTCAGAGTCGGTCAAGCCAGAGGCAAGTGCCCCAGAAACTTGGCATGCCTTGGCCATAGCCTAAGATAATGACCACAAAAGGTTTTAAGAAGTCACAGAGTCGAATGCTTTTAGAAAAGTTATGCGTAGCTGAGGAAAGTATGGATAAAAAAAAACGGCCAGAAGAATATGTGAATTTATATAAAAGAGAAACGCTCTGCGGGCTAGAGAAAGGCCAATCAGACGCAAATGACCTAGGGAGGTACTAGGTTGATTAGCTATTATAAACACACCTGAATCAGAACACAGCTTGCCACATTGTCTTCTTCCTGTCGGGTTCGTAGGTTCTAAGATCCTCCACAATTAAGAAAAGAAACACACATGAGTAGTTGATATTAAAGACTAGAGCAAGACGGGAGAAAAGAAACTTGCAGTCACACCTTTGTTAGAGTAACTGAAGTCTCCCAGATCCGGTCAGATGCTCTCATCGACAAGAAGAACCTACTCGAGGAACAAACTAAAACTATGAGAACAATTAAGTAGCCAATGGTAGAAACTCTAATTCCTGTGATAGCTTATCGATAGCTTACATTACAAGCAAAACAGTTTTTAGTCTCAGAGCATGAAACAATCACACAAACAAAAAAATTGCATAAACCTGTGATCACCACGCTTTGGAGGAGAAGTTGCTAATGCTCCCGTAAAACCCACACCAATCACCGGCAATCCTATCCACCATATTAGGAAACATACACAAAGTTAGACCAATTCCAGGATTCCTCTTGTCTTGCTAACAAGCAGCAACAACGACGTTGAAGAAAGAGACCGGTTCCAATTCCAGCTAATTTTAATCGGTTTAGACGAACCTGGTCTAGACAGCTTAACCGCACGGTTATAGGCTAGCAAAGCCATCTCGCTCGCCATTTCTTGGCTACAGTGTTGGCTCGGAACCTGAGAGAGAGAGTGAGACAAATCCGGGAAGAGAAAGTCAACAGGCAGGATTGATTTGAGGATTTAAGAACAAACCCGGCCGAGTAATTGAACCATGGATATCCTCGAATACGGAACCACCGCTTCGAGAAGCGTGTTCGAAGCTCCGGGAACCGACATCAACCAACCTAAAGCCTGAAAATTAGTTTCCGAGTTGTGAGACTGACTGCTTTACCACTCAAGCCACCCGATGACATATACAAAAAGAGAGAGAGATGGAAACCACGGAGGCGCCGCCGGAAAGATACACGACGGCCTGCGTCGGAGATGAGTGAATCGCTTCGACGATCGTACGGATCGCAGCCTCTCCCATTTCTGTTGACTTTTGACTTTCTTCAGATCAGTCGCAATCGTGCCAGAAAAGCAACGTAACAAGCAATGTTTTCCGTATTTATAATTTATACCCCCCGAAAATTGTTCTATTTGACACTAAAACCGCGAATGTTTTCATAGACTCATATGTGCCCCTCTACCACCCTCGGAGTCGTCGCCGTGAGTCCGTGACCAAGACGAGACGAGAAGGAGAAACTGGGCCCACTCTCTGCGTTTAGGTTTCGGGCTTTGTTCTAAACTATGATGATTATTATTAGTAGATCACAAGTAACTTATCGACAATTTATATCGTTTCACGATAACGATAATAACGACAAGCAGGGCCGGACAAAATCGATGGTGCGTACACGTGTCCCCTCCTATTTTATAATCGATGGTGCCAGAGCAAACGTTGCTTGTAGCCGTTGGATGAACCTCTCACTATTTTGAACGTTTAATCTGATCCGTCGGCACGGCAGTGAATAGTGATCGATACCTTTTAACTAACCCAACAAAATATGTCAAAATTTAAGCATTTGGCATTCCTTTCTTCAGAAAACAAAATTATTTTCCTCGGGAGAAATGTAAATTATGAGAGCTTAAAGAATAATCAAGTTGAGATTAAAGGTAAGAAAAGAAAGATGAGCTGTGATATAATTGTTAATTTATGATACCTCCTACATGGTAAAGTAAGATAAAGAAGATGTGATATTGTAAAAGAAGCCTCGGGGAATAAACAAACAAGGAGCGTGACATCTTATGACGACGTTCACGAGTAATAATCAAACTCTCGTCTTAGAATCTCCACTGTTAGTTTATTACATAGTATTTTAATAGAGACTTATATGAAATTTTACATTTTAAATGGTTTGTTCCTCGAACTAACATTATTGACCAATCAATGCATATATAAAAGTATATAACAGTATGGTTTAGGACAATGTAACAGTTGGTATTTTGTGGGTTTTCGTGCTTACTGCAACATCTATTAATTACAACGTGATAAATACAGATTAATCGGTGATAATCTATTGGAAATTTGAGAAGATAGATGAACAGAAAAGGACAAGCACTGTAAATGTTACCTACATTGACACTTGACAGATCAATCAAAGGCTACGCACTTCACCAATAAAATACTTTTCAGAATAAAACAATAATCCTGACAAAAAGGTATATAAAAAAGGATGTAATATAACTATTTGAAAAAAGGTTCTGAATTATCCATTTTTACATAGGAGATTATGATAATTTTGGTCAAAAAGCTTAGGAATGACAGAGATTATTAAGTTAGTTAAAAAAAATGGATTAATGGAAACTTGCGACAAATTAGTGGTATGGATTAAATCGCCATTTGCTTCTCTTTTGTCCCAACTTTCACCTCTTTTTTTTTCTTTTTTTTTGTTGATTTCTCTTCTCCCAATGCTTCATAGGTCCAAAAAACAGAGCTCCTCTACCTTTTGTATTCTTTCCTCCTACTTTTTCTTCAACGAGAGTATCTTTTCTTATTCTTTACCAACTTTACTCTTTACTCCATCACTATCACTCCTCTTGCTCTCTCACTTCTTTCTCTCTTTGTACAAAGCTTGACACTCGTCTTTTTGTTCTACAGTTTTCATCTAATAAATGTTGGTCTCGCTGATCATCTTCGTTGCTCTTCTCTGCAACGACATCCCAAATGTGACTGTGAGTGGCTTAAACGACGAAGGCTTCGCTCTCCTGACGTTTAAGCAGAGCGTTCACGATGATCCTACAGGTTCGCTAAGCAATTGGAACTCATCGGACGTAGACGCATGTTCTTGGAACGGTGTTACTTGCAAAGAACTCAGGGTGGTGTCTCTAAGCATCCCAAGGAAGAATCTTTACGGTTCTCTCCCTTCCTCCTTAGGGTTTCTCTCCAGTCTCCGTCACTTGAATCTCCGGAGCAATAGGTTTTACGGGTCGTTGCCTATTCAGCTTTTCCAGCTTCAGGGACTCCAAAGTTTAGTACTTTACGGCAATTCCTTTGATGGGTCGGTTTCAGAAGAGATCGGTAGGCTTAAGCTTCTTCAGACCTTAGATTTGTCGCAGAATCTCTTCAACGGGTCGTTACCACCTTCGATTCTGCAATGCAACAGGCTGAGAACGCTTGATGTCAGTCGAAACAACTTCTCTGGCCCTTTGCCTAATGCGTTTGGCTCAGCGTTCGTATCTCTGGAGAAACTCGACCTCGCCTTCAACCAATTCAACGGCTCGATCCCTAGTGACATCGGAAACCTCTCTAACCTGCAAGGAACTGCTGATTTCTCTCATAACCACTTCACCGGCTTAATCCCACCTGCTCTGGGCGATCTTCCTGAAAAGGTTTACATTGATCTCACTTATAATAACCTCTCCGGTCCGATTCCTCAAACCGGTGCTCTGATGAACAGAGGACCAACGGCGTTTATCGGCAACGTAGGGCTATGCGGGCCGCCATTGAAGGACCTTTGTCCAGGAGATGAACTCGGGCTTAATGCCTCCTACCCTTTCATCCCAAGCAACAACCCACCCGATGATTCCGATTCTAACTCCGAAACCAAACAGAAATCAAGTGGTTTGAGTAAAAGCTCCGTCATTGTCATCGTTCTCTGCGATGTATTCGGTATCTGCCTCGTGGGTCTGCTTTTCACTTACTGCTACTCAAAGTTCTGCGCTTGTAACAGCGAGAACCAGTTCGGAAGCGAGAAAGAAACCAAGAAAAGGACTACTGCAGAGTGTCTGTGTTTCCGGAAAGACGAGTCGGAAACGCTATCGGAAAACGTGGAGCATTGCGATATCGTGGCCCTCGACGCTCAGGTAGCGTTTAACCTGGAGGAGCTGCTAAAGGCGTCGGCTTTCGTTCTGGGGAAGAGCGGAATCGGCATTGTGTACAAAGTGGTTTTAGAGAACGGGCTCACACTGGCCGTCCGGAGATTAGGTGAAGGAGGGTCTCAGAGATTCAAGGAGTTTCAGACAGAAGTTGAAGCCATAGGGAAACTGAGACATCCTAACATCGCTAGTCTTCGAGCTTATTATTGGTCTGTTGATGAGAAGCTTCTCATATACGACTATGTTCCAAACGGTAACCTCCCAACAGCTCTCCACGGTGAGTCACCCTTTTCTCATTTCGTGATGCATCATTAAGATACATCATGTAAAGTCATTGTAAGATTCATCATTGTGTGTTGCAGGCAAGCCGGGGATGGTGACTGTGGCTCCCTTGACATGGTCTGAGCGATTGAGGATAGTGAAAGGGATTGCGACAGGGCTTGTGTATCTGCACGAGTTTAGTCCCAAGAAATACGTCCATGGAGACCTCAAGCCCAGCAACATTCTCATCGGACAGGACATGGAACCTAAGATCTCCGATTTCGGACTAGCACGGTTGGCTAACATTGCTGGAGGAACATCTCCGACGGTACAGTCCAACAGAATCATCCAAACGGAAGAGAGGCAGCAACACCATCACAAGAGCGTATCTTCGGAGTTCACTGCTCACTCTTCGTCTGGCTCCTACTATCAAGCGCCGGAGACTCTTAAGATGGTAAAACCGTCTCAGAAGTGGGATGTATACTCTTATGGGGTCATCCTACTGGAACTGATTGCGGGTAGGTCTCCGGTAATGGAGGTGGGGACATCGGAAATGGATCTGGTTCGGTGGGTACAGGTATGCATTGAGGAGAAGAAACCATTGTGTGATGTTCTTGATCCTTGTTTAGCTCCTGAGGCAGATAAGGAAGACGAGATTGTCGCTGTTCTTAAGATTGCAATCAGTTGCGTGAATAGCAGTCCAGAGAAAAGGCCTACCATGAGGCACGTTTCCGATACTCTCGACAGATTACCCGTGGCCGGTGATTGAGAGAGAGATCTAGAGATTTGCACAGAGCTCATGAGACTAATGTTGTTACCGGTTTGTTTTTGTTTTGTTTTTTTTTGTTTGTCTTTGTCTTGTTGGTGGTGGTTATTAAGATGTCCCTCTCTTCATAATCATAGTTTATATATCTTAATGCTTCCGTTACATCAGGTATTGAATATTAGAACCACAAGTGAGCTAATTTGGATATTAGAATATAACCAGTGAAATTTCCGGGGAGAGACTTCGACTTCAAAGCTTAGAAGGGAAGAAGAGCATCGTTTCTTCGTGCGATTCTCATCCGATTCACAGTTCCAACAAAATCCCTATCAAGTTTCGGGTAAATGACAAAAGTGGTTTAGTGAAACAGGCAGGTTTTTGTACAGAGGAAGTGTAAAACTTGTGATCAAGGCTTACTTCCATGGAACATCCCCAACATTCTTCCAGATTCCTTCTCTGTCTCTGTAGACCAAAGAGAACTCAGACTCGTCCTGAAACAACCTCAATCCCGACATGGTCTGCATCCCTGCAATATTTAACTTGTTATGGCTTGACCTTCTGAAACATACTTGTAGATAGAAAGTTCAGACTCAGAGCACAGCTTACCAAACATATTGTCAAGCTGAAGCGCAAGAGTTGAGTAGGTTCCATGATCAAGAACGCAAACCTTGCGGCCTACCACCGAACCATCCATATTTACCTTAACATAAGCCATTTTTCTTCTGCTCTCTTCTCCAGCATTGTAATATCCTTGAGCAAGTCTTTGGTTTCCAGTTTCCTCAGTCTTCATCTGTGAATTGCTGCTATAGCTGGTTTGCGACCAGTCTATGAGCTCACCATACCCGTCCAGACCTATCACTTTGATGCGCATACAAGTGAGGATTAAGAAATCTAACTAACGCTGAGGTGAAAGAACTTTATAAAAAGCAGCAAAGAAAACTCACTTGGACTCGATGGGAGGTAAGTTTCATGTTGTATGGTCCTAAGGCTGAGGCCCAGGTCGATCACGCCACCACCCTTCTTGGTCTGCGAGTAATATGTATGAAAGTTGGAAGACCCATGGGGAAATTCTGAAGATGTGTTTGGGTCCATGAATGCTTTTTAATGTCTGTCTACAAGTGTAGTAGGAAGGGGAAGTGGGTTGAGAAAGAGAGTTCATTGATAAGGATTTTATAGCTTGAAAACTGAGGTTGAAAGAGTGTCAGAAGAGTTAAAGAGAAAAGGACATAATTTCAGACAGGAAAGAGACACAAGACAAGAAGAACCCATTAAGATTAAGTTTGTAGCCTCTTTGGTTTGATTCCACTGAGTGCAAGGGATGGGGAGCTGACCACAAGAGAGATTTGTTTCAGATTTATGTTACCCAACAAGGCGAGCAGCGCTACAAATGCTTCTGGTGCACAAAATCACAGTCAGCATCTGAACAAATCACAAAAGACACAGCTTCCACTCGATGAACTCTGTCTTAGTGTCTACAATTAAGGAGAGGTCTAAGCTCTCTGTTGCTTGCGAGAGATAGGGAGAAGTCTAGTGCAAGAATACAAAATCATGAGCCGGAAGTATGGATAGAGAGAGAAAAGAGTTGGAGTTGGTGATTATACAGATGCTTTCTCTTTCAAAAGAGAAAGTTATGTTGCCGAATTGCAAGACAAGTCGATTTTGTCAATACTCTTTTCTCCCACACCTTGTCTGAGAAGTTGTAGGGTTGTGTGAATGTTGGATCCAAGAGCAAACCATACACATGGATCCCTCTCTGTACTTATGCTCCCATAGATAAGATGATACAATGGAGAGACATTCTTACAAATATTATATGTTTTACAAACATTCAAGCATCTCTTTTAACTCTTAACCTCTGGCTTTTTCTAAACAATATTAAAGCTTTCAAATCACCAACACGTAGGAGAACGAAAGAGAGATAACGATTAAGGAGAGAAACGAGTCATTTACAGTATAAATGAATGATAATAATATTGATATAAGATCCAGGAAAATGGTAAAGTACCAGCATCCATCGCAACTATAATGTAAAATCCAAAGAAGCAGCACTACTCCCTTATTCTCTACTTACTCACACAACACTTTTTGACATAATCCAAGACACCAAACCAACATGAAGCCAGACTCTTTCTTGACGCAGCAACTTATAAAATGAAGAGGACCAAAAAAAACAAGTAATAATATATTTATGTTTCAAAACCAACCCAGGGTTCTTTCAAAATTGTGTTCCATCTTCCTTGTCCCTTGTGTGTCACAATGGCTGTGAACTCCGGATCTGTTGAGTCATGGTCTCAACTGGAAGCTTAGCAGCAGCAGAGCCATCAGGCAACACCATGGCAGGTGGAGGCCCGGTCATTGTCTGGTACTGTGCGTGTCCCATAGGCTGCGTGTAGTACACCTGTTTATGAGCATTGTCCGCATATTCATATCCATAGTTGGGAATCCCAGCTGCACCAGACTGAGGTTGGTGATGGATCTGCGTATAACCCATGAACTGCTGCTGGCTCGTAGGGATCTGGTGAACCATCTGAGCACCGCCCATACCTGGCCCTGTTGTGTAAACCCCAGCCTCAGGTTTCCCACCAGGAACACTTCTCATGTGGTTGTTAGGAGGTGGAGCCATCATGGTGGAGTTAGGCGGCGCCTGGGGATGGTTAGTAGGGAGAGACCCTGGAGCCTCGTTTACACTTCCAGATTGTGGCACAGGCATACTGTAGGGCCTAGGTGGGACCGGAGCGGTGACATAATAAACAGGGTAAGGCTGCTGATCCATTTGACCAGGGTGCCTGTGGAAGGACTGCTGCTGCTGCGAAGGGTAAAGCTGGATGTAAGTCTGGACAGGAAGGCCACTAGAGGGATGGTGATGAATGTATTGAGGTGTAGCGGCGTGTATGAACTGCTGCTGCTGTGGCTGAGACTGTGCAGATTGTTGTTCGAACTGAGGGTGAATGATGTAGCTTTGGTCCTGGTTCTGATTATGATTTTGGGGTAAGAGTGTGTTTGGATCCGAAGGGTTGATCAAACCAGTGACTACGGTGGAGCCAGAAGGCATCTGAGAAATCGTTGTCTCTTGGTAGATCGAAGGTTTTTGGTGGAACATTGGGTTGTTCATGCTGCTATCACTGAGGCATTTTAACAAACACATGGAGACCAACATCAGAATCTAGCCAATCTAGAGATATAAAACATCAAATCAAGGCACATGGAGCTCTGATTAAGAGAGTATTCGGAGGAAGAAAGGAGTACCTGGAAACGGAATTGGGTGATGGCAGCTCGTGTCCACCGCTATTTGATTTCAGCTGATGAGCCTGCTGAGGAGCCAGATTCTGCGGCTGCGAACGTGGAGTCGGAGGTTTTCTGTATGCAGCCGGGAAACCGTGATCGGATCTCTCGTCGTCTGAGATAACCCTCGCCTGGAACTCGCTTGAGACTGTCGCCGCACTCACAGGCGCAGCAGGAAGGGAGATTGTCACGGGCATCGGCGGTGGAGAAGAGATCGCTGCGAACCCGTCCTCCTGCTGAAGATGGAGCTGCTTGTTCCCGGCGTGGTGGTTGATACGGGCGAACTGTTCTTCGATTCCCAGCCTCTGATCCTGCATCCCCTTAACCCCGCCAGTTTCCTCTACATGGACACGAATCGGTGGCAGGTTCGCTAGCGAGGGGGAAGAAGAAGTTGACCCGAAAGACGAGGAAGTATCCAACATCGGAGAATCCGGCATGTTGTGCACATCTTGGCCTCCCTGCTGCTGCGGCGGAGGTTGTTGGATTTGTTGTTGTTGCTGCTGCTGCTGCTTGCCGCTTTTAACGGAACCATCATCATCTCTGACACTGGAATCGAGATTGTTTTCGTTGTCTCCGGAATTAGAGCGGAGAGCAAGAGCATCGTCCAAGCCAAGTAAACGATTGACGTTAGTATCAGAATCTGAGAATCCTCTACTGAGGAGCCCAGCGCTGTTGAGAGCGTTGAGGAACCAATCGTCGCTCTTGGCCGAGCTCTCGAGGATCTGGCCCATCGACTGAGTAGCCTCTGGCTTCGGCGTGAAGAGAAACAAACGCAATCGCGAGGGTTTGGTGGAATTGGGGGCTGAAATCGTACGGTCATACTCCTCGATCATGTTGTCGAGATCCTCGTCGGTGGTGACAGAGATGAGGGAATCGAGGTCTTCGCTGGGTAACTGGTACTTGAGCGTGAAGGACCGGCCGTTGAGGAGCGTGTTGGAGAGACGAGCGACGAGAGAAGAGAGAGAGGAGTTACGGTCGACGACAACGATGCGGGTGTCGCCGCCCATGTAACAGAGAGACTTATCGTGAGGGCGAGGAAGGATATGACCGCCGTAGCTGCACATAAGACGGAGTTTAGAAGAGACGGCGCTTCCGCCGCCGGGAGGAGCAGGAATATCGTCCCAGCCATCGGTGGTACGAGACCTAGGGGAGGAGTCAATAGACTCGGGGTAAGAAGAAGTCACATGAGGAGGAGGAACAGGCGCGGTGGCTGCGGGAACGACGGTGGAGGCCACCGCCGTGGAGGAGAGAGAGGGAGGCGGTGGTTCCATAGGAGAGAGAAAAAGGTCAAATTAAAAAAAAAAAGGGGGCTAAAAAATTTAGTGGGGAGTTGATGATATTCTAATAGAGAGAGAGAGAGAGAGAGTTATAGCTAGTCCACGACTTGTAAACCACAGCTGTTTTTTTTCTCTCTTTTTCCTTTTCTATATTTTATTTTCCATTTAATCTAATTTATGGTAAACAGTATATATATGCGTAACGGCATTTACCATTTACCCAACAATGTTCAAATTTATTTCTCTTTCAAAATAATTTCTTTCACTCTTTCTTTTAAAACAAATAAGAGAGAAATGATGATATTCTCAAGCAGTGAAATGAGCAAATTATCAAATCTTATATAATTAACGTATGCGATTCATTGCTATTTTTTGTCTTTGTTTCTTAACAAATACTAATAAAATATTCAAAAAGAAATTGATATTCACGTAATCTGTGTGTAAATTTGTGATACTTCTGATCAAATAATTTTGTACGATTTTCTAATAAATTTAAGATGATATACATATAATTAATATAGTGACTTTTGGTCACATGCATTAGAGATTTGGTTTTTTGTCTTCACGGTAGTCGATTACGAAAGAGTAAGTATATATATATATTTTTTTTTTCTTATTGAACCAACACTAAAGAGTAAGTATATATGTGCTAGAAAAAAAACCCACTAAGAGATATTTGGCAAAACCCATTTAACACTTAATGAAAAATACGTTGAAAGGATGTTAAAAGAAATTAAAGCATATATGTCTATGGATCTTGCATGTGCAAATTGCGAGTGTGGATGTTAAAACTTTCTTCGTTCGGTATGTTTCTTTAAGCAACTCTTCACCGTCTCTGGCGAGAGAGAGACGAGCGCACGCATAGAGAGACGCAATCATCACCGTCCCGATGGATCAAACCCATCGAAAAGAATGTAAGAAACATGCTCAGTTCACTCCTCAATACAAGAGATAACACTTATGAAGCAGAAATAAGACTATGTGCTTGCTTTGCTTATCGACCTCCATAGTGGTATAAGGAGAACCAACTACAACTTTCTAACACTCAAGTCTAAACAATATTAAGTGTTTTTTTGTTTGGTCGAAACAATATTAAGTGTTAAGTATTGACATAGCTGAATTAAATACGATTTTACTAAAACTTAACACTAATGGCTGGGTGACCAAATCAATACTAAGTTGTACACAGAGAAAAGAAAAGAGAGAGAAATAAGTTAAGAAAATACACTAGTTCAAACCGTTAAGAAAATAAGTTGATTTTCTTTTAGATAATTTTTTCTGTATAAAACACAACAAATCATCTACCAAATACCAATACCACCAGTATCCACCAAATGCCATTCTTTTTTTTTTTTTGGGTTGCCAGCAAAAAAAAACGTTAAATTGTTCCCTTTTTCTTGTAACGTATTTTAACCGTCAATATAAAAAGAACATTACCAAAAATAAAATTATAAACACATTTATAGATCACATGAAAATTATGAATAACCCCAAAACAAATGCTATATTTTGGCACATAGCAAACCCTATTCCAATCACTTTTTTAAACAATTTAAAACAAAAAAAAAACGTATCAAATGAGGAAAAAGTAGTATAAAATAGTATGATGATTTGAAAAGCTGATTCGATAAATTTTCTTATTTATTCTATGGTTAACAAAGGTAAGACAGATTATACAAGAACAAATAAAAAGGTAAGAGAGTTGCAAATTACTAATCAGGAAAGTTCAAAAATAAAATAGAAATTACTAATCAGGAATCAAAACAACCTGTGGACGGGTCACATTATTTGACAGCAGGCCTACTGATTGGCTCCACGCTGGATCTGCAGGCGAAAGAGGTGGCCTGATCCTCTGTGTCCTCCTCCATTTCCTCCCTCTATAACCTTATCCGTTGGATTCATTTTCTATGTGCTTAAGATTTCATCTAACGGCAATCAAGGTTCGATGTCCCACACGGCTGTAAAACGGAAACACGAAAATAAACCATATTAGTACAAAGGGAATATACCTTTCACTGCTTTTAAATAAAACCCCCAGACTTTACGTTTAATTTAATATTTACCCTCGACAACATTATAAAATTATATCATTAGTGTCGCTGTTTTTCCTCCTTAATTAAAGGATTCTTTTTCGGTTACTACTATACCACATAATTTTTTTTAAAGTGTTTGTGGGGAGCATATTATTACCATAAAAACATTACAATTTTAAATTCCTGATTTATAACATGTACATATGATTGGTAACATATTAACATTGCTTTATTGGTATCATACTATCAGTGCCAGTCCGACAATTATTGATGCCCTACATAAATCTAAAAAAATATTTTTTATATATTCTATTTATTTTTTTTAAAACTATAGTGAAAATTCTATTAAAAAAATCTAATTTCAAATCAGTACTTCAAATTTATAAATAGTTTATAAGAAAATAAATAACAATAAAATAATTAATTATTGAAAATAGCTTTTTATATTTTTATCTGCAAAATCATTCATTAAACTCACATAATCAAGTTTTTTAACTATACAAGCATTACCAAATTTTAATTACCAATTTTAAAATAGATTCAAAGTTTTCCTTTTTTTTTTCTAGTTTCTACAGAAAATTAAAAATAAAATAAAAACTGAAAAAATAACTCACATATGAACCAACAACAAAAGTGAATAATTATAACATTAAAATATTGTTGTTAAAAAAAGAAATAGTAAAAAAAAGGAAATCAAATAAACTAGGTAATTTAAAAGAGTTGCTTACCTGTAAAAGATTAAAGTTAAAACATAAATTTTTTAATAAAAGACTTAAAATCATACATAATCCTAATTAGGAAAATATTAAAAATAGATGCCATAAATATTTTTGCTGTTCTAAGCTTTTGCTTCACCTGCTTGCCCTATGGTTCGGCCCTACATACTATCATCCTTATATAACATAGATCGGATACTAGGATTTTTAGTCCAAAGCTGTAAAAATACTTTGGTATTTGTTTCTTCTTCTTTTTTACCGAGCCAGACTATTTTGCTAACAAAATCTAATTAGTAATATAATATTACGACGGATTCTGTCATATATATAAACTGCTAGATTTTTTTTTTTTTTTTGTAACTGAAACTGCTAGATTTTTTGTTCAATAGGAGCTTCTAGTCCAAGTGGTCTGCAACTCTGCTGCATTGGATGCGACATGGGTTCAACCTTTTTTCCTCAATACGAGGTTAAAAATGATTTAACGAAGCCTGTTTAAACATTCATTTTCAACAAAAACTGCTAAAATAATGATTTAAAAAAAAAACCATTACGTCGGTTACTTATATGATCTGGGCAAACTCTGGCCGAGCCACTTTGTGACGTCATCATTCTCATTTCTTATTCCCTGTAATTTTTTAATTAATAAATTAACAAAAAGGAAATGGTAGGGAGAGAAGAGAGAGATGTACGACGCCATTTTCACGCGCTTTGGGGTAGAAAAAACGAGGCGCGTGTAGTCAAAAGAGCGTGAGTCAGAGACGTGTTAAAAGCTCCAGGCGGCGCCCATGCAAGCAACCCTTTGTAACTAAAAATGTTGTGGGATAATAACTAACCCAATTAATTAGTAAATCATCAATAATTAAACCCCTCACCTTAATCTAATCTTTTGCACTTTACTACCCCCACCATTTTAACCACTTACACTTTCATCCCCCTTTTTTATTTATGCACCGCATTAATCCGCGAGTGTTTTTTTTCTTTTAAAGAGCACTATTTTATCCGAATCACATCCGAAATCAAAGATGAATGATGATATGACGTTTTAAAAAAATAATTTAAATTATACGAGGATCATGAAATCATGTCACAAGATAGCTTGTGGATAAAGTTTTTCTATATATAAAAAAAAGAAACCTATTGTACTATAGATTGTATTATTGGAATAAAAGAAGGTAGATGGGTGGGTGGGTATTGGTTGATTAATTAAGAAACTATAAGAGATGTCGAAAGCAAACAAAGCTTGGAAGTAATACCAAAAGTTATAATATATAGTTACAACCAACTCCATTAGATTACAACATTTCATTATCCAGAGTAATTTTGTTCTTAAAAACTCGAACTGTGCATAAATTTTTCTGCCCCATTATATTTTCTTTTTTTTAGTTTAGTCAAACTTTTAATTTATTGAGTTTCGTTTTCTATATTTTCCCACCGGGTCAACTCTCTTGCTATGACAATAATACACATGTCCTCGTTATATAATTCGCTGAGTGAAGGAGAAGATTAGGACATTGTTTTATATATTGAGAAAAGTAAGTAACGTCCCCTTCAAACCTAACGTTTCATTAATTTCATACAAACGAAGGATAAAATCATATATGCATCCAAAAGAGGTTGTTTTTGAAAAAGATGGGAGGTCGGAAATTCCAAAAACGGTAGATACTACTTTTTTTCTTCTGTATTTCTTAAGGAAAATGATCGGATATTATTATTACGTCTACAGAAACAGTGACACACAGAACTAGTTCGTAGAGGGTCCACCACGTTTACATGTCAGCTAAGTGGAAATAAAAATCACTTATCCATTTTTCATCTATTATAAGACATTTTTGGGAAACAATGTTTAAGAAAACCGTCTACAACAAGAAAGTAGTAGGTGCCACTGCCGTTACAGTCGATCATCAAAGCAAAGATGAAGAAACTTGAAAGGGATCGAATTCGAACATTTGATTTATGTTTCTTTTCAGGATCAATAATATACAATAGACACGTAAGTGCGTGTGCGTTACCGAGTGAGAGAGATGATCAAAACGACATGTTTTAAGAAAATGAAACAAATAAAAGTAAAAAAGTGGGTCCAACTAATATACAGCTCAGGATGAAAACTTTAGCTGGCAACAACAAGCTTCTTCACTCTTCCGTATATTATTCGTTTTACAGGTTTTTTGGTAACTTTTTTGGTTTCTTGGAGGCCGAGATGTCGTCAAAACCTTCGAACTGACCTCTATCTTTCTTTCTTTTGCTTTTAACCTTAAATTATATATTTATCCCCCAAAATAAACCTTAAACCATTGAAACTATTCTCCGGTTAAAAAAGACAGGATTTATATGAATAGTTTTGCAGAGTTCTTTGTTTTTTTCCTCATTAAATAAAAGTGGTGTACTGCGTAGTCATGAGTGCAAGCAAATGCATAGGCAATATAATCAGGTGAAATCTGTAAAGTTATAAAGTTCATAATGTATTTTGAGAAAATTAGGATGTATCCCATTTTAAGCGTGGGCCATGAAGAAGCCCACAACCTACTGGACCCACAAACCCCACTATGTAACGTATATAATAACTCCACCACCCAAACAAAAATAATCTACAATTTTTTTCTTATAAAAAGCAATAAAATAGTTTATCTATTTAAAAAACAATAAATATGTAAAAATTCGAGTGAGTCCAGCTATTTACTGAATGAAATATGATTTTACGAAATACAAAAAGTTGAAACTTATCAACCAATATTGTTTTTTTTACTTGTTATAAAATGGTTTAATATTGCCTTAACACAAAATATTAATCACACTATCTGCAACCAATTATTAAGTAAATATCACTGGTTGTTAAAGAATACAAAAAGGTATTTCCTGGTCTAATTGCGTACTTGACAAACTCTTGTTCTAGTTCAACCATAATTGTCAATTTTCCACTTCTTTTTTTGGTTGAACTGTCATATGTTTTAGTTTTAAAGATAGAAGGGAATAAAATTTCCCTTAATAGATAGATGATGATTTGGAAGTCCAAAGTGATAATCTTTTGAAATTTCGTTAAGAGGAAAAAAAAAGAAATAAACTATAACATTATCAGTCCTCAAGCATCTCTCACGTCCGAGCAAGTTGCCAAGTACTCCAAAATAAAATAAAACAGACTTGTGACTTTTTACCTGATTAATAATACTTCATCCTCTATTTGGCACTCACAAAACAAAACAGTAGTTTCTAGTTTCCACATCAATTAGATCCATTTTTGGATCCTTTCACCTTTTATTTATTATTTTTTTTTTTTTTTGCAAAAAAATATATTGATTCTTTCACTTGGTTATTTAAAATCTGATTTTATTCGAAAAATCTCAGTCACATTCAATATGTGATACTTGAGTATGCAATTTTTTTAATAATACAGTATCAGTTAAAAGGAGAGAGATAGAGAGGTTGCGTTGAATCTGAATTTTCCTTTTCGCTATTTGCGAACGATTCTTGGTGCGTTTAAAGAAAATGTTTTTGGCATGCTTCCAAACTCTGTACCTCTATTTAGGTGCGAGTGGGATTGACATGAAAATTTGGGTATTAATGAGTCCAACAAAGAAACACCAAGAGGATCATTCCATAGCAACAAAGAATGCTGTCCGACGAAATCACAAGAAAAAGAGGAAGAAAGGCCCATATTGAGGCCTAACTAAAAGCCCACGTAGTTAATTTAGCCACAGCCACAGGCTTTGATATTCCGAACCTTCCTAAAACGTGGGACCCACGCGGTTTGGAGAGGAGAAGGCCAAACTAGACCGGTGAAAAGTCAAAAGTCAAACACGAAACTGGTTGACGTGGCATTCAATCTGACGCAACGAAGAGGAAGAGGAAGAGGAAGTTTTTATATCATCTCTCTGTTTTTTTTATAAACCGTCAAGTGGAAGAAACCCTCGTCTTTCCAAGTTTCCGACAAAAAGTTCGGCAATTTTAAACAAGACAACGCGTCTTTCACCCGTTTCCTCCTCTTCTTACTTACTCCTGGTTTCGGTTTCTGTTTCGCTCTCGGTGGTTCATAAATATCGATTAAATTCAGTTTTATCAGATCATCGCTTGATTCTCCCCGTCGTCTGTTTTTACTCTTTGAGTTTCGATCCACACTGCTTGTAACTTTTAAGCACTCGATCTCTCTGCATTGAGAAGAAGCTTAGTCGAAATCTCCACTTTCCGATGGTGTTCGGATCGTTTTTCTCGTCTCTCAAATTCTGGGGCAATTCTCAGGTAACCTAATCGACTCTCATCTGTTCCACAACTCCAATTTATCATCCCTTTTCTCTCTTTCTTTCCTTTTTCATCTTCTCTGTTCATTAACTTTCTAAAAAAAGAAGCTCAACTTGAAAAGTTAGTTTAAACCCTGATAAAACTTGATAAGTTAGCCAAAAGTCAACGAAACTCTACTTAATGAGAACAGTGTGGTCAGCACAACGAATCAGATAGACAGGCTGGATGTGTAGAGGAAGTGTTGTCGTGGTAATAACAAAATTAGAATACTAAAAAAACTGCGATTGGTCTTGATTGAGAATGAATTGCATTCCGTTGTTACGCTCATCCAAATCGGAGACGCCAAACTCTAATCCCCAAGTAGTATTTTCTTATGCATCAATCATTTTGATCCAATCAGATATCACAAGGCTGACTTGATCTTGATTGGTCTGTTTTGAACAGGAACAGGAGCCGCAGAGAGGGAGGATGCAAGAGATAGATCTTGGAATCCACACGATAAGGAGCCATGGAGGAAGCGTGGCCACTAAACACAAGCACGATTGGATCATACTCGTGATCTTGGTGGGCATCGAGATCGGTTTGCAACTCATCTCTCCTTTCTACAGATACGTGGGAAGAGACATGATGACAGATCTCAAGTACCCTTTCAATGACAACACCGTCCCTATCTGGTCCGTGCCAATCTACGCCATTCTGCTTCCAATCATAGTCTTCGTCTGCTTCTACATGAAGAGGACATGTGTGTACGATCTTCACCACAGCATTCTCGGCCTTCTCTTCACCGTCTTGATAACCGGTATCATCACCGACTCAATCAAGCTCGCAACCGGACGCCCTCGTCCTAACTTCTACTGGCGTTGCTTCCCTGACGGCAAAGAGTTGTATGATGCGTTGGGAGGTGTGATGTGCCATGGCAAAGCAGGAGAGGTCAAGGAAGGTCACAAGAGCTTCCCGAGCGGACACACGTCTTGGTCTTTTGCTGGACTTGGCTACCTCTCGCTTTACTTGTCTGGTAAAGTCAAGGCCTTTAACAGAGAAGGACATGTGGCTAAGCTCTGCCTTGTGTTTCTCCCTCTGCTTGCGGCTTGTCTCGTGGGGATATCACGTGTTGATGACTACTGGCATCACTGGCAAGACGTTTTCGCCGGAGCTCTCATCGGTCTCTTTGTCGCCGCCTTCTGTTACCGTCAGTTTTATCCCAACCCTTACCACGAAGAAGGATGGGGTCCCTACGCTTATTTCATAGCAGCACAGGAGAGAGGAACACAACAACAACAAAACGGAGATGCTTTGAGGACAATGTCTCTGCAGGTTGATTCAACTTCTCTTGAAAACATGGAATCTGGCGCTTCCTCTGTTCGCAGATGATTCTTTTATTTAATTATTTGATTCAATATTTGGTTTTTTACATTTTGGTCGTCGTGAGTGAGAGTGTGGATGCTATAGTTGCAATATGTGCTATTGAAAAACCTCTACTTGTTAACTCTTACGTTTGTAAATTCTACTATTCAGGTTTTTGGCTTTTGACTGTTGTAGTGGAGATTTATTTAATAAATTTTAACACATTTACATTTGAGCAGAATATACAAAAGAATAGTTAACTTTAAAATGATTTAGATCGTACTAGATGAAGATCTCCCGATATATACTAATCACATGTATATATTAGCCGTTTTGCGCAAAAAACAATATCAAGTAACATGGTTAACTGATATGGTGTCATCAAAAACAACAACGAATAAAGATACGAAGGATTTGTTTATAAGTTTTCGTGTAGTTGTTTGTCTTTTAGTTTAATTAATGGTTTTGTTTTGTAGTAAAACGTTAAGTAACATTTGTCAAAAAAGCCCTTTTCTAAATTAAAAAAAAAAAAAATTTTGGCAAATTATTTAGAATATCTTTCCAAATAAATATGGAAAGTGTTCACACGAAGATGGTGAAGAAAGCATAGTAGTAAAATGGTCAACCAAAGTGAAAAGGTTGGACTTTTGGAAGGGTATCTATGTAACAGAAAAGTACCCCATTCGATTCGCACACTCCAACAACCTTTGAAGGGAGAAGTGATGGGGGGATTCACCGGCGATCAATCTTTAGTTCCCTCCATAGATTCCGGCCAAGCCCGTCTCAAGGAGCTCGGCTACAAGCAAGAGCTCAAGCGCGACCTATCGTCTGTCTCTTCCGCTCTTTCCTTGTTTCGTCTTTCTTTTGAGTTTCAGTTTTCTCTAAAGCTAAACATTTTTGGCTTCAGGGTCTTCTCCAATTTCGCAATCTCCTTCTCCATCATCTCGGTGCTCACCGGAATCACAACCACCTACAACACCGGCTTGAGATTCGGCGGTACCGTCACTCTTGTCTACGGATGGTTCGTGGCCGGATTTTTCACAATGTTTGTTGGGTTATCGATGGCCGAGATCTGCTCCTCTTACCCAACCTCCGGTGGTCTTTACTACTGGAGTGCTATGCTCGCCGGCCCTCGATGGGCCCCACTTGCCTCTTGGTTAACCGGCTGGTACTAACCCTTCTGCATGAATCTTTGCTTCTCTTCTCTCTCTCTGAATCAATTTGAATATTCGAATTGGAAGCAAAGCGTCTCTCTAATTTGTGTTGTCCCTTTTTCAAAAATCATTCAGGTTCAACATCGTTGGTCAGGTGTGTGATTATAACCATTCTGACCAGAGTTCACTTATAGTTCATTGTGGCTTGGCTAAAAGATTGTGATGTGTGCGTGTTGCAGTGGGCAGTGACGGCGAGCGTTGATTTCTCTCTGGCACAGCTGATTCAGGTGATCGTGCTTCTCTCCACAGGCGGTAAAAACGGCGGCGGATATGAAGGATCAGACTATGTTGTGATTGCTATACATGGGGGAATCTTATTCATACATGCACTTCTCAATAGCCTCCCAATCTCCGTTTTGTCTTTCATTGGACAGCTTGCTGCTCTCTGGAATCTACTCGGTACCCATCTCTTTGTTTCTGTTTATGTCTCAGTACAAGCAAGCGAGTAAGCTAATAAATATCTTCTATTATTCAGGGGTTTTGGTGCTCATGATTCTGATTCCTTTGGTTTCCACGGAAAGAGCAACAACTAAGTTTGTCTTCACCAATTTCAACACTGACAATGGCCTCGGCATTACCAGCTACGCTTACATATTCGTTCTGGGGCTCCTCATGAGCCAGTACACCATTACAGGGTATGATGCATCTGCACACATGGTGAGTAAACTGAGTCTTTGAGCCTGGAAACAAATGGATTCTGTTTTTTTTTTTTTTTTTTTTTTTTAAATGATTGTTAAGCTTTTTTCTTGATGATGTAAAATTTTTAGACTGAGGAGACGATAGACGCAGACAAGAACGGGCCAAGAGGAATCATCAGTGCAATTGGGATATCAATTCTGTTTGGATGGGGTTATATATTAGGCGTAACCTATGCGGTCACAGACATACCTTACCTTCTGAGTGAGACCAACAACTCTGGTGGGTACGCCATTGCTGAGATCTTCTATTTAGCTTTCAAGAGCAGGTTTGGGAGTGGTACTGGGGGAATCGTATGCTTAGGCATTGTCGCGGTTGCTGTATTTTTCTGCGGCATGAGCTCTGTCACCAGCAATTCCAGGTATGTGTTTTTGTGTTTGGTTTTGAGGCTTAGAGCACCGTTTGCATCTTGGATTTGATCAAATGTGCATGGCTAAATCAGGATGGCTTATGCGTTTTCGAGAGATGGAGCAATGCCATTGTCGCCGCTATGGCACAAAGTTAACAGCAGAGAGGTTCCCATAAACGCGGTCTGGCTCTCTGTTTCCATATCGTTCTGTATGGCCCTAACCGTAAGACTCTCTCTCTTTCTCCATCTCTCTGTATCTCTGTCTGTGTTTTGTTAGGTCTTTGATTGATGTGTGATGAAATTGGCAGTCACTTGGGAGCATAGTGGCCTTCCAAGCAATGGTGTCGATAGCAACGATCGGGCTGTACATAGCATACGCAATCCCGATCCTTCTGAGAGTGACTCTGTCACGCAACACCTTTGTCGCTGGACCATTCAGCCTTGGTCGGTACGGAGTGGTGGTCGGGTGGGTAGCAGTCCTGTGGGTTGCAACCATCTCAGTCCTCTTCTCACTTCCCGTGGCGTATCCAATATCCGCAGAGACACTCAACTACACTCCAGTGGCAGTCGCTGGTGTGTTGGCCATTATCCTCTCGTATTGGTTTCTAAGCGCCCGCCATTGGTTTACAGGTCCAGTCTCCAACATTCTTGGCTGAAACGACTTCTCAATAGCTTTGGGGGTTGTTTGCTTGTTACTCTCAGTTTTATTCATAGTAAAGCCATTCAAGCATCTGTAATTTACCCTTTTATATATATACACACAACAAGCAGCAGCATGTCATCATTACTATTCTTAATTTTAGCTTAAGAAAATTAATAGATGGAGCCTTAATTGTAGTAGGCCTTGAAGGCTTGATGTTCATATTAAAAAAAAAAAAAAAAAAAAAAAGAGAATTAGAGTAGCTAAAAAATAAGTTCGCTAGAAGGAGGGGTCGAACCTCCGACCTTGTGGTTAACAGCCACACGCTCTAACCAACTGAGCTATTCCAGCTTGACGATGAGTTATTCCACTTAAAAGTTTAGAAATCGTCAGTGTAGTCGAAATTTGACCTGCAAAACATAAGGGTGGGCCTAAGAATATATGTGGACATGAGAGTACCCTTTGTTTACAGTTTAAGACTTTAAGTTTTGTTCGTCAAGAAAAATGCTAAACCAGTCTTATTCATTGTCTTGTACCTGCTTAATGTGTTATCATGTATATACATTATGTGGTTTTGTTATGTTCATCATATCACCTTTTAATATTTTATTGATCGTAAATTCGTAATACAACATTGTTTAAGTTGAAATAGGAGTGTTTTGAAACACCATTAATTAATTTAACATAAAAAAGACTGGAAAACTTGTAATAGCATAATAATCAAACGAAAAAGCTATCTAGTTATATGCACGTACAAAGGTCTATTGAGTCGGACTTCGAATTGTTTAGCCTAAAATTTGTTTTCGTTCCCATTCAACAATAAAACTGCTAGAACCTTCGAAAAGATAACGATTCCTATAATTTTTCTCAAGAACAAAAAAAATCCTATCACGACTTTTCTGTGTCGAAAAATGATCTATTGGATTCAAAAACATGACGTGTTATGATCTTCGATTAGGTTATATTTGACGCAATATATAGTTTTTTTTTTTAACACATTTACTTGAGTCGTAATATAGATAAATGCAAAGTGGTGGAAACCAGAAGCAATAGTTGAGTTTTGTAATAAAACTATCGCCATGTCACTTGTTGATGCTGGTGTTGTTGGAGATGGATTTTAAATTTGAACAAGATTGAGGTCAGATCCATATTGCAAGTAAATTTGAACAACACAAATCTAAACTTTTCATACTAAAAATTTACATCAAAACACTGGCAAATCTGAAACACGAAAGGACCTCTCCGATCTGAGATTCCTCAAAAAGAAGAAAAATATAGAAAGGGAATTTTAAAGAATCCCCCAATTTGAAGAAATAATCACCCATTTCCCTAACAAAGAAAGAGGAGAAAGCCGCGAGATCAAAAACGCCCAAACTCTTCTTCTCTCTTTCTTCTTTTTTTTTTTTTTTTTGTTTTGTTCACAGAAAATGACTAATCAATGAGATGCAGTGGCTGAGTGAAGAGGGAAAGACGAGATCGAATCACTTCCATGGGAGAGCAATGGAGATCTACAGAGCGGGCAGTTGAAATTGAGATGTTGTAGCCAACCTTCCAAACACTCCTTGTGGAAGACGTGTCTGCAATCCAGCTTCCTCACTTCTTCTCCGGCCTTGAGTGTCGACAAGCAGACGATGCAATCGGAGGCGGCGTTATCAACGTAGCGGTAGGAGAAGATGCGATTGAGCTTGAGCTGGTCGGCGAGGACTACGAGGCTCGCGAGTCCTGCGGAAACGGAGGCGGAAGCCTCGTCGACGGAGAGGTGAGGACCGGAGGCGCAGAAGCGGAGGAGAAAAGAGCGGACGTGTTTGAACAAAGTAGCGAGGAGAGCAACGAGCATCAGGGGGATTGAATCGGAGGAAACGTCGGAGAGTTGACCTTGTAATCCCATCTTCTTCTTCTACAAGATGTGAGAGAGTGTGTGTGTGTGTGTTTGCTGCTTCTGCTGAATCCGATTTCGACGGCTATTGAATTTTAGGGATTTGCTTTTAATTCTTTTTTGCATCTGCTCTCTTCTTTATATGGAAGAAGAAGAATAGGAAAGGGGAGAGAGAGAGAGAGAGAGAGATGAATGACACAGGCCACGTGTTGTGGGACCTTCTCTTTGCTTTTTGTTAAGCCTATCAATATCAGTCCTTTTCATTTTTTCCCATCTTCATACTATCCACCCAAATCTTTTCATTTTCTAGCAAATGTGCCCAAACAAATTCGCATTTTCATTTTCCACCCAAAAGTTTCGATTTCGTTGGAAATACAAGCAAGAGAAAGTCAAAAGCGGTTCGTGGTTGAATTCACACGGAATAGGTTGATGATGACTCTATGTCTAAGCTATGTAGCTTTAGCTACTCCGTATCCCCAAAGACCAAACA